TTCAAGTCCCCGGCTGACGGCAGTGAGTTCAAGTCCCTGGACAGGTTCGAGTCCCTGGAGAGCAACAGGTCCCAGCCCCGAGGCACGACAGCAGGATCAAGCCCTTGAGCGGGTTCGAGTCCCTGCAGGCCAGCACACCGGGTTCGAGTCCCTGCCAAGCAACAACGGGTTCAAGTCCCTCCGTGGGTTCGAGTCCCTGCAGAGCAGCGACGGGTTCAAGTCCCTCAGTGGGTTCAAGTCCCTGACGCAGAGCTCGGGTTCAAGTCCTGAGTTTGGAGGACGTGTGGTGCGCCTGGGATATCGACTGGTGAACTCTGTCGGACGTTGTGTGTTACTCGTGAGAGGAGCTGGAGGACCTCACGTGCAATCAGTGGTCACTGCGGCTTTGATCGTGACTTGTGTGTTTACATTTACGGAGTTCGTCAGAAGTTGCCACCGGAGACCTCGGAAGCGGCCGCGACAAGGCCCGGGCAAGGCAACAGGGCGCGGGTAACAGGAGGAGTGCTTTCTTTGGTTCTCCTTCAAAGATGAGCCTGTTGCGCACCATCCATTGCGTTGTGCTGCAAACGGTAGCTAAAATTCTCCAAAGACGTTTCAATGTGTCTTCATGCTTGGCCGTGCAAGACCCCGCCGTGAGGGCCAATCTCCTCTTCAGTGAGTCAAGGGATGGATAATTTCATGTATTTGGCAAATACTATTTGCTAGATGAGACTTCTCGGGGATTTGAAAGCCGAATCATATTTGAGACATTGGGAGTGGTTAAGCAATCTCCCCACCAAACGAAAAGTAATCACGGCTTGTCTTCGCCTTAAGGCTTGATGGGCTGGGACTCACGACTTGGGTCTTCGCTGGGGAAGTACAGGGTTCGGACCAAGGATGGCTCAAGACTGAGCAGCCCGGCGTGGTTCGTGGTCAGCCATGGTGCCCGACTTCGCCGAGCGCGTGGCCAAAGCCGACAAACTGATGCCCATTGCTGGGGAGTTGGGTGTGCCCATGGCGCTGCTTGCCATCGCCTGGTGCGTCAGCAACAGCAACGTCTCCACTGTTCTGCTCGGTGCCAAGACTCCCGCTCAGCTTGAGCAGAACCTGAAGTGTCTGGAAGTTCTGCCGATGATCACCCCCGAGGTGAAGGCCAAGATTGACGCTGCACTGCCGTTTGCCCCTCACGCACCGGAGAAGGCCTGGGCGTCTCTGATGCGACAGCGGCACCTGTAGATCACCCGATGAATGTTGCCCTCACTCCATCAAATAGCAGCTCAAACTTGTACGTGTATTAGTTCTGAAGTGGAAACCCCTATCGAAGACTCTGGGTGACAGTCGCATAAACCTAAAGAGACGGGTAGATTATATACTGGATCGGATACAGGTCGGGCCTGAATTTCCAGTCAGGTTTTTCAATACAACTACAAAGACGTTTCCTGGCCACATCCAGCTTCTAGTTGGCAAGGGTGGGCGATATCACGGGCGAGGGCGAGCAGCGCGAGCGCGAGACTCACCAAGTGCTTTCACGCATTGCCAACACCCGCCGATCAGGCGGGGGCGTGTCTGCGCGAGCGAGCGAACGCGAGCGCTGCAACCCGATAATTTTTTTTCTAGACACAGCGCCTGGCCGAGTCGAGGACTTCGACTAAGGGGGTGGGCCAGCGGCACCCCCCGAGCGAAGCGAGAGAGGGGCGCCCCCCCCGTGTCGAAGTCCGCAGACGAGAGCCAACGCGCTAGTGTCCTACCCAAGGTACGGCATCTCTCCTGAAATGCCCGACCAAAACGCCAGGTCTGACCCGTGACAGGCTCCGATACGGTGGGGCCTGCCGTAGCGAAAGTGCGTGGAGTTGTTGTGGTTGCTTGCTTGCTTTTGGGTAAAATGCAAAGTGAGATTGATACCTTTAAGTTTTGGGCTAGCTACGGGCTCTAGGTCTTCCTCTTGCTGTCGTTCTAGAAGCTGAGCTAACCTATACTAAATGCAAGTGTTTTTCCGTTTTCGTAATCCTATATATGCATGTTTGTATACTTGTGCAGGTAGAGTTCTGGATTCCGGGCGCCAGGCAGTCTTGCGCAAGCCTGGCGCCAGCCTTCAAGCGACGCTGCGCGCAAGCTACTTGTGGCGGAGGAGGAGGCGGAGGAGGAGGCGACGCCTGACTTCCTAGCCACCAGGTACGTCTTCCTTGAGCATGTCTGTTGCTGGCGTACCCGCTTGCGTGGGTGCCAGCAGCAGACATGCTGCATCATGACATCCCCCCGGGCTTTTAATCGCGTTGGCGCTGTTGACGGAACTTGTGAAGAAGTTCACGCCAATGCGATACACGTTTGAGCTTGACCTCGTACTCCCAAATGTTTTCCGAATCGGGAAGTCCGTGCCACTTCACCAGCCAAAGCCGTTTGTTGTTGCGCTGTTTCCGCTGGAGCAGAGCCTCTGGGAAATGTAGTTCTTCGTCGGTTTCATCGTCTAGGAGTACTGGTGCAGACTTGGGCAAAGGTCGCGACGCGAGGCGTTGAGGGTTCGGAACGTCATGCTTGAGGAACCCAACATTGAAACTCAGGTAAAGGCGACTCATGTGGCGTGGTAGCTTGAGCCGTGCTACGTTGGAGTTGCTCATCTTCTCGATTTCGAACGGGCCGATGTACCTCATCGCTAACTTCTCACGGTTGAGCTCCGTGTTAGCCGTGATGCGCTTGAGTGGCAAGTTACGCGTGTCCAGCAGGACACGGTCTCCTTCCTTGAACTCCACGTCTCAGCGCTTCCTGTCATAGTACTTCTTTTGACGTTCTTGAGCTGCCAGGAGATTCTTGCGCGCCAATTCAATGATCTTCTTGCGTTCTTCAGCAAACTTCTGCGCAAAATCAACTAGCGGGACATCTTCATCACGAACTTCACCAGGTGTGCTCTGGGATACCAAGTTCCTGACCTTGCGTCCTGTGTCCACTTCGAACGGTGTAAGCGTTGTCGAGGAGCTCTCCAGCGTCACATGTGCGTACTCGATTGTTCTCAAATGCGTAGCCCAGTCTCGACCATGATAGGACACCATGCACCGTAATGCATCTTCCAAGACCAGGTTCTGACGCTCAGTCTGTCCATCCGCTTGGGCGCGATATGCCGTGGTGAGCGACAACTTGACCCCCATGATATCCATGAGCGACTTCCAAACCTTCGATGTGAACTTGGGGTCTCGATCGCTGACGATCAACTTCGCCAGACCGTGATGACGAACGACTCCTTCAAAGAAGATTCGTGCAACCTCCGGGGCATCTGCCGTCGTATGTGTCGGAATATACTTGGGTCGCTTGGACAGTTTGTCCACCACTGGCATGATTGCATCGAAGCCATTGCAAACAGGTAGCCCTGTCACGAATTCCATAGTCACTACTTCCCAACACTCACTCGGAACTGGAATTGGCATCATAGTGCCTTTCTTGCGTGCCGTACTTACTTTCCATCTAGCACACGTCCCACAGCTTGCCACGTATTCCTTCGTGTCCTTCTCCAACGTGGGCCAGAAGTACCACTGAGCAACCCTCAACTGCGTTCGACGGATTCCAGGATGAGCTGCCGTATTTGCATCATGGAATTCTTTCAAGATGTTCGTGATCAGCCGAGCGTTATTGGGGACACACAGCCTCATGACTGAATAATCCGACCACTTGTACAGGAGCCCATTCGATTTAACGAAGTCTGCAGATTTGTTCGGTCGGTTCCATGCTTCTTTGAAAGCGGGGTCTCGCTTGTATCCAGCTTGGAACTTCTTCTTATGATCTTCGCTTAAATGCACGCTGGATGTCGAGTACTCGACGTTCTGGACTTGTTCCACGAGAACATTGACTTCTTGCTGAACCCCAATAGGGTGACTCTCCCCCCGCAAGTCCAGATCGTCGAGAAGAAGATAGCGGTCGTCGGACGGAAGCAAGCGAAGCATTGCTGCGTGGACACTGTGACGTCGAAGCCTCGAAGCCTGATGCGTACAGGATGACGAACAATCATGAACTGCTGGTAACTTCCAAGGCTCGGGTTCGTCTGTAACTTCGTCGTCGGAATCAGTCGCCGGGAGCTGACTTGGACGGGATAGGGCGTCGGCCACGACATTGAGATGATCTTTCACATGATGCATCGTGAAGTCAAATTGCGAGAAGAATGTAAGCATGCGTCCCATTTCAGGCGATACCTGAGAGTGATGCAACACCCAACTGCAAGCTGCATTGTCGGTAAAGACATCGAAGTGCCGGCCGTGAAGGTAGTGACGCCATTTCTCGAGAGCGGTTTTGATGGCCAAAAGTTCCTGCTCATGTGGAGGCCAGCCAACTTCATGGACATTGAGCTTCTTTGAGTAGAAGGCAATCGGGTGGCTGCTGCCGTCGAAGTCTTGCGAGAGCACACCGCCCATGCACTTACCCGATGCGTCGGTTGTAACCGTGAAAGGTTTCGAGAAGTCAGGCAAACGAAGAACAGGAGCTTGCTGCAAAGCGAGCTTCAGCGATCGAAAAGCGTATGCCTGTGTCGGACCCCATTCTCAAGTAGCTTGCTTCTTAGTCAGCTTACTCAAAGGTAGGGCGTGTCGCGCAAAGTCAGAGATAAAGCGACGATAGTAGCCAGCAAGACCGAGAAAACTCTGCAGCTCCTTCTTGTTCGTTGGATCCGGATATTGCTCGATAGCCCTGGTCTTCTTCGCATCTACGGATAACCCTTCTGCTGACACGGTGTGGCCGAGAAAGTTAACACTCGCTTGACCAATCGAACACTTCGATCGGTGGGCATAAAGCTTCTCATGGCGGAGCACTTCAAAGACCACTTCCAGATGCTCGAGATGCTCTTCTTTGGTCTTGTAAAAGATGCAGATAACGTCCAAATAGACCACGACGAAGTCGCACTTGTCAAACAGGACGCGCACCAGTCGTGACCAAACCCCAGGCATACCCGAAAGACCCATCGGAGCGACACACCACTGGTAAGTCTCCTTGTGAGTACGAAAAGCGGTGTACTGACGACTACGCGGCTTGACCCGCATCTGGTGGTAACCTTGGGCCAGGTCCAGAACCGTAAACACTGTGCAGCCGACCATCTTGTCAAAGATTGCCTCGATTAGCGGTAATGGAATCTTCGGGATCTTCGTCTGACTGTTGACATAGCGGAAGTCGATGACCCAACGAATCGGAATGGAACTATTCCCGGATCGCAGCCATTCTACCCGCTTCGGGATTTGACCAGTCGCAGGATCTTTCTTAGGAACACCGAAGATATTGGAGACCCAGGGTGAATTGGAGACTTCTATCCACCCTTTCTTCATGTTTTCCGCGACGAACTTTTCCAATGCTTCTTGCTCCGTTTTAGACAGTCGAAACGGTGCTCGGGTGCTAGAAGCGGCGTTAGGCTTCATCTCCATGTCGAACTCGACGATGCGCTCGGGAGGTAGGCCATCTGGCAACGTTTCTGGGAAGACATCACCAAACTTGTCCAGCAAATGTTCAATGTAGTCTGGTACATTGTCTAATTCCACTGCTACACAGACCTTGACGAAGAACAGCTCCGCAAACTTCCTGTCCTGCATACAACGACGAAACTTCTTCGTGGACCCAAAGACACCATTACGCCATGCCTCAGCCAAGGCGAGGTGTGACCGATGACGTGCGCGAACTGCTTCCTTTTCCGCTTTCTTTCGTTACTCTTCTGCCGACTCCGACTCTTCAATTTCGCTCGGGTCCATTGTGACGGCGCCTTTCTCACATTCTTTCTGATCTTCCATCTTGTTTGCGTTCTTGTCCGTCTTGGGCCGTGGTCTCTTTTCCATGCTCGGAAATGCTACTTCATGCGTTCGCCAGTTGATTGTTGGCTGATATTTGGCAAACCACGGCTTACCCAAGGTATCGTCATGTTCAATCGCCAGTGAACTCTCTGTTAGACGCATCCTCTCGAACGCATTGTCTTCCATGCTGATGTCCGCTTCCACTACCTTCACATCGCGATACTCCTTGATCTCACCTTTGAAGCCCTTCACCTGTACATCCTTTGTTCCTGTCACCTTCGACACCATTCCTGGCCGTACCAGATTTGCCGTAGCACCACAGTCAAGCAGTATCGTTACTGGGCGCCCTTCGATTCTCCCGGGTTTGCGAATGAGCTCATAATCCGGTCTAGCAACCATGTCATGCATGCTGACTTCCTCAAACGCATCCACAGTGTACTGATCGTACACGATTCTTTCTTCACCCTCGCTGACGTGTTGCTCCACAGCATTGACGTGCTGCGAGTCTCGTTGACGCTGATTCGGACCTATGTAGGGGCGCTGGTTCCGACGAGGAGCCTTGCAGTGGGCTGCAATGTGACCACCACGGAAGGAGTTGTAACATTTCCTCTGCCGACGGCACTCTTCTGTACTGAGCTCTTGCGCACTGTCGATCTCCATTGGCTCAGGACCATTTGATCTTGAAGTCGACTCGTTTCTGCGGAATCGTGGGTGATCACGGTCGCGACGTCCCGTGCGCGCCGGAGCACCGAAGTGCGAGCGCTCATAGTCCATCGCTACCGTAATGGAATCCGTAAGGGTTTCACAACGCTTGTACAGTTCTTCTTGACGTGTATTTGGCATCAACCCTTGCGAGAATTACACTCCGTCATGTCTTCCACTTGTAGTACAATGTTGCGAAACCGTGAAACGTAATCACCCAACGACTTGCAAGATTTCTGGCTCAGGTGTCGCAACTGCTCACGCAGCCGCAACTGAAGATCCGCCGGAACAAACGCGCGTGCCAACTCTCGGAGTAACTGCTCCGCAGAGTAGATCTCATGCTTCCGCGCCAGATACCACTGACCAGCCTGCCCCTTCAACGTGCTCCCGATAATGGCCAGTACCCTCGTCGCCCAACGCTCGTTCTTCCAGTCAATGTTGCGGGCCTCAAAGTACTGCGACAACTCTTCTTGATACAGGCGGAACGACTCAGACTCATGCCCCGTGTACTTGGGTAGTCTAATCCCATCCAACTTGAAGTCATTCGTTCCTCGTTGCTCGTTCATTACTCTCATCATCTCTTGTTGCTGCTGCATCAGCTGCAGTACTCCTTGCATGAGCTCCGAGACGTCCGCCATCTTGTTCGCCCTCCTTTCGCACGCGGAAGCCTTAACCCGAAAGTCTAACTAGTAACAAAGCTGATTCCCTCTAAAACGTTATACCCGCGAAGGTATTCGTTTTCACACACTACGATAAATTGCCGTAAAAAAGCGACTAAAACGTGTTTACTGCTCACTAGATGAGTTAATCAGCACCCTTACAGTAGCTGGTTACGCTGGCGGCGGGCTTCCTCTCGATCACGGAGACGGTTGTCGTGCTCGAGTTGCTGACGGGTGGTACGAGGGTCCAAAATCCTGGCTACACCGAGGTTGATGAGGCCGGTCACCTTGCCGAGTTTACGCTGGACGCGACAGAGCTGGTGGATGACCGCATTTTTCTGGTCTCTTTCCTCCGAAGTCAGTGGCTTAACCTCAGCAAGATCCGTTTGGTCGTTCGCACCGCGTGCCGGATTTGACGGTAGCAATCGGTGCGCAACTTGTCGATGCCGGTGGCGTCGATTACACCCAGCCTCTCAAAAGACCCGTCGGGAACAGCGTTGTGAACGCGACGACCCCTACGTCCAGCCATCCAATCAAAGAAGCGGCCCGGGCAACTCAGAGTGGACGGCACTACCCCTAACCGCCGAACTCGAAAGCCGGACTGGATCGGGTGCGCCGCTACAACTGGTGCCTCGTACTTATGCCGACGTTCCCTTGACAGATGTCAGGTGGGTCCGAATTACAGCCAATCACCGGTGCCCGTAGCCCTCTCCGAGGTTGGCGAAGCGCGGTCAAAAGCGAATCACCAGCCGGTGCCCGAAGACCTCCCTGAGGTTGAGCGAAGCGCGGTTGCGAGGGGACCAACAAGTGCTACCAAATGACAGGCTCCGATGCGGTGGGGCCTGCCGTAGCGAAAGTGCGTGGAGTTGTTGTGGTTGCTTGCTTGCTTTTGGGTAAAATACAAAGTGAGATTGATGCCTTTAAGTTTTGGGCTAGCTACGGGCTCTAGGTCTTCCTCTTGCTGTCGTTCTAGAAGCTGAGCTAACCTATACTAAATGCAAGTGTTTTTCCGTTTTCGTAATCCTATATATGCATGTTTGTATACTTGTGCAGGTAGAGTTCTGGATTCCGGGCGCCAGGCAGTCTTGCGCAAGCCTGGCGCCAGCCTTCAAGCGACGCTGCGCGCAAGCTACTTGTGGCGGAGGAGGAGGCGGAGGAGGAGGCGACGCCTGACTTCCTAGCCACCAGGTACGTCTTCCTTGAGCATGTCTGTTGCTGGCGTACCCGCTTGCGTGGGTGCCAGCAGCAGACATGCTGCATCATGACAACCCGTATCCGAACCGACAAATAGATAACCAAGAGACGGGAGGGCCTTCTCCAGGTTCGCTTCAAAGTTCGCGTCGATAAACTGCACCTTTGTCTTCTCGCCGAAGTTCGCCTCGCGCAGGCCGGTCCGTGCCTCTTCGGTCAACTGCTCCCACATGATGAGATCTTGAAGTGCGAGTATCTCCTCCGAGACCATCAGGTAGAGCAGGCGCTCGTCTCATACTTGCATCGCTTCGTAGGAGAGCTTGGCACTCGTGCCATCCAGAAAATCAGAAAAAGCAGCGGTGCACATCTCGCGGTGCCAAAGGTTATTCTGTAAGCACGTGGGCTCCACGTTTGCTCTCACACCATATCCGCTATCCGTTGAGCTTGCGTACGACCCGGCGAGAATCTTTGGCTCCTCCCCAGCAGGGTTGTCTTGGGAAAATACCACGCGTACATGATGGCCTAGAGATCATTGTGCCAAACGGCTCGGCCGTGCACTTGGGAGCCCAGACCTGAGCCCTTGCATCCAGAGTCGAGCCCCCCCCCCCGTGCCCCTTAAGGCCCCCACTCGTCTCACCCGCCACATTGACAGCGGGGTTCGGGTGGCAGCCGCTGACGATGTGGAGACTTGGCTTGTATTAATACTTGACAGCAGCCTTCTCTGAGACGGTGGTCGCCTCGGGCTGCGCGAACGGCTGCACCTTGTTATGATCGATGCTGACAGCTCCCGAGGAGGCAAGTGCAGTGGCTGCGATAGCAGCTGAAAGCAGTGAGCGCAGGTTCATGATCCGGTCGTGCCTAGGGGAGAAATTCGGAAGTGAGCTGGGGCTCGAAACATAAGTACCATTCTTGCTCCAGTACCGTATTGCGTCCGATCTAACGGAATCAGAACCCGCACCCAATGTGGTGGTGGATAGTTGGGTGAGCTGGAGACCCCGTGCATAAAAAATCCCATAGTGTAATGAGGGGTACGGAACTCGGTCCCCCCCGGGGGTCGGATAGCTACCAGCATCCTGCGCCATAGACGGCCCCAGTCATGGCGTACGGGTTCCGGTGGCTTAAATCTCTCTAACTGGATCAGTGGTACTTCCTGCTCTGTAGTCAACAGATCTAACGCAATCAAACCAGTTCTCCAGTTCTTCTGAGCACTGTCGTGAATAATAGCGGCGGAGTTGGGCCGGTACTATTGCGCTTACCGTTCCCTTTTCAACGTAGTACCCGCTGTTCATGCAATTGCGTGACCGCCATCCAGTTGATGCACGTCCTAAGCATTCGTCTTGCTAATTTAATTTAATGGAATGGAATCCAGTTTTCCAATTAAACGTAAGACGAGCTGCCTGCGCACTTGACAGAAAACGCGCTTTTAGAAATTGGCTGTCATAGAGTAAGCCTGGATACATGGCTTGCACCGAATCCTTAGTTCATTTAGAAGCCACAACCAGGGCTCGTAAATAAAAAAAATGTACTGAGAATGTAAGAAAAGCATATTAGTAAGGCACATTTAGTAAAACATGTCCGGCCAAAAGGGTCGCCTGTAGCCCCAGTGAATTCCATTTCCCCTAGATCGCACATGCATTATTTAATGTAGTATTCTGCATTGTATTTGCCCGTGTAGTCCTCCCGAGTTCATACGAGTAGTGGCCAGCGTATCATCACTCCTCGTGTCATATAGATGTAGATACTATCTTGTCCAGGGCATCCACAACTTGAAGGAACGTGTTGCTGCTACAGAAAGTGGCTGTAAATGATTGCGCACTCGGAGGACGGACGGCACGGCCCTCAAATCTCCAAAGAGAGACGTGAGGAAGGAAATGCGTCTCAAACTCTGAATAGCTCAGATCGAGGCAATGAAGAAATCGAAATGCTGGGGTTCCCTTGATTTGGCGGGTTGGATTTCACCCCTTCCCTGTAAACTTATCAAACCTGTCAAAAGGTCATCATGTGACAATACATCAAAACTGCACTAAAACACCAATAATGACGCGAAAACCCAGATTTAATTGGATACATGTATTAGTTGTTGTAGCAGTAGCACGGTCGCAACCTGAATCTAACACGTAGACTAAGGGTGACCGAGTAGCTGTAGGTAATTAGTTAGGAGTAACCTTGCTTAGACGGTAATGTGCCTGTTTCTAACAGGCTGCGAAACTAGGGCTCCGCGAAGGGTGGGGATAGGAGGCTTTTGGTATAAAACCCTTCTTTTTATTTTTATTAATACTTTTCTTATTAGCTACGGCCATCTCCTGCGCCTGCTTCGCAGCCGCAGCATCTGTCCGGAATTTTGCCGTAAAACTGTAGATATCAACTGGCAATGCTTTAGAAAATTAAAATTGCGAGATCTGTTTGCTAAATGCTTATCTCTAGTGCTATTTTACAGTCCTTACCTCACTTTGTCCATCAGCTCACGATATGTACTGATTCATACCAGTGTCGTCGGTAGCGCACTGGTTCGATCTGCCCACTGTTGGAGGGCCCAGTGCGGCACCGGTTTCATACAAGTGTGATGAGTATCCTACCGGTTCATTTTGCCACGCATATAAACCGCCCAGTGCGGCACCGGAATCGTACCGGTTTCAAGAAAATGCGCCAGTTAGATGTCCAGAGGTCATCGTTTGACTACGGATTTAATCCGATTTGGTCTGCGATAGCAGCACTAACGTTGCTTCCTATCCCAGTATAAGTACCTAATAAAAGGGGCTCTTGCCCCCCTGAATCTAACGCGTACATAGTTATCGCAAACGACCAAATCATCGATACCCACCCCACGACTACTGTACCTAAACGGTGGCTATCATTACTGTACACTAAACCATATTGTGCCGTCAACAGCTATGCGAGAGAGTCTAAGGCAATTTCAATAGAGGGTCATTTTTAAAAAAAAATGGGCATGTTTTCATGTTGAAGGGGGGGGGGTCTTTCGCTTCGCTCGGGGGCGCCGCTACCCCCCTTTCTCGAAGTCCTCGATTCGGCCAGGCGCGGTGTCTAGAAAAAAAATCGGGTTGTAGCGCTCGCTTGCGCAGACCAGCCCCGCCTAATGGGCGGGCGTTGGAACCAGTGAATGCACTGAGTGAGGCTCGCCCTCGCGCCCGTTCGCCCTCGCCTATTCCTCAACAGATCGTGATCAAATGCTTTTATGAAAATGGCCTTCCTTGGAAATGGCCCTCGTTAGCCAGTCTCCAGCTACTTAAGACACAGTCCGGGAAGGATTATCTATTTCCACTACGAAACAGCTAGCGGAAACGATTGCGTTAGATCGGACGCAATATTGGAGCAAGAATGGTACTTATGTTTCGAGCCCCAGCTCACTTCCGAATTTCTCCCCTAGGCACGACCGGATCATAAACCTGCGCTCACTGATTTCAGCTGCTATCGCAGCCACTGCACTTGCCTCCTCGGGAGCTGTCAGCATCGATCACGACAAGGTGCAGCCGTTCGCACAGCCCGAGGCGACCACCGTCTCCGAGAAGGCTGCTGTCAAGTGCAAGCCAAATCTCCGCGTCGTCAGCGGCTGCCATGTGGCGGGTGAGACGAGTGGGGGCCTCAAGGGGCACGGGGGGGCTCGACTCTGGATGCAAGGGCTCAGGTCTGGGCTCCCAAGTGTACGGCCGAGCCGTTTGGCACAATGATCTCTAGGCCATCATGTACGTGTGGAATTTCCCCAAGGAGAGGTATGACACGGCCTTCAGCGTGTCGGGCTATCGACACAAAAAGGGCTGAGCGCAGTGGTGTGGCTCGACAACCCTGCTGTGGCGGAGCCAAAGGTTCTCGCCGTATCGTATGCAAGTGCAGCCGATCAATTCACCGTGTGAGCGAACGCAGAGCCCAAGTAGTGCTTGTGGAATAACCTTCTCCGCCACCAGCGCCTTGAGGGAGTATCTGAATGGGACGAGTCCCAATTTGTATTAGCTTGCTATCCTAACAAGTGATGAGCACATGCTCTACCTTTGGGCTTCGAAGGAAACTGGTGAACTTCAGGACCTCATCATGTGGGAGCAATTGACCGAAGAGGCACCGGCCGGTCTGAGCAAGGCAGACTTCGGCGCGAAGACTGAGGTGCCATTCATCGACGCGAACTTTGAAGCGAACCTAGAGAAGGCCTTCTCGTCCCTTTAGCTTTACACGATGTTAATTCATTCTTAGCCCGGGTTTCCTTGTGGGCTGATACTCTTCCTTCATGCTGAGCTGCAGCCATCTCCCGACATGGCTACAGTTTTACGTGCCATACATATGAGTCGGTGAAGACTTTCGTGGTGATCATGGAGGGACGCGATCCGCTCAGCATAACGGATCTTGTCGACTTGAAGTGTGTACCATGCGAATCCCAAGACTGGCGCTTCTCGCTCTCGGCTTGCTCTGCGCAGTGAACGCCGCTAACTCCAACACCAAGAAGGAACTCGTGTCCGAGTACGTCCACGTGCCGACCTCCTGCGATACCGAGAACTGCGTGGCGGGCGGCTGCCTCTTCGAGAACTGCGCCTCTCCGCTGTCGTGCAAGGGCGGACTCTGCTACTTCCGGTACGTACTGTATACACTTGATGCGCGGTCCCTTGCTGTGCCTTTGTCAGTGCGGCGCAGAGCCACTTAATGCTCAAATCTGAAAGTGGCGCGACGTATTCCGTGTCTCGAGGCAGCAAGTGCAAGACGGCCGTGTGCGAAGGAGGCGCCTGCATCTTTGACGACACAGCAGATGCCTCGTGTCCAGGCGGTGGCTGCAGCTTCGTGAATGTACCGAATACGCTGGCAGACGGATACTGCGACGGCGGCGGCTGCACGCTGGAAGGAGACAGTCACCCATCCAGCTTATCCGGGTCGCTTGCCCAATGAGGCTTACGCGGTGGCTACTGCCCTTTGTTTTTGACAAAGTTGCCTCGACAGCTGCTGATAACTCCATCGTAGCTAAATGAAATTCATAACAAACCTTTCCAAAGCACGAATGCACTCGAAGTCGAGTTCTTCTATCTCGCCGCATCATTTGGCGTACAAAATGCTTGAAAACCCCTTCTTCAAGCGTTTTAATTCTGCTGGGCTTGGTTTTGATTTTGTTGCACTAGGGAAGAACCTTGTGTCCATGGGGCAATTAACCTGAGCATATCGCTCTGTTCGTTTAGTAGCAGACAGTTCCAAGAAAAACTAGATCGCTGGTGCTTCAAGGCTGTTCAGCTGTAGCAAAATTCTACTTGAAAATGCAAATGCCTATCTCTAAGTGCTATTGCCGCCCGCCTCAATTGTTCTCTTTACTTAAATTACCCTGCTCAATATATGTACTGATTCATACCAGTGACGTCGGTAGCACACCAGTTGTCTGAAAAATCAAAAGTGGGGTTCATCTTCATCTTTCGATCGAATGGTCGATTGAACTATACATCAAACTTTGGCAACGTTTTACGGTAGGGAATGCATTGCACGCGTATACACTACGAAGCAATCTATAAGTTAAGGTCAACGCTTTTTCGAAGCTCATGCCAAGTTTGTGAAACGCGCGACAAGACATTCATGACTCTCTGCTTGTATCACGGTTTTGATAAGCATATTAAGTACCTGTGTCACACACATTTCTAGGCTACACACAGGCTGTGTGTAGCCTAGAAATGGCAGTTAAGCTGGTAGATTTAAAAGTCTCCTACTATGCGGGCCCCAAGGCTACGATGATGGTTGGGAACTTGTTATACAAAAGCTCAAACACGTTGAAGTGTATCTCGTAAGGAAGCGTTTCGTAGCATGGTTGAAGACTGTGATGACCAATACTGCGCACACGCTCGTAAGGGTGCTGTAGAGTCCTTCTTCATCCTCACCACGGCCGTCAATATTGCCACCAATTTGGTGGCACCAAAAGATGAATTCCACAAACCGGGATTCATGTTGATTAAGCAACTGCAGATTTTTTATCGTGGTGGGCCAATCGCCACCGTATCCTCGACAGCGTCGTGGTCGTCGAGTGTCCGGCTGACTGCTCAGGCTCTACCCTCTTGCACCACGAGCTCCGCGTTGTCCAAGCCGCTGGTTAAGACCCGCAGCATGAAGTGCAACTGCACGAAGCGTCCTGCTTCCGTGTAGAAGGCTGGCATCTGTAGCTTCTCGACCTAACGCACGTAGTGGGTTGGGCGAAGGCTGTCTAAGGTGTGATCGAATAGTACAGCATATGAACCTGTAACTCAGTCGACATTTTTTGACATGTGAACGAAATAAAGCTGGTGGAGCCCTTCAGGCTACTACGTAGCCCCCCCCCCTCGTAAAGATCTGCATTAATTTGTCAAAATTAATGCTGGAGTCTTTGAAGCGGCAGGATGTTACTACATGTAGCTCATGTAGGTAGGTATTTAATTGCTCTTGCTCAGAGCGCATCGCTGGAACTTAGTTTGTAGCAGCTTCAGCCTCTGTAGATATGCCACGTTCGCTCTATCCATAGTCCTTTCACATAACGAATCCTCGCTTGTTTGTATCCGTATTGAAGACCATCCGTCGTATTCTTAGCAGAAGCCAGGACAGCACTACGCTGCAGAAGATGGTGCCCAGTGATTCAGTGCAGGCAGATAAGATGACGCCCTCTCTGAGAAGGGATTTCTCAGCCAACGTGATCTGCCACGGGCAGGGAGGAGTCCTCATTGAGGACACATACACGTATGTACCCGCAGGAGATCCCAACTCGTGCTTGCGGTCCTGGATTCAGCGGGCGCAATCGCTCACTACGATAAGGCGAGTTTACTCAACGATGAGAAAGCGTAAGATTTGAAGCGGCCAGGTGCTCACTTGTTGGTGATGCAATCCATCGTGCTCCCCATTCTGGAATTCACCGCCATCCCAGTACACCTCCGCCAAGAACTACCTCCGCTGCCATGGCTTCTGCTTCGACCGACAAACCTGCCTGCATGGCCTACCGCTTCCTGGGCAACTCCGGCCTCTTGGTGTCCAAGCTCGCTCTCGGCAGTTGGGTGGAAAGTACACGCCGGAAGCTTGGTACCAGGTGATGAAGCTCGCCTTCGAGCACGGCGTCAACCTCTTTGACAACGCCGAGACGTACGGCGACGGGCTGGCCGAGAAGAACATAGGCTTTGCCATTACGAAGGGCATCGCTGAAGGAGTCTGGACGCGCGAGAGCCTCGTGGTCACCACCAAGATCCAAGCGTTTTGACGCAGTCGGCCCGAACGATCGTGGCCTCAGTCGCAAGCACATCGTGGAGGGCACCAAGGCCTCACTCAAGAGACTGGAGCTGGACTACGTCGACGTCATCTTTTGCCACCAGCCCCACCCGTACACGCCCATGGAGGAGATCGTGCGAGCGATGAACTTCGTCATCGAGCAAGGTTGGGCCATCTACTGGGGCACGAGCTCCTGGGCTGTCGCTGACATCCGCGACGTCGCCGACCGCCTGGGCTTGATCCGCCCGATTGTGGGGCAACCCGAGTACAGTCTGCTGGAGCGCTCCAAGGTCGAGGTTGAGTACGCGGACCTGTACAAGAAGTACAAGCTGGGTCTGACGACGTGGTCTCCTCTGGCATTCGGGATTCTGACTGGCAAGTACAGCGCTGGTGCCCCGGAAGGTCTAGGCTGGAAAATCCGATGTACAAGTCGTTCGTGCCGGACTTCGCAGGCCGACTCGCGAAGGCCGACAAGCTGAAGCCTGTTGCCAAGGAGCTCGGCGTGACTATGGCGGAGCTTGCCCTCGCTTGGTGTGTCAGCAACGAGAACGTGTCCAGTGTGCTGGTCGGCGCCAAGACGATCGAACAGCTCAAGCAGAATCTGAAAAGGTGCTTGAGGTGCTGAACAAGGTCACGCCCGAGGTGAAGGCCAAGATCGACGCCCTGGCGCCGTTCGTGCCCGAGCTACCGAAGCCGGCGCGATCGGCAAAGCTGCGGGCTCAGTACCTCTAGCTTCTTAACCACCTGTAGTCGACTGACTGCTAACAATTCGAGCTGCCCAAGAACAATACACGTGCTTGTTCATCGTTCATTGACCTCATTGCCTGTGTCGCTAGTAGTGGATCAGCGGGTGCACGGGCCACACGCGCTCCGATTCGAGCTCGACTGCAACAGGGCTGTCGAAAACGTCTAGATACTCGTCCAGGGTCATGAGCTCGTCTCGACTCAGCAGCCATAGCACGAGGTCGTTAGACGGCAGAAACGTCTGGTCCGTATTCGACAGATTCGTCAGGCACTTGCGGATCTCGGCCGGCGGCATGGGGCCGATCTTCTTGAGGAACTTGATGAGGCTGAGGAAGGTCTCGACCACGCACTGCGGCGCTGAGTCGTCCGTCCACTCGCCGGCATCGCTGCGATTGAGCGTGATCTTCTTAAAGTAGAGCCCCTGGAGGATCCGCACGCCGTGGTCGTCGCAGCTGGCCAGCACCTTCATGGAGCTGGCCTCGATGATGCGTTGATGCTGCAGCTGCTTGAGGAGGATCAAGAAGTGCTCGGCCGTCGTCTCCAGGAAGATGACGACCGTCGCGTCGTGCAGCAGCACGAGCCCCGTGGCCTCGCACTGGATCCGGCTCAGCAGCTTGGCGAAGTACTCCTGCGTCTTGCACGCGTTGTCCGCGGACGGGTCGGCCAGCTTGCCGAGCACGGCCGATCTCGATAGCCGCAGGTCAAACTTGGCCGACGCGTCGGTCGTAGCGGCCAGCGAGCTGCTGCTGCTGCCGTGGTGCGACTGGTTGTCCTCGGCCGTGGACTCGCCGCCGTTGGTGGCGTCCTGCTGCGCCTCCTGCAGGCGGCGAGGCTGCGGCGGGTTCACGAACGTCAGCACCTCCGAGAGCGACGGACCCAGCAGCTCCAGCGCGTCGAACGACGGCTCCGACACTGCGGCGGCTACGACCTTCTCTGGGGTGTCTGGCCCGGGCGAGCTCGGCCGGTCGGCACCGTCCCTGGGCATCACCGACAGCCGCATCCTTGACCCGCTGGTGCCCAGCGACCGCGTCGACGGCGAGTGCCCCGGAAGCGCATTGCGCGTAGATCCCTGCCGAGCAGCTCTCGCAGCCTTCTCCATGACGGCTGGACGGTCTCAATCTGGCCGCGTCGGTTCACAGAAGTCTCTCGATATCTTTGTATCGGGGCCATCCGGCCGGAATCGTGACAGGAGCATGGAGCGCAGTAGTAGTAGGATGTAAGAAGTTATAAAGACGCAAGCTTCGTTGAAACACGCTGGCCGCAGCCATAGTAGCGCCGCGCTTCAACTCGTTAAACACAAGTCACATATTACGTCAACGTTGTTTCGACCAATCAGAGGACGTGCTGGACCACTCCTCGGATCCCAGCTCCGATGTCACAACGGAAAGAGGCGCCTTCAAGCTCAAGCCCAAGCTCCCGACTACCGCAGCGGAGCATCAATGGCGGCGCTGTCCAAGTCGCAGGCGGCGTCGGGCGCGGCCTCCATCGCGTCGCTCGTGGCGCTGGCCGTGGCCATCCGCGCGCACGGCCAGCAGAAGGCCAACGCGGCCGGGCGCCTGGACTCGGAGTTCATGACCAAGAAGCACGGCGGCCGCCACAAGGTGGCGGTGAACCGCGAGTTCGCGCGCCGCTTCCTGCGGCTGTTCAAGGTGATCGTTCCCGGGCCGTGCACGGCCGAGGTGGGCTTCGCCGCGCTCGTGGCCGCCATGCTCGTGGCCCGCACGTCCTTCGACATCGTGGTGCTGCACACGTTCACGGCCATCGAGCGCGCCATCATCTCGCGCTCGCAGGCGGACTTCGCGCGCCACCTGCGGCGCTTCGTGGCCATCATGCTGCCCATGTCGTGCGTCAACTCGCTGCTCAAGTACGGCCACACGGAGCTGAGCCTGCGCTTCCGCACGCGGCTCACCAAGCACCTCTACGCGCAGTACGTCAAGGGCTTCGTCTACTACAAGGTGTCCAACCTGGACAACCGCATCTCGAACGCCGACCAGCTGCTCACGGTGGACGTGGAGCGCTTCAGCAACTCGGTGGCCGACCTCTACTCCAACATGTCCAAGCCCCTGCTGGACATCGCCATCTACGCCGTCAAGCTGTCCAGCACGATTGGGGTCGAGGGCCCCGTGATCATGCTCAGCTACCTTGTGGCCTCGGGCTTCTTCCTCACGTGGCTCCGACAGCCCACGAGCCGCTTCACCATCGCCGAGCAGCAGATGGAGGGCAACTTCCGCTTCATGAACTCGAGGCTCATCACGCACAGCGAGGAGATCGCCTTCTACAACGGCAACGTGCGCGAGAAGCGCATCCTGGACCAGTCCTTCAGCCGCCTCATCGACCTCGTGCGCAGCTCGCAGCAGTTCCGCTTCTCCATGAGCGTCATCGACAACATCGTGGCCAAGTACTTGGCTACGGTCGTGGGCTACGCCGTGCTGTCCAAGCCCTTCCTGGACATGAACAACAAGCGGCTCGAGCACACCACGTACGCTGAACGCATGGAGGACTACTTCCGCTCGGGCAAGATGCTGCTCAAGATGTCGGAGGCCATGGGCCGCCTCGTGCTGTCCGGCCGCGAGCTCACGCGTCTCGCAGGCTTCACGGCCCGCGTGACGGAGATGATCGACGTGCTGACCGACCTGGACCAGGGCAAGTACCAGCGCACGATGCTCAAGGCCGAGGACGACGACCTGTCGGACGAACCCGAGGCGCAGTCCACGTCGGCGGAGTCGCTGGGCCTGTACCCGAACAAGGGCGAGCTCCAGTACCGCGACCACGTGATCCACTTCGAGGATGTCCCGCTCGTGACCCCCAATGGCGACGTGCTGGTGCCGTCGCTCAACATCAAGGTCAAGTCGGGCATGAACGTCGTTGTGGCAGGCCCCAACGGATGCGGCAAGAGCTCGCTGTTCCGAATCCTGGGCGAGCTCTGGCCCATGTTCGGCGGCAAGCTGACCAAGCCGGAGCGCAACGGCCTGTTCTACATTCCGCAGCGACCGTACCTGACGCTGGGCTCGCTTCGTGACCAGATTATCTACCCTCACTCGCTCAAGGAGATGCGGGCGTCGGGCCGGACGGATGAAGACTTGATGCACTTCCTGGAGAAGGTTCAGCTCGGCTACCTCGTGGACCGCGAAGGCGGGTGGGACGTCATTCACGACTGGGCCGATGTGCTGTCGGGCGGTGAGAAGCAGCGCGTGGCCATGGCCCGGTTGTTCTACCACAAGCCGCAGTTCGCCATCCTGGACGAGTGCACGTCTGCTGTCAGCGTCGACGTGGAGGGCGCCATGTACAGCTACTGCCGCGAGCAGAACATCACGCTCTTCACCGTGTCGCACCGCAAGTCGCTGTGGACGTACCACGAATACGTGCTTCGGGTGCGTGCTGTGTGCCAATATCTTGTGTATGGTGTCCCTGCTAACGTGTTGTTACTTGGTGATGTGGTTCTAGTTCGACGGCCGTGGCCACTACGAGTTCAAGAAAATAGACGAGGCCGACGAAGCTTTCGGCTCTTAAAGCGCAACAGTCAACTGAACTATACGGCTGCAGATCGCCCAGCCTGTGTATTTGTCCCCACTTTCCCGGTTAAAACCCGCAAACATGCTAATGCAACTTCCGCTCGTGTGTGTTGCAGTGTTGTCGGTGTCTATTTGGTGGTTATGGATTCAAAAGCGCGAGCTTCCAGTCGCAAATTCTATCTCTTATCTATCTAGCTAATGACATGCTCTTGTCGTATCCCAGCAGAAACAATGCGCGGGCCAGTTCGTGTTCACGGAGTCTCTGTCTTTCCTCTCCAAGCTCCTCACGCCAGGTCTCCATCTCGGCCAGCGTGGCGTCCATCCCAGCCGCGTCTTGCGACTTGAACAGCCGCGCGAAGAAGACTTTGGCCTGCTTCCTCACTGCATCGTCACGCACGGTGTCCAGCAAGTCGCAGAGCCAGCTCCAGTTGGCGTCGTTGAGCACTGTATCCGCTACACCCAAGTACTCCTGCTCCCCCTGCTGGTCGTCGTTGGACCCGCACGAGCTCGGAGGCGACGGAATTCGCACGGATTCTAGGTTGCTGATGGCGGAGTTTAGTGCTTCGGCAGTGAGGGACGGCGCCATGCTTCTGGTACTTGCTGGGGGGGGGGGGGCTGCTGCAGTGAGCTCTGCAGGCAGGAAGCAAGTTGGGGAGTGCCGTTGGCTGGGCTAAGCTTAGCTTGCAGGCGAAGGTCCGTCCGTTACTCGTTGTGCCTCTTCGCACTGGCTCTGACGCGATTATCAGGAGGAGTAACGCTTATGTAAGTGAAGTAGCACTAGTTCCGGATACTTGAAGTTTGTGTAGCCATCCTCTCACCCTGATCCTGAATGGAGCCTGAAGATGATACTGTTGCCGTAGTGTTCCAGCGTGAGGAACTTGGACTGGAGCAGAACTCGCTGCGACCACAGCACGAAGGCGAGTTGGTGGATGCCCGACACTCCGAGCCGTCGCGAGACGAGGCCCAGGAAGGTCAATTCCATGCTGCCGAGCAGGACCAAGTACCGTATCATACTCCCCACGGCGGTGGACGTGTTCATGGTGTTTATAGTGGCGAAGTATTTGCGGTTGGGCAGCCTGGAGACGATAAGAAGATAGATCCCTATGCCAGCAATATACACATTCCGTCACCAGCATCAAAACCAAACGTCCTGAGCGAACCTCAACGTACGAACCGTAGAGGATAATCCTGTAGATGATAATGCACGATCGCAATAAAATGACTTCGCTCTGATGCAAGCTTGACACTACATTGTGGAGAAAGGTTTCCCTCTGCTGGGCCCAAGCTGCGCCTAGCGGTATACACTCATCCTCGTGCTCACAAGCTGTAGAGCTGGGCAATACGCTCTGCCTTAGCACTAAGCGGACTCTCAGGAAACGGAAGCACTTGCGTTTAAGCCGTAGGCTTTGAAAGAGATTGCGCTCGGATCCTGCGGTCTATATGTTGCGATTTGGGGCACGAGTCGCACTCTTGGGGTGACGTGTTATCAAACGGAGCAGTGCTGCTTGAGGTGGAAAATGTCCGAGGCGGCAAACTCCGATGGAGAATCCCGAGTAGCGGGTCTTGCTGGGCTAAATTCAGCACCGCAGATACATTGTCGTCCGATACCACAGTCTTGAACGCTCGAAGCTCGGACTTGGCCCTGTGCATCCTTGAGAATGTCTCGGTAGTTGAGCAGCATTTGACACACGTTCACGACAATTCCCGCTGCCAGTGTTTCGAGCGACTTGGCGATCTGAAGGCACATGGCCGTGAAGAGCACGTGGTAAAGGTGTCCGACACGCCAGTGAAGACAGGATACACCACTACCGGGATCATGTTCGTTCTGATCCACAGGTTAAGCGGTTTAGTAAGAACCCAAAGGCGCCCATCGAGCCGACAGGGACGATCTGAGTGAATGGCACTGGAAAAACAGGCGCCCCACAAGCGATGGCGGCAATGTTTGCAATCCCCATCCTGACGTAACCTTGCTGTGTCCGAGGACAAACTTCCACGATATTGTCCGGATTTCTGGAATAAACGTGAGTTGCACGAACACTGGCATGGCGGTCGTAATCACGTACGTTCGTAGCTGGAAGTGGAGAGAATCTCGGTATCCTTTGGCGGGGTCAGCCAGCGGAATACTCTCGATGGTCAGGTTGACGAGGAAACACGGGATCGGAGTCAGAAGCAGGATGGACAGGACCCACGACGGTGTTGCTTCGGCCCGAAAGCGATCGAACGCGTCCAACTAAGCAATGGTGTCCACCCCAGGAAGTATACCAACAACACCTTGAAGTCTCCGTCCGACACCTTTTAAGACGCTAACCTTTATCCAGGCAGGGCGCAGAGCGAGGTGACCGTCGGGCGGCAAGGGCGATACAGCCGTCATTGGTAATTCTCTAATTAAGAGAGCTCAGCATCGGTGAATGTGAAGGCATCGTGCTTAGGAACTGGCAAAGCTATTTGGAGGTGCCTTTACTAAGTCGCGAATAACTAGATAGCGTGAGAAAACAATGGATGGAAACTACTTTCTAGCAAAATTCCGTCACCACGCAATAATTTTGAACCGCAAAGCATGGTCAATCGTATAAAGGCACCGAGGCAGCAGATGCGTATTTCATGTTTTTCTTTTATTGAAATCTGAAATTAATCTTTCGAATACCAAAAGAGCGTTTTTGTTTACAGGACGAGCTAGCAGGACACCCGAAAGCATGAGGTAATATCACTTTATTGAGCGATATTGGAGTAAACTCCCTGAACCTGAGTCCTTGAGAAGACTTTAATTAACCATTATGAAGATTGTAAATGGCCCCGTTCCCGTAGTGAGCGAGTGGGAAGCCGAGGATCATGAGTGACAGCGTCAGGAACTTGGCCTGGACCAGAATCCACTGGGAGCGGAGGACGAACGCGAGCTGGAACAGTCCCGAGACTCCCAGTCGACGCCGGATCAGAACGAGATAAACGCCTGCGTAGACGGTCTCAAGTACGCACAGAGACAGAAGCTGCCTTAAAGTCGTACCTATTTCAGCGATGGCTGTCAATGACACGAGCGTGGCGAAGTACGCGCGATTGGGCATCGCAAACGTGAACAACAGGTAGAATACTACGCAACGTCCAAAACAACGATTAGAACCAAATGTTTGGGAGAATATTAAGTACTCACGGCCTACTTACCGTAGAACGACGTCGTGACAATTGTGATATACGACCGCAGCAGGATGATCTCCGTCTGATGAAGAGCCGAGGTCACGTGGTTGATGTAAAGTTCCCGCAAATCCGGCGAAGTTTTGGCTTCCGCGACAACTTTCATCGAGGAAGCCTGCAGTTTGAACGCCTGCAGTTCTAACAGAGTTTGTTGGCGCAGGACGGACGTAGCTCTACCTCTACCTTTAACATTTCCGGGAATAATCTTAACGAATCCATTTGGCCCTTTCGTTGATGCTCGAGGTTGTACGATACAGTTCGATAAAGCCACACGCGACTCGAAGGCTTGGAACACGCCGCTGTAGCTTGCAATAGAGGCCTCATCGCTGTACCTGGGGTAGGTAGATAGCAGTCCCGAGGGGGAGTTCGAGTGCAAACTCATAGCGACAGAGTCAATCCGGGAAAACTTTAACGTGGCTGCGATTACGTCGTCGGTCATAAAGTCGAACCCTTCGCGACGGAGCTGCTGTTTCGTATCGTTGAGAGCTGCAGAGGTGGCCAGAATGTAGCGCCAGTTGAAGAGCTTTTGCAGCATGTTGAACGCTCCAATGAACATCAGAGTCTCTGTGGACTTTGCATTTTGGAGGATGACGCTGGTGAAGAGGATGTGGTGAAAGTGGCCGGCACAGCAGGTGATGACCCCCACGAGGTCTTGGTCGTCTCTTGAGACCAGCCAGAGCCATCGACGCAGCGCCAGTTTAATCACCGGGAGGAGCATGGAGAGCGCCAATTGCTGGTTGGGCGGGAGTGACATGAAGACGGCAGTGAATACAGGATAAACGACAATGGGGAGGAACTCCATGCCTTGGCGGTTGTCTACTTTGGTGCATTTCGCTCGGAAAGCGCCGTGTTCTGGCCCCCATCTCTGACGGTGGTAGCAGATCATCGACCCTACGATCGCCATGGGAATCACAGGTGTGAATAGCGAGAAAGGGACAGGATAAAGACTTGAAGATGCCGAGATCACGATGTTCGTGCTTATGCTGACGATGCCTTGGATTAAGCCAAAACCCATCAACGACGCCGAGGATCCAGGGAGAAACTCCGGTACGCAGTCCTTCTTTACCAGTCCAGAGATCGAATTCTGGATGCTGGTAGTGAGGAACTGGCGCACTTGAAAGGCGAACGAGCGTCGAAGCCCCTCCTTTGGGTCTGCGAGTGGAATCGCTTCGATCACCAGGTTCGTCATTAAACACGGGATTGGTGACAGGATAAGGATTGAAGCCACTTTCCAACGAGAAGTTTGGAGCTGGAAGCGCTGCAATGCGTCCAACTTCCCGATTGTGTAGTGGCCAGGGAGACGACCGACGAAAGCTTGTCTCCAACGCCAGATCTTCCGAAGAGAGCGACAGAAGCGAGAGCAGGGATACGATACCGATACGGGAGGCTTTGCACTTGTTGGGACCACTGCAACCATAATGTTAGGCGGTCCCAGTGACGAAAGCGCAACTGACGATCTGCGCGCTCTTTAGCGACAGAAATGTTGACAAGGGATCAGGAATTAAGGACGACTGCAACGAAGTTCTATTTGGAGAATTGGACTGAGACCTTATCCTGTATGCCATCAAAGAATTAGGAATTCAAGTTCGTGTCGTAGCATTCAACGACAATTTGGTTAAGAATAATGAAGCAGATTTTAATATTTTTTAAGTGGCAGGCTTACTGAGGCCGTAAATGAGCGTGTTTCCATAGTGAGCGAGGGGAAATCCGAAAATCATGACCGAGAACATGACAAACCTTGCCTGGACAAGGACCCACTGCGATCGTAGTACGAACGCAAGTTGATACAAACCGTGGACTCCTTGTAATGCCGGATTAAAACCAAATAGACACACAAGAAGCCAATCTCGAGAACGCAGACGAACACCAGGCGCATCAACGGTCGCTCGATCTCACTGAAAGTCGAAACAGACGCCAGAGTGATGAAGTACGAGTGAATAGGCAGGGCGAAAATGTACATGAAGTAGATTACTGTGGACGGAGGTAGACGCAGCCATTAGTAAAATATTAGTTATAAAAAACAATTTCCATGTAATTCTGAAGCTTACTTACCGTGTACTTAAGTAAAGTGGTCGCAAAAATGGTAATGTACGAGCGCAGCAAGATACTTTCAGTCTGGTGCAGAGCCACCGTGAGGCTTCGAACGTACTCTTCCCGAGACGCAGTCGACCGTGGCTTGACCATGGAATTTCTGGACGAAATCAAGTGGTTGCGAGATGGCAGCGCCTTCAGCGAGCGAGGTCTCGACATGACGTGAACGACTTGCCCTGGATGAGGATTCGCTGGGACCAGAGCACGAACGCGAGTTGCTGCAGCCCTGAGGAGCCCAATCGGTGGGAGATGAGGATCATGCACATGGCCAAGACCAAAAGCTCCAGAGTGCACAGCACCAGCATGTGGAAGATCATGCTGGCCACTGCGTCGAACGTGGCGGTGGTCGCCATAGTGACGAAGAATCGGCGGTTGGGCAGCGAGAAGATGAGTGCCTGGTACAGTCCTGCAGTAGAATCAGACACGTCAGGTAGTGTAGCCAACCAACCGCACAACAGAGCAAACCTCGCACTAACCGTAGAACGGCAACACGAAGATGGTGATGTAGGACCGAAGCAGGACGATTTCAGTCTGATGCAACGCCGACGTGACTTGCCGAACGTATAGCTCCTGCTGACGCGTGAGGTCGCTCTGGGACTCGTACACTTGTCGGCTGTGTATCCGCGAGATTTCACTGTGTTTCGCAAAGGAAGCTGTCAAATGCTCCGTCATAAATGATTCGTCGGATGGCTTCCGGCTCGACCGCTTCGAAGGGACAATATTCGTGAACGCTCGGGTGATAAAGGCTACGGATCCAGAAACTCTTGAATTTGTCGGGACATTCGGCACGCTGCTGTGTCGGAGGCTTCTGGAGGAGAAGCGTCGACCCCCACTTTGTAAAAGTTTCTGGTGTTTCGAGACGTAATCTTCGTGCTGGTAGCCTGGAAATAAGGAGAAGAACCGTGATAGTCGCTTGCGATGCAGCAGCTTGGACACGTTCTCCTGCTGCGCGATGGTTAATGCAGACGTGACCGCCTCATGACCAGGCAATTCCGGGAGTGCTTCAAAGGTTCTGCGGATTTCGTCCGCATTTTGGAGGATGCCTCGACAGTTGAGCAGCATCTGGAGCGTGTTGACCGCGATGACGATGGCGTACGCCTTCAAGGACTTTGCGCTCTGCAGACACATGACCGTGAATAAAATATGGTACAGGTGGCCGACGCTGCACGTGGCGGCGCCCACCAGGTCTGTGGCGGAGTTAGTGTGGTGTAGTGCCCAGGGAGGAAGCGGGCACGTCGGTGTCGGTGAACAAAGGCGCCGAAACGAATGCTGATGGATGCGGATGATGAACTCGACGCAGTTGATGAAACGCGACGCGATTGATGGGGGCGACGCGCGGCAGAGGTCGACGGAAAGTCGACGCGGGTGATGCGCCGCGAGACACAGCGACAGAGTCCAACTCGACGCGTAACCATCCGACGAGTCGACTAGCGCCCCGTCTCTGCAAAACGCGTCGACCCTAATCCCCGCCGACCAAAACCCGCCGAGCAAGACGCGCCAAGCAAAACGCGCCGACCAAAACGCGTCGAGGTAAGATCTTGATTACGCCACGCAAATCAGGTTGAATGACGGCAGTGCAAGCACGACAGAAGTAGGGATAGGCACAGGACGATAGGCTTAGCAAGCAGTAGTACGGAGTAGCCAGTAGCTAGGGCATAGGATAGGGTAAGGACTCAGTCCCGAAATTTCTCTGAACCACAAAGACCTCCCGTCTTCTCCGAGGTTCCAGGGGAACCACCAAGCGCCGGCAAGTAGAGCCGCCTCGATATCGCGGCCCCCCGTCGTTTGCTGGTTCGGGTGCTCACCCCCCACAGACCCATGCTGGATCAAAGGCACGTTAAACGTATACCGTTTAGGTGGGCGCCCGATAACGCGCTGCCTAGGCGAAGGACCGCACTGGCCTGATAACCACCGTGCACAAGACCCCCCTGTAGGCCCTATAACGCCACACAAGCCCCAGGAAACGCCGGTCCGATAACGCCGCACGCCCGACGGAAACGCTGAGGAAACGCCGGCCCGATAACGCCGCACGCCAAAGGCTCGACGCCCCACGACAAGGAACAAGCGTTAACACAAGAACCCCCAACTCCGAAGCCGGCGAAGACTTGGGCCTGTATGTCGAAGATACGCCACTCCAACAACCGGGAATAATTTGCTCGGCGCGACCGCTATCCAGACGGGCCGAGTTTGTGCGAGATCGCATTCGCGAGATTTCTGCGAGGGCGCTACTCCTCATTAGTCCGTTTCGCAACGGCAAGATCCATAGCGAAGGGTCTCCTGCCGCCAGCAGGCAGGAGACCTCACTTCGAGAAAATGCCGCTAAGCAACAAACAAGTTAAAATCTGCTGTCATCGACCCGGCTTGTCGCTCCGTCGAAGTCCGGCAAGCCGTCCAACTCCCGCTTCCTCAAGCTGCATCGTGCCACCGCACTATTTGGGGCTTTCTCTACTAGGTTGCGCATTCAGGGGAGAGGGCCACCATATTTGCAACATTGTAGCCTTCCACGAAGGTTATTATGATGGAAGCAGGCGACGTTGAAGACTACAACAGCGTGGGTGAGGAAGAAGAGCTCCGAGCCGATGAGATCGCGCAAGTGCGAGCTGTTTTGGGTAGTCTGGGAAGTCTGGAGAAGACAATCAACGATCTATAGCGAGACCAAGGTCTCATGCTCGACTCCGTCACGAAGTTGGCAAATCGCACCGAGCACCGGCAACAGGACAACTACAAGGAGATCAGGGCAAACCAGGAGCTGCTGCAGCAAGTGATCGAGCAGCTTCAAGAATATGCGCACCAAAATGAAACCCGACAAAGTACACAGGAAGCTGTTATCACGCATCTCCAGTCGGAGGTGGCTACCTTGCGGCAACAAGTGCACCTGCTATCGGCCAACACGACCAGCACGGGGCAGCAAGCAGCAAGTCCTGCAGTCACGATGCCAGCCGCAAGTTCTGCAACTCCTGTAGTCACGGGCATGGACGAGAATTCAGGTGCGGAGTGGGACGTCTTTGGGCGTATGCCTCCCAACACGCCGGTCTACGATAGAAAAGAGCTGGAGACACGACTAGCGACTTGCATCCGACTACATGAAGCTCCAATTTACAGCGGTGAAACAAGTGAGGATATTGAAGTCTATGTCCTCAATATGATCAAGTGGTACGCAGCGTTCGGCCTATATTTTCAACAGGAGCAGGTCGATTATCGCGTCGGAGAACTTATGATGAACCACACCCAAGGGAAAGCAAAGGACTGGTTTCTCCGGGAATATCACGGCGAACAGCGCTGGAGCCACATCATCCGCAAGATGAAGCAACGGTTCGTGACACGCTCCCACCAAGAAGATTTGGTGGCTCAATTATTTAGCTGCGCGCAAGGCAATCGTTCGTTGGACACGTACAACGATGAATTTCGCCGGCTAGCACGCACGGCAGGCGTCCCTGAGTACATCAAGATACTTCGATACAAACAGGGACTATCGTCTGTGCAACTGCTGCATCTTCTCAAGACGAAGTCGTTCGACACGCTAGACGAGCTAATTGAAGCCCCGCGCACGCTGAACCCACGCGAAGCCGCTCGATCGAATGATAAAAGCAGCAAAAGCAGCAAGTCCTTCCCTCCAAAGCAGGATAAGAACATGGACGCAGCAAAGTGCACGTCGTCGTGGTGCACGGAGAAGGGGCATACTAAAGAGCGCTGCTGGATGCTACACCCCGAGCTGAAGCCGAAATGGCTCAAAGACAACAACAAGAACAAGGGCAAAGGTGCTGCGGCTGTATCCAAAACAAGCGCTGCATGCGAGGAAAAGAAGCTGTGGTCTGTTCTCAGCATGATCCAGAGCGACATTGCGAAGCTCAAGGGGGATTTAAACTAGCTGGCCTTAGGGATGGCGTCCTAAGGCCAAACACAGCCACTATTAGCCGCGAGAATTGGGTCTTCGACCCTGGTACGGAGGCTAATTCGTTCTACTTCCAGCGGCGTACCGAGGAGAAGCCGCTACCAGCAACGTATTTGATAAAAAACGTTAGCTGCGTTCGTGAAGACGAGATTCAGATTGCGAAGACATTCTTTGACGAAGGTGCTGACTTTTGTGGAGTTTCAATGTAGTACAGTCAAACCTGTTTATATGAGGCCCTGTTGGTGACCATCTACTACAATCACTCATATAAAATGGACTCAGTTAAAACAATTATGTGGTGCACGTAAAGAAATCGTGCATAGTTTGCTGCCGCTTGCCTTCACCGTAGTCTCTCGAACCAAAGCGGTCACGGTCTGTAAAGATCTTCGTTCTCTATCAGTCTGCTCTCCGCATTGCAGCAGAAATGCAGCCAGCTCCATGCAGTGTCTCAGAGCAATGGCAGGTTGAACTGCGGGTTCCTGTTCCTCCTCTTCCTCCTGCTCGTCCTGCGAAACTGCATCACTTCCTGCCGCTTCGTCCACTAGCACATCTGGCTCGTGCACAGGAACGTCTTCGTCCACTGCCAGATACTCACTAGCGCTAACAGCGCCCTCCCACCTCGATAGCATCTCCGTTAACTCCTCCATCTCGTTGCCGGATACCTCCTCAATGTAATCCGTGTCAGCACGGGTCCTTCCTAGCATCTTTCCTCCCAAAATGCGAGTCTTGACCCAGCAATTTGTAATTGTCGTTGGCGTCACACCCGCCCAAGCATCAATGGAGAATTGGACAGCTTCCAGTACGTTGAGCTTGCGTGTAATGTTAGCTTCAAGTGCATCCAAACACCACCGCACAAAATACTTTCGGTACCGAGCCTTGAACGACCGGATAATACCTGAATAAAAAAACACCGTAATAGAGTTGGTTAGTTTAGGCTACACCACAATATAGATAAAATATTTACCTGCATCCAGCGGCTGTACGGCGGATGTCATGTTAGGAGGGAGGAAGTGAGCAGTCACATGAGTCAGGTTTCGTAGAATCTTGTGGCATGAAGCATTGTCGACTAGAAGTAGGACCTTGCGATTGGCGGCCGCCATTCTCATGTTGAAGAGGTGCAGCCATTCGTCAAAAATGACGGATGTCATCCAGGCGTTCTTGGAGGACTTGTACAATATACGTTTACCTTTAATCGCCGCTCCCTTTTTAAAGCACCTCGGGTTCTTGGCCGTACCGATGATTATTGGGTCGAGCTTGTCGGAGCCAGTCGCGTTGCAGCAGAAGGCCAAAGTCAAACGTTGCTTTTCCTTTTTCTTGCCCTTGCGAATAGTCGTAGCTAGCGTTCGATTAGGCGCTAAGCGATAGAAAAGCGCCGTTTCGTCGAAGTTGAACACATTTTCGGGTGTAAACTGCGCCACCAACTCTTGTAGCTCTAGCCTCGCATCTCGCACTTCATCAGCTTCTACAGCGCCACCTTCGCCGTGTAGCGTATGGGAGCGGATCTCATTGCGCTTCTTAAAGCTTTGAAGCCAGCCGTTGCTTAGCCGGAGCTGCGTGGCATTGATGCCTAAGCGCTCCGCCAGCTCATGCGCTTTCAGCAGGAGCACGTCGTCCGCCATCGCCGTTTTAGCTTCGTTCTGAAAGAAAAATTCCCTCAGTTCCCGCTCGAACTGAGGGAATTTTACTCGGCGCCGCTTGGTCGCACTCAGATCGACGTGGCTGAAGTAGGAAGAAGGCAGGTTGCGCAGTCGGGTGAGTGTGGCACGGCTGACCCGGGCCTTGAAAGTTGCGTAGATCCACTCGGCGAGCATGGGGTTGTTCATGCCAGGATTCTGCTTGAGCTTTAGGTGCACTTGGAGCTTTTGTTCTAGCGTCAGACAGGTGCGAGGAGACATGGCGAGCGAAGAAGGCTTGCGGTAGGCGTTGAGTGTTGAGCAGTGGTGCTTTGAAGAGTGTGTGGCCGTGAGCAGTGTGAATCAAATAAACAGGTGAGACCTAATTTGGTCCTCAAAAATGTGATTCATATACCTTGTATGCATATAAACAGAGATCATACAAAAACTAAGTGAAATATTTGGTAGCGACAAAGCCTGCATCAAATAAACGGCATGGCTCCAATAGAGAGGATCATATAAACAGGTTTGACTGTATGCGGAGAAAATGGACTGGGGTCAGTACGAAAAAAATGGGGTCGATGGAGCTGACCTACGCAAACGGCAAGACGGAATCGATTAGAAATCAAACGATCAAGCTGACAGTCTTGGTCGACAATATCCCAGGTTATACAGCGGACTTCCAGCTCTGTCACATTCCTAACCAGTGCGAATTGATGCTGGGCGTACCCTGGAAGCGCGCGCGGAATCCTGTTATCGACTGGGAGACAGATCGCGTGTATACAAAGGAGGAGTTCGTCAAAGAAGTCCTCAAGCAGTCATCACCGAAGAGCGAGCACGTGGGTAGAAGCTATCACTACTGCAGACGATTCGGGATGACGAAGGTAATTAATTTCAAGAAAGCTGACAAGCTCGTGCGGCAGAAAGACGTGGAGTTCATCGCACTCATCCCACCCGAGACAATTAACGCACTCTACCAGGAAGTCCTAAATGAGCAAGCTGGGAGTAGCGGGGCAGCTCACGGAGTCAGCAAGAAACAAACCGACAAAGCTCAGCGGCAGCAGACGACGGATATGGACAGCTTCAAAGATAATCCAGGCTATGGACTTCTAAAAGAGTTTGTTCCAACCATTTTCCGTGATGAACTTCCTGTCGGCCCGCCTCAGCATGGTGAGCACGAGATGGAGGTAATCGACCCGCAACGAGCGATTTATACTGCGCAATGGCGGCTGAGTCCTGATCAAGAACGTGGGCTGCGCGAGTGGACGAAAGTAATGCTGAGAGCAGAGCTGATTCGACCGAGCAAGTCTCCTCACGCGGCCCCAACGTTTTGCATCAAGAAACCGGTTGGGTGGCGCATAGTTCATGATTACAGGGCTATGAACGCGAGAACAGTCCGACAATCGACATCGATGCCGCGCAAGGACGTCATTCTCGACCGCATGAGTGGGGCGTACTGGTACAGTTGTTTCGATTTGCTCTCGGGGTATTATCAAATTCGGATGCGTCCGAAGGATATTCCGTTCACAGCATTTCAAACGCCTGACGGCCTGTTCGAGTATCTCGCAGTGCCCATGGGACTCAGTAATGCGCCTGCAACCTTTAACCGCATTGTCCAAGGGATCTTTGAGGACATGCGAGACTTCGTGGCCACGTATTTTGACGATTTGTACGTGTTTACCAAGGAGCCAGACCTGGCGTCACATCTCGCTGCAGTTCGAAAGGTGTTCGAGCGCTGTCGAGACAAGAAACTCTACCTCAAACTCGCGAAGTCGACGCTGTGCTCCGACGAAATACCGTGCCTCGGCGATTTTGTCGGTCGACGTGGAGTTAGGATTGACCCCGACAAAGTTCGCGTGATTCGGAGCTGGCCACGCCCAAAGACAGCCAAAGAATTGCAGTCTTTCCTGGGCACGACCGTGTATGTCCAGAGATTCTGCAAGGACTACTCGGAAATTAATGTTCCATTGTTTAACATGATCAAAAGCAAGGAGAAAAGACACCTTGTATGGTCGGCGGAGAGCGTGCGTCCGGGCATTTGAACAGCTCAAGGTTGCTCTCAGCGAAACACCAGTGCTCGCGTTGCCAGATTTTAGCAAGTCTTTCTACTTGAGGACGGATGCGTCGCGGTTCGCAGTGGGCGGAGTTCTATATCAAATGCAGAGAAGGGCTCCTGAAGAGAAGGAGGTCGAGCAGCCGATCGCGTTCTGCGGAAGAAAAATGAAGGCTGCAGAACTCAATTATCCCACTCACGAACAGGAAATGCTGGCCATTATCCACTGCCTAAACATTTGGAGAGTGTATCTCGTGGATGGAGGCTGCACCGTCGAAACGGATCACCACTCGCTTGAGCGGGTGCTGACCCAGAAAAAGATTAATCGACGGATATGCCGCTGGTACGATCTGCTAGCCGAGTTCAACTTACGTTTTAAGTATATCCCTGGATCGACCAATATCGTAGCGGACGCACTCAGTCGTCGTCCGGATTTCGAGGTCGACTTTGAGCAGCAGAAGCAGAAGCAGATGCATGCTGTATCACGTCTCAAGCCCCTCACGCTCTTAACGTTGATTCGGCGGTCGCAACGCCGAGCGGGGTGGACAGACGCAGCTCTCAACGAAATAAGCTCGGAGAAGTTGAGGTACGACCAGGAACAAATGCTGGTATATCACTACAAACCTGACGGATCTCGGCGAATTGCGATTCCAGCTGATGACATTGAAATGCGCAATACTATTCTCTGGGAGTACCACGATGTTGCTACGGCGGGACATCCTGGGGTAGAGAAAACGATCGCAGAGATCCACGCTAGATATTACTGGAAGCGGATGCACAAGACTGTACGTGCGTACATTGCAACCTGTGAGTCGTGCCAGCGCAACAAGCGGCGCCCCGGAAAATCTCCTGGGCTCTTGCATCCTCTAGAAATTCCAACGCGGAGATGGGCATCAATCGGCATGGACTTTATTACGGGGCTTCCAGCTACAATAACACAGCAAGACACTATTCTCGTTGTCGTCGATCGACTCACGAAAAGAGCGCATTTTATCCCGACAACATCAACAATTACGACTGAAGAGCTAGCTGCGTTGTTTGTGGAGCAGTACGTGCGATTACATGGGCTTCCTGTGGATATCGTATCTGACAGGGATCCAAAATTTACGTCTAAGTTCTGGAGTGCATGTGCCAAGATCCTGAGAAAAAAGCTGAAGATGGCGTCAGCTCACCATCAGCGGACGGATGGACAAGTTGAACGACTCAATGCTGTGCTAGCTACTTACCTGCGTCACTATGTGAGCGGCTTCCAGAACGACTGGGACAAGCACCTAGCTCTGGGAGAGTTCGCTTACAACAGTCAATATCATGCTACAATCCAGATGAGTCCATTCCGTGCTGACTTGGGCTATGAACCTCGCCTACCTGCTGATTTGCACCTGCCAGACAAGCTTCCAGCGACAGCGACCAAATTTGTGGCAGCCCAGCAAGAGATTCTGCGAGATTTACAAGCTAAAGCGCGGCGAGGGGCAGAAAAAATGAAATTGCTGTACGACAGAGGTCGACGGGAGCAGAAGTTTGAAGTCGGTGAAATGGTGCTGATCTCAACTCAAAATCTGACTCCTGCGAATATTGGGGCAGTCCGAAGAAAATGTGCGGCTCGGTGGATTGGACCATACGAGGTCATCGAAGTTCACCATGACGGATCGGCGTACAAGCTCAATTTGCCCAACGAATTGAGCTTGCACCCCGTGTTTCACACCATGGTCCTGAAAAAATTCCTGAAGGACAAATCCGGTGTCAGTCGCGACACGACCCTTCCACCTGTACGACTTAAGGATGGTTCCGAAGGCCATTTGATCGAGGCCATCATGGGCCATCGCATCTCGAAGAAAGGTGTCGAAGAGTATCAGTGCAAGTGGGTAGTCCGAGACGATGACATCACGTGGGAGCCGACAGAAAATCTGCTCTCGGTGCCAGGATTGATCAGAGAATTCCATCGAAGAGCCAACAATCTGCCAAGCCGAGCATCAGCAAGACTCAAGAACAAGAAACAACAACAAGTACAACATCAAGTGACATGCATTCAGAGTTACTTCAATTCAGCAGAACGTCCTCTCTGAGGGAGGTCGTGTGGCGGAGTTAGTCCGTTTCGCAACGGCAAGATCCATGGCGAAGGGTCTCCTGCCGCCAGCGGGAAGGAGACCTCACTTCGAGAAAATACCGCTAAGCAACAAACAAGTTAAAATCTGCTGTCATCGACCCGGCTTGTCGCTCCGTCGAAGTCCGGCAAGCCGTCCAACTCCCGCTTCCTCAAGCTGCATCGTGCCACCGCACTATTTGGGGCTTTCTCTACTAGGTCGCTCATTCAGGGGAGAGGGCCACCATATTTGCAACAAGGTCCATCTCCTCTCTCACCACCAGCCACAGCAGGTACCGCAGGAAGAGCTTCAATACTGGGAGAAGCAGTGACAACCGCAGTTGCTGAGTCGACTGAACGGCCATGAAGACGGCCGTGAAGATCGGGTAGATGAGGATCGGCGCCAGGTCCATCGCCAGCCACCGGTCCAGTCGCTGGAGACGCACGCGGTTCTCGGGTGTCTGCAAGAACCGATAGTTGATCAAGCGGCTGATGGCTGCCATGGGTCCGGTTGGAGCGAACTGCGTGAAGGGGACAGGGAAAATGTCTGCAATGACCGCGATAGCTGCGTTGGTCGCCAGGGCCACGCCTGCGAGAGCCAAGCTCGTACCCGAAATGAATCGCCACGATCGAGCTGTGAGATGGGACAAGCACGAGACTTTGGTCGTGATCAAGGTCAGCGTGACAGTCGTCGCATCAGGAAGTTGCGGATCTGGAAGTGCAGCGAGCCGAAGAAGCCCGTGGCGGGGTCTGCGAGCGGGATGCTCTCGATCACCACGTTGGCCACTAAGCAGCCGGTCGGCGTCAAGAGCAGAATTGCAGCCACGTGCCAGCACGACGTTTGCTGTCGGAAGCGGTGGAACGCGTCCAACTTGGCCACGGTGTACTCTCCAGGCAGGCGGCCGGCGAACACTCGGAGCCATTGAGCCACAGGCTTGAAGACTCGGAACACGGGGTGGATTGGTCGTAGAGAGGGCTGAATATCTGAGGGCGCTGGTGAGACAGCAACCATGACAGTGTGACTTGAGGTGAGGTCAATTGATGGTGCTGCAGGGTGTAGACACAAAATAAAAAGCTAGGTTTAACTAAGGCATGAGAACCCAAAGACGTTCTAAACATTAGTGTGTAGGATCAATTTCTTGTATTATACTGATCCTAAGCGATAGATGAGGCCGTTCCCGTAGTGAGCGAGTGGGAATCCGAGGATCACGAGACTGAGGATCACGAACTTTGCCTGGACGAGGACGCGCTGCGAGTGTAGCACGAACGCGAGTTGGTGCAGAGCAGAAATCCCCAGTCGACGTTGGATCAACGCCACGTAGAAGCTAAGAAACACGATCTCAATGCCGCACAGCAACAGTAGACGTTGCGAGGTCTTGCCAATGTCAGCGATACTCGAAATGGAGACGAGCGCGGCGAAGTACGGATGGTTTGGGAGCTCGAGGATGTACAGGAGATAGATAACTATATCGAGAATATACAACTTTGTCAATGAAATCCCACGAAAAACTACAAGAATTCGTGAAACTCACCATAGAACGAGGTCGCGAATATTGTGATGTAGGAGCGAAGGAGGATCATTTCGGTCTGGTGGAGCGTGGAAGCCACGCGCTGGACGTACACTTCTCGAGCGATAGTTGACTGCGGTTCACTCGAGGGGACATTCGTAGACTCCAATGTGTCGATGAATTGCACCAAAAGCTGGTTTTGGGGGCTAGAAGCATCCAACGAAATTGTATGCCGTTGACTTGATGTATTGTTGTCACTCGCTGGGAGAACCTGCACCAGTCCGCTGCCCTGTATGGACCACGAACCAGATAGTGTCTTTGAATCAGATCGGCTGCGGCCTCCGTCCTGCTGAATTCGCTTGAGAGACGTGATACTCAGCCTCTTGACGTGGGCCAGCGACGGCAAGCTGAGGGACGAGCTGCCGCGGACGCGTTTACTGTGTCTGTGTACGAACGCCTTGCCGTGGTATCCTGGATACGTCGACAGCAATGCGGACGGCTGGTGCGCGTGCAGTTTAGCGGCCACGTCGCTCTCATTAGCAAAGCGCATAGCGTTGTACGCGGTATTCTCCGTGAGACTATCAAGATATTCCCCTGTAAGTTGCTGCTTGACGTGCTCGATGGCTGCCGCGCCCTTCATAATATAGTAACATTTGGCCGACGTTGAAGAGTGCCACCACCGCTAAGGTTTGTATCGACTTGGCGTTCTGGAGGATGACGTCCGTGAAGAGGATGTGGTACAGGTGACCGGCACAGCAAGTGATGACGTGCACGAGGTCTCCGTCGCTCCTCGAGACCAGCCAGAACCAGCGTCTCAAGGCCAGATTAATCACCGGAAGCAGTAGCGATAACCAGAGCTGTTCTTCCGGGGGCAGACTCATAAACAAGGCCGTGAAAATCGGGTACACAAAGATTGGCAGCATTTCCATCCCGAGTCGATAGTCCACTTGGCTGCTTTTCGCTCGAAATTCGGGCAATTCGGGACCCCCATGGGGATGGAAGGCGTGAAGTGCGCGAATGGAACGGGGTGAACCCCCGTAGAGAGCGAAATGATGGCGTTCGTACTGATAGCGATAAGTCCTTGGATCACCCCAAAGGCGGCCACCAACTTCCACGAACCCGTGGAGAAGTCTGGGACGCAATCTTTCTTGACCAACGCGGGGAACATGGTCTGGATGACGCTCGCCAAGAAGTGGCGGATCTGGAACGCGATCGAGTGTCGGAAGCCCGTGGCTGGGTCAGCTAATGGGATGGATTCGAGCAGCAAATTGGCCAAAAGACACGGCGCCGGTGTGAGGATCAGGATAACAATCACCTTCCAGCGCGGAGTTTCGAGCCGAAATCGCTCGAACACGTCCAGTTTACTCGCCGTGTATTGGCCGGGAAGACGCGTCCAGAGGAAGCACAAACATCGAGCTGCTGAGCCGAGCCGCGTACCAAGCTGATTTAGTGGAGATTCATCGAGGGGTTTAGAGTCGGGGGAAGTTGTCGCGACGACAACCATGGCGAGATGCCAACCATACGCACAGAGTGGACTGGCCAATTCGTAGTAGCCCCTCGATTTAGAGCGAGCTATCCTCAAATGCGACTAAGTTGACAAGGGTTTTCGTTGTTCAAGACACGGACTTGACTATTATTTTAAAAATACTCTTATTTAGTGGTAATGCTGTTTACTCGAATGAACGAAAGCGGAGGATGATGTCGTTGCCGTTGTGCGTAAGTGGGAAGCCGAGGATCACGATGGTCACATATAATTTGGCTTGGACTGGAACTCTTTGTGACCACAGCACAAACGCGAGTTGGTAGATCCCCGATACTCCTAGTCGACGTCGAATCAGCGCAAGGTAGATGGCAAAAAAGACGCTCTCCATGGCGCAAGTAACAGAAGGCGGTGGATCGTTGTGTCCAAGGCTTCGGGGGTCGTCAAGTAGGCGAAAGTGGCGAAAAAGTGCCGATTCTTGAGGTGAAAGACCGCCTGCAAGTAGACCACTACATATAGATGGTACGTCAGAGTAAACGCAACAAAGGAAGGCATTGATACGTTCTTACCGTAGAATAGCGTCATGGAAATGCTGCCGTAGGAGCGGAGCAGAACCATCTCGGACTGGTGAAAAGTGGAGGCAACCGCATGAATTACAGCTTCTTTCCTCGCGGATTGCCCTTCTTCACGCCTCCAGGCGCTAGGATCGCTCTTGGATCGCGGGGGCTTCACGACAGAGGAGCGAGGCTTTAGGTGAATCACCCGGTCGGACTTTGGTCTGGTTGGCTTAATTCCATCGCCATTCCACGGCATAATTCGTGCCATTGACGCTCGTTGCACTGCGATAACTGTGGGAGCTCCAACGTTACTGCGAGGGCCTCGCTTTGTAGCATTCTTAGGCGCGTTGTAGACGTAGACCGCGTTATACATGGAGGCAGCTCGTAGCAGTTCTCTGTGTAACTCCATGAACTCAGCACCTCGATACCCGAGATACGTCGACAACAACTGCGAAGGAGTTCGCCAGTGCAAGTTCTGGGCGATACGCAGCTCCTGAGCGAAAGTTAACGCTGTCTGTAAGTTGTCCGTGTCAGCTTCCTCCTCCTCCTTCGCTATAATCCTCTCACTAGTTTCGTTAATTTTCTTGGCGTCAGCCAGGATGTATCTGCAGTTGAAGAGCATCTGCGCCGTGTTGAATAGTGCGACGACGGCCATCGTTTCGTACGACTTTGAGTTCTGCAGGATCATGGCCGTGAAGAGCACGTGGTACAAATGGCCCACACAGCACGTGATGACCCCAACGAGGTCGTCGTCGTTCTTGGCAACGGACCAACTGCGAGTTTGAGTACGGGGAGCAACAGAGAGACCCAGATCTGCTGCGAAGGCGTGAGTACCAGAGGTCGGAAAAAAATAGTGCAATACAATAAATAATCAGTTTTTCAATATTAATTTTTATTATTGGGCTAGAGTAGTCCCCGTACAATATTAAATTGGCCCAATTACTGACAATAAATTCCATAGAAGTGCCTTGGCTGGACTCCTATAGTTTTTGTACAAAGCTTCCTATTGATGGCGTCATCTCCAGCCTCCGATGACATCAAAAACAGCGTTAACCACACCGCATTTCGCCCAAGGCAAATGACTGGCTTGGAGACGTGCTCCAACCAACTCCGCAGCCTGCAAATACGGCTCCACTGGCAGTTCGTATCTCCATTTCCACAGGATAGCAATGGTCGCCAACAAGCAACTCGCCGCCTTCTTCTACACCTCGCGTGGCCAAGGCCTCTTCAGCTGCAACTTATGTAACAGCGTGCGCAAACAGTTGGCTGGGTCAGGTTACTCCAATCTGGTGGCACACCTGGCATCGAAGCACGCTGGCTACGAGGCAACGTACGCATCGCTCCAGGCCAGCTCGGACCGACCTCTTCAAGCGTTCGGCTTCGTCGCAGAGGAAGCCAGCCATCTCTTCCAATGGGTCCGTTGGATCATCGAACGCAACATGCGCGTCCACGAAGTCGAAGATGCACTAACTCGGGCCATTAGCAAGCTCCGACCTGTGACCGCCAAGGCCGTCAAGAAGTGCATGGAGGAGGTCGCAATTGAAGTCGGCGAGAAGCTGGGGAAAGAGATGGGAACGCTCTTCGCCCTGATGTTTGACGGCTGGACCCACGCTGGCATTCACTATGTTGCTCTCTACGCCGTCTACGAGACAGCTTGTAAGCTGCGCATACCGCTACTTGGTATGTCTCTCCTTGAAGATGGCGATCAGACGTCAGACGCCCACATCAAGCTGTTCAAGAACATCCTGGATGTGTACGACATGACCAGCGACATGGTGGGGTTTCTGGTGGGGGACGACTGCGCAACTAAGCAGTCCATTGTAACCAAGATGGGTATCCCCCTCGTCGGCTGCGCCAGTCATCGTTTCAACCTGGCTGTGAACAAGTTCACGGAGCCGTATGGCGACTTACTGGACGAAGTCAACAGCCTTATGGTGGAACTTCGTCATGAAAACAACCGTGCCGAGCTGAAGAAGTACACCGATCTCGTCCCTATCAAGCGGAACGTCACGCGTTGGTCCTCGACGTTTACAATGGTGGAGAGGTACATTCGTATTCGCGCAGAGATCAAGACGGTCAACGCCGTGGAGGAAATGGTCCCAACCGGCGGGAAGCACCGGAAGTTGGTCGCGCTATTTGAGCACCTCAAGAAGTTCGAGAGCGTCTGTAAGCGGCTTCAGCGCGAGGACACCGATATGGGAGAGGTACGCCTGATGTTCGACTCCCTCATCGCGGAGTACCCTGTCCTGTCAGATCATCTGAAGTCGACCGCCAAGATCGTCCATACGCCTGCATTCGAATCGGGTGTTGTCAAGGTCATCTCTAGCACGGCTCTATCGTCCGCGGAGACAGCGGCTTTGGGGCGGTTCGAGCAGGCACAACCCACAGGAAAGAAGCGCAAGGAGCGGGAAGAAGACTACGCGACTATGTTGCTCCTAGGCAAGGGAAAGAAGAGGAAACAAGCGCCAAGTACCACACGCTACATGCCGCTCGTGAAAATGGTTCCTCCGAGGTCAAACACAGTCGAGCGGCTTTTCTCTCAGTGCAAGCTGGTATTGACACCGCACCGTCGATCTATGCTTCCGGCCAACTTCGAGCAGCTGGCGTTTCTCCGGGTCAACCGCGGCATGTGGGACGTTTCCACAGTAGCCCGAGTTAGCAAGCAGCAGGGTAGCTAAACTAGCAGAGGCATTGATAGTGGGGAGCGTTCTAGCTACATAACTCAATAAGACCATCCCTAACATTGAAGTTTACACTCCTCATATATTTAGAATTTTTTGAAATTATGGCACGACACTAATGCTGTATTTTCAATCCAAGTCAAATCGTAGTTATGTAACCAATTATGTCCGCTTTTCAACGCAGGTATTCCCAGCCTCGACAGAGGCATATTGATGAAGAAGATGCATTTCATATCGAGCGTATGCCTATCTTGACCTGTATCCCCCTATAAAAAGATATGGTCGGCCCGAAATAAATAATTATAGATCAATTCTCGTTTATCTTCAACTTACCTTTGATGAGGGTAAAAATATACTGCTTGAAATACTTCTACAACAGCTAGCCAATTAGTACGCACTTCAACACACGTCTACCTTAGATTCTTGGCTTACTAGTAGCTAGCTATGCACTTGGGAAAAACAAAGATGCCGAAGAAGGGCAAGAGGCTCAAGCAAATTGCCGCTGTCGCGGCAGCTAAGCGGGCACGCGACCGGCAGGCACGCCACCAAGCTCTTCCAGCCCCTCTTGAAGTTCTCCGACAAGAATCGCTGTCGACGCCATGGTGCTGTCCACGTCCAGCCGTGGACGAGAGTGATACGACTTCGTTAGAAGACAACTCATCCGACTTCGGCGAAGGTCCCAATCTCTGCACAGTAGACGCGACCTACGCGAAAAAAACTAATCCAGCAGGTGCCGCTTATTATTTTGTTGGCTGGGTGGGCTATGCGGAGCTAACATGGCAGCCCGCAGTTGACCTGCCTCAAGCTCTCATCAGTGAGTTTGAACGTGCTGAGCTTGGTGTAAGCTGGCCGGTCGATTACCGAGCGGTGATTCCAATTGGGGTTCCTACCGGCATCAGTGGCAGGGGTAGACTTGCCAGGCGCACCATATAAATTGCAATATAAATTGCGGGAATTTTTATTATTGTTTGCTAAGAAATTGCAGTGTTTATTAGTGCTTCGTGTCAGGTGCAATCCAATATGATACTGTATTGGCGGACCTCTGGTGAGTACCGTGAAGACGGCAGTAAATACTGGATAAACAAGGATCGGGAGAGTCTCCATTCCGAGCCATTGGTTCACTTTATCGCTTAGAGCGTGGAATTCGGGGTTGTCAGGTACGAGGTGGAAGAAGATGAAGCGGCCGCTGATGGCCATGGGGAGAATGACTGTGAACTGGCTGAAAGGGACGGGAAATGCTCCAAAGGCGAGCGAAATGACGACATTGGTGCCCAAACAGATCACAGTCTGGAAGAGCGTGTACACTGCAATCGCTCGCATTGAAATCATGGGGAAATCGGGGACGCAGTTCAACTTGAGCAGCACTGGGGCGATACTACTGCAGACCGAGACCAATCCCATGCGCAACTGGAAGAAGCCCGACCTCCAAAACCCAGTGGACGGGTCATTTAAAGGGATGCACTCCAGTAGCAGATTTATGCTTAGCCATAGCACCGGAGCCAGGATAAGGATGGATAGTACGCGTACGAATGAGGTTTCTAGACGGAATCGCTCGAACGCGTCCAGCTTGCTGACGGAGGACTGGCCTGGTAATCGACCAGCAAAGTGGCCGATTTGCCGTAAAACGCTTGCACAACCGGCAGCAACACGCAGTCTTGTTAGCGGAGGATTCACGAGCGAAGGCGCTATTGCAGTCATGCGCTTCCGTGTCGACTGGTACAGTATAATTTGATGAGGCTACGATACGAGAGAGTGAAAAAATAGCCTGGATCAGTCTTGAGGTTGATCGTTAAGTACATTGTCTCGCTATTTGTAGTTGTTGTTGTAGGTTCACTTAGCAGGATGCGAGGGGAGAATGATGCCGTTGCCTGTGTGAACCAGTGGGTAGGTCAAAATGTCGACCGTCAGCTGGAGAGTTTTAGCTGGATCGAGTTCTCTTTGCGGTCTGAGAACGAAGGCGAGCTGATAAATAGCTGACACCCCTAGATGGCGGGTGGCAATAACAAGCTGGATGCCCAAGAAGACGATCTCCATCCCACATAGCAGTAAAAACCTCGTAACGGAGATCCGAACGACCTCAACGGAGGCAATAGCAGCTTGAGTGGCGTTCTCGAAATGTGTTATGTGAATTCTTAGCGAATTGTAAAATGATTCATGCTTGGGTAAAGTTAGGGTTGATACTTTCTTGAAGGAGCTTCATGCCGTTAGCGCACAATGTTTAGTGACAACAATGTACCTCACTGAAAACTTGCGCGCTTGATGCGTGTCCTGTTCTTCATTACCCACTTACTTCAAAAGTTATCCGTTAATCCGTCTTTTGACTCCAAAACATGAAGGTGAAAATGAACGGGTTTTGCCGCATCTAATAACTGTTCATCGAAGACTATGTAAGCGTCTGCCGACGGGGCCGCCGATTATTTTTTCGGTGCTCTTTAGAATTTGCTGTAGAATGGGTTATTTACTCTTCAAGCGGGACCTAGTGTCCAGGTCCATCATATCGTAGCTGTTTGCCGCACCTCGCATCTCCACTCTCATTTCAATCGGTGCCGGGCCGCCAGTGACGCCTCCTTGTCGCTTTTCTTCAGGTATGGTATCTCGTCGCCCCACCATCGTTACGAAGGAGTAGTTGCTTAAGTGACCATAATGCCCCTCAATAAAAAAAATCGTTACGAAGGATGCAACGAAGTCAGTGATCAAAGCATTATTTCACCGTATTTCCAGATTTGTTGCGGCATGGGTCTCTTGTCCAGTAATCGTCACATTCTTACACGCGAACACAAATCGTCGTAGTAAATACTGAGAGCATCTCCACCGGTGCTGAGTAAAACTAAAAGCAAATTGCCCTCAGATCCGTGCCTACGGCACAACCGTGCTAAAGACAGTGCGCAGCCCCACCGGCCATTGAGACTCGCAGCGAGCGCGTTAAAGCTCTTTCGGCGCCAGCAATGGGGACGGCGAGTCCTAGCTGTATAGCCCTATAAAGATGAAAACGGTCCCGGCAGCCCATTGAGGAAGACCCAGGGATGACGTAGCAAGGGCGACACTGCGGTCTGTGACCCTTGCGCTGCTTAGAACCCTTGACTTGGACCTACTACTGGCTGGTCGACATTTACTCAACCTTTTACTCAAAGCCTCCTCCGTTGGCAAACTTGTGCAAAAATTTGATCTGCGTAAAAATGGAGCAATTTGCTCAGCACTTACTCAAACCGGTGGAGCTGCACAAAACTAAAACTATTATCAAATATTGACAGAAAAGGGGTAAAATTTAGTTTTACTCACGACCGGTGGAGATGCTCTGAATACTACGTTCACTAACAGTATTGCCAATAAAGTTGTCGGCGGAGGTGAGAAAGATAGCTCTATAGCCTACTACGAGTATGTAGTTTGCACGGATAACAGAAGCCCGCATCGAGGGTAGCCCCTGCACGTAACCTTCAATAAGTCTGTGTAATACCACCAACGTGGTAAATAAAGTTGTTGTACTGGTGTGTGCTGGCTGCTGCAATTTGGTCGGCAAAATCTCAAGCCCAAGGAAAAGTTATGGCGGCGCTATATGCTGGGTCCACAAAGCTTCACGAAGGCGAGGGTGCTTACACAGTGGGGTTGAGCGAGTGGTGCTGGCGCAGGTACTGCACTGCGTACAGCTTCCAGGTCTGCCACAAGTCGCTCTCCCGGGAGAGACTGGGGTACTTCTTCAGGTTGTTAGCAACAACGGTCGGGTTCATCTTAGCCTGCTTCCAGAGGTCGATTGTTACTGTCGGGTTCGACTTAGCCTGCTTCCAGAGGTCGATTGTTACTTTGGCGCTCGGTAGGCTGTTGATCTCCTTCCAGATCGCAGAATCGATCTTGCTCAGTTTGGCCACCGTTTGAGCCTTAGCGGCCGCCGGGTTCGCCAGAAGGTCATCAATCTTCTGCAATTGAGGTCCTCGCTCTTCGTGCGCTTCTTGCTTCCTCAGGAATCTGGGAGTATCGCCGACCACGCCAGGGGAGGTCATCGTCGAGCGCGTGGTCTGCTCCGACGTTGATGCCGCATCGCAGCTAGCGAGGAGACTGGCCATGGCCGCGAGGATGACGAAGCTCAGGCGCATAGTGAAGCCTGGGTAGTTGGTTGGTGGCTTGAGGCTTGGAGCGCGAGTTGTAAAGTGAGAGTCGATGGGGGCTGAGCGCACTGAAGCTCCCTTCTCCTGTGGAGAGACGGCTGCGCAGGGCGAGAGGCAGAGTCACATCCTCAAGCCATCTCCTACACGATACGATGACCCCAACCCCAAGGATTAATCGCTGGCTCTAATAGGTATCCCAATTCTCATAGCCTGATTATTTTCTGCTCGAAAGAAGAGCAGGCCAAGTCGTGGAAAGTACGCAAGCAGAAAACAAACGATGCCCGCACTACACTTAACAGGTACTGACAGGGAAAAAGTGCTGGAGCCGATCGCAAGTAACCAAAGCCGTGTCTCGAGTAGTTAGTTTGTAGTACGTGCGCCCCGACTCCGTTCATACGACGAAGTAGTTTCTCCTCATGATCCCAAGTCAAACCGAAGACTCCTCCTATACGTACAGTACAGTAATATCAGAGAATAACCATCATCATGGTTCCACCATCGTTGAACGCACGATTACTGTACTTAAGTGTCTCGAGATTTGAATTCATCGTGTTCCCAGCTGGAGATGACCTCTCATCAACTCTATTTCTTGTCTTTTGATTGGTCAAAATAGTTTAGTTCACAACGTGACAACTGGAGAATTACCCCGTCTCCTCCTCCAGCTGCCAGAGCTGGAGGAGGAGCTGCCAGAGCTGGAGAAGGAGAAAGTAGCTGGAGATTGAGGCAGTTCAGCCGCACACACAATGAACGAAGAGGAAGCTGTACTGGTTGCTACATGCTCAGCTGCCGCACAGCTAAGGAACAGATTCGTACCGTGACCTCACTGCACTTTGAGCCCATGCTACAGTCAGCCGCGTATGCAAGTTGGTTTGAAGACAATCTTCGCTGCACCAAGCCAACTTTCCTACGTATTGCCGGTTTACTACGAGATCAAGGTGTTCTGTTTGCTGCTGCCAAAGTACGGCAGCATAGCTTTGAAAAGAAAGTTGCAGCCGTGTCAAAACGAGCCCGCAGCAGGGCATCAGCTGCTGCAGTCGTCCACGCAAAGGAGGGTTGCTTCGTAGCGATAGACGTTTCACCAGTATTGGCCTTCTTCTTCTGATTCCCAACGCGGCGATGTGAGTCTTGGTTGCGGGCTGACGCAGCTACAACTCCGAGCGCAAAAAGCTGGCTGGGTGTCTCTGAATGCGGCAGCGCCAGCGAGGAAGTGCGGGCATCCAGCTCCGTTTGAGTAGTGGCCGGTGTCGCATACACAGTCTGGGCAAGAGCAACATCAGAGGCAGGTATGTCCAAACTGGTAGCAGCCAGCACGAGGTCGCCACTGGCTGACGGGAACGGAGGCGCAGCTCTCGGAGCGTCATCGGCAGCTTGGTCCATCTTGCCACGCGTCCGGTGTCTCTGGCACAGTGTTCCCGGCCGACGAAGAACAGCAAAGTAAGGAGAAGGAGAGCGAGTCGCACTGTGATTGGCTAATTTTACCTAGATGCGCTCTGTTGTAGCGAACAAGCTGGAGATGGAGATGCACCAACTCCCTGCAGATATCCATCTCCAGCCGTACATAGGCTTAATGCTGTATTACACATTGGTGTCCAGGCTGGCTACCGCATCGCCCCTGTCCCAAGCGAAGTTTTGTCCTAAGCGAATTTCTGTATTGACCAATGAGAGAGTCATATTATCGACATATGTTTGATGCAAAACTGCTGTGCCAAGCACGCTAATCATAGACGGATAGCGAGCACATTGACCGAAGAACATGTCATGATTCGCATCAACGCACCACAAGGTATTCAAATATACAAGGAAGCTCGAGCATAAGGCAAATGACTTTTATTGCACAATATATGCAGACGGGCGCGTCGCCGAGCACATATTTTGAGTCGGATGATCTAGTCTATTTACTAAATTTTAGAATCTAATCATTTGGCCATGAAGCTAACCCTAACGATTAGAACGTACATTGAGGTTCGCTTAGGACAGGGGCGATGCGTATGTGAAGCCACATCGGGTAGTATGGAGCACCTGTACTGAGCACGATTGGTACTCGAGTTGCGTAGTTGAATACTACTGGTAGTAGTACTTGGAAATCATACACCGGTAAAAAGAAGGGTGCGCGTATTGAGAGGGGCTGTAGTGGGAGGGTTGTAGCCTACAGCAGCACATCTCGTGGGCCACATCCAGTGCATGCATCTTGGGGTGTCGCAGGCTGTGCAACGCAAAGTCGAGCCGGTAAGATGGCATTTGGGCTGTGCATTGTAATTTAACTGAACTGTTATTAAAATTTACTGTACAGTAGTTACGATACGAAAACGCTCAACCAAAATAACTAGACAAGTGTGTATCCCCAGGCCGTGGACCACGGTTATTTATGCTTCACCAACAGGGTAGTCGAATTTGGACTCCGCGACCATAACCAAGCATACAACCAAGTTGTCCAAGCAGATATTACTACACTCCACGACAAAAAGATATGGACACCACCAAAAGTGGCTGTAACTTCGTCATTTTTTATCGTTTTAAGGTGCGGTTTGGACTAGAGTTGCAGAACACGCTGATAAAAATCTGCACGCTGCTAACACGCGCGCTTTTGCGCTTCTTCAGGTAGCTCACATACAAATCACTGGTTCTGCCCAGATGACAAAACTTATGGACAGCTAATCCCCATACAAAATCCTATATTAACCAAAACCCCTTACAAATGATACGACTTGGACTTTGTATGGGGCGACAAAGGAACCAGCCTCACGGCGATACTCGCGACGTTAGACAAAGATCTGATGGCATTATCGTGTACTAGAAGGTGTGTTTAGTAACCAGTAATAAATACATCGACCATCGCACAAAACTGAGCAAGTAGTAAGCGACTGAAATTTCGAGTGGTGGCTACCATGTATTATCTGATGATTTGCGAGGCACGTTCAGTTGCATCCTAGTTAGTGCCAATTTGTAGCTCTGTATGCTGTTATCTCTTCGAGATACGATTGTCTTCTCCATTCTAAACTGTTGGTCGATGATATATGGCTCAGTACTAAGGTAGAGTGGATAAATCATGGGTTCCTTTGTCGCCCCATACCGTCAAAATTCCAACGGGGTTGGACTGCTTCCAACCAAAACCGGTCTAGCAACGGTACTAGGTTTTTTGTTCAGCTGATATTTAACCTCACGACCACCGATTGGATTCTCGGCCAACAGTCCAGAAGCTTCCAGGTTAGTGCTGCGAGTCGTGCAACACTGCTTGTGCTACCTGTGCTGACTGTGCTGCTGTTGTCTCTGCGTGTACACAGGCGCTGCTGGCCGCTGGGCCGTGTGTGCTGCTGGGCCGCTTGCTGCTGGGCAGTCTGCGCTGCTGGGCTGCGTGTGCTGCTGGGCCGTGTGTGTGCTGCTGGGCCGCTTGCTGCTGGGCAGTCTGCGCTGCTGGGCTGCGTGTGCTGCTGGGCCGTGTGTGTGCTGCTGGGCCGTGTGTTGGGTTGCGCCGGTGGGCTCTCGTGGCGTGTGGCTCAAGTGACCGAGGGTTTGGACGAGTATGGTGCTGTTGATGGATGCGACTTACCCGCACCCATGGAGCTCGTGAGGTAGAGCTCCAGGCCTTCGGGCCTGGAGGATCGGGTTCAAACCCCGACATGGGCATCGAGTATTATGTGTTTTTGCTTTCTTTTTGGACAGGTCGGCTAAGAGAGTGCGTGCTACTCCTGTTGTACGTATTGTGTATCTTATTGACTGGTTAGTGTGCTGCGTGTGCATTTAGGTGAAGCGCAGGAATGACGGAAGGGCAGAATTGGGTGTCGGGTCGACGACTTCGCCTTCATAGTAGCGCTCGCGAAACTGGTCAAGGAGGACGGAAAGGTGGCCTGCTTTGTGAAGCGCACGCATGACTTTGACGACCGAGCCAACGGCTACAGCCTGTGAGCCTTGTGCAGCCAAGTAGTCAAGGGTCTTCTTCTCGGCTTCGACTCCAACAGCGTGGACCTCCGCCTTGTACGCTGGCGAGGCCGGATCCAGCTTGAACCCAGAAGATAAGCAGAGCATCATGAATGCAACTACGTGTCATGACTCGTGAAGGATGGCTTTGCTAACTGTTGTTGATTCGTACGTGCGTGGTACAGCAGTGAACCATTCGAACCACACTGTCGATAGCGCTTTGGAGGCACGTTTGCGCGCGCGCTTTGGCTGCGACTGCTCAACGTCTTCGTGCTGCTGCTCGGTAGTGTTTGTTTTCTTGTCAATGGATTCTGCGTTCGCCCCCAAAACAGCCAGCCTTTCCTCTACGCGTGTTTGGCAGAGCAATAGCTCGTCAAGCTGCTGCGACAGCTTTTCGAGAACACGGATCATGTTTTGAGAGGACTCGGCCGCTGTTTCTTGTTTCTCTTCTGCAGGTGGATTGAACGCAGCTCGGGGGGTGATCGACCATGCCAACAGCTCGGAGGCCTGTATGTTGAGGACACCAAGGGCTTCATGAATGCGACGGACGTACGGGCTATCCAAGCGATGGCGTTCCATCTCGGGGAAGTGAATGATCAAGGTCGCCATCAACACTTCGAGCACCTGAGGATCCAAGTTCCAAGACACTGTCGGGAAACCAGTGACAGCAGCGAAGAGGAGATCCTGCAGCTTCTCCACGCGCGCTCGGACGGCTCCGTCCAGGGCGGTAAGGTCTGGAAGTCGGGCGCCCGCTTGCGGGTTCCACCCGCTCAATTGGCGCGCAACTTGTTGATCTTCGTGTGTTGTGTTCAGCATGTAGGAAAACACCTTGCTCACGCGCGACATATTCGAGCCCCCGCGTTCAACAACCCAGTTCGGGCTAATGCGACTGTCGGCGTTGGCGTGCATGGCCCCACCTCTTCTGAAGGAGTGCGAGGTAAGTCCCTTCGTGAGTCCACTCTCCTTTGCTGCTGGCAGTCCACTAACCGTGACTAATAGTCTATTGATATAAGCTTGGGCACCAGGGGCCGAGTTGGCTCGACGTGGCTGTGGAGTCTTGCATGTAGGTGCTTCCGCAAGCTCGCGGTCTAGCTGCGCAATCAGCCCCAGCTCGCCATCGTCGTTTTGGTTGTTGGACGCGGACAGCGCAAGTACGGCAGCAAATTGCGGGAAGATGCGAGTTCCTGGAGCGGGTTGAAGGGCGAGAGCGACAGCTAGCACGTGTAACGGGCACGTGAAGGGATCGTTAGGATCCTTAAACGGGGAGATTCCCAGTTGCGAAGCAGTCTTCACACGCTTAAAGCGGAGAAATATCATACCGCCTAGCATATACGCACAGAATTGTCAGCATAATTCGTGGGGTTAATTAATACAAAAATTCAAAATCCTGCACGATTCGTACCGGGGTATACACACAGCTGCGCTTTCTCCAATTGCTCAGCCTCAGAACCACGACCGTAGAGGTACCACATCAACGCCACTAGCGCCGCATCCAGGTAGTCGGAGTTGGCGGAAGCGTGCATGTAGAGAGCCGAGATGATAGTCTTTATATCTTTCTTAGTACATGGTGGCGCTTGTTTCGTGACACCTTGCTCCGGCCTCTTTTCACAGTACCGATCTAGAGTTGATAGCATCTTTTGCAGCTTCTTAGCTACACATTGGCCCTGTTGCGGGTACAGATCCGCCAGCCAGTTCTTAACATTGCCAAAATAAGATAGCACAGTGTTCTTGGACAGAGCTACTCCTTGTCTTCCTACTTTTTTCACTAAGAACCACCCATACTTATCCAGAATGACAAACAAACTCTTACCTGTGCTGTCCTTAGAAATACGATCATGCACTTATGTGAGCGTCACCTCCTTCTTCGCAAGGAAGTCTTCGAAGGACTTCACAGCCGTCGCTCTGCGTCTCTGGCTGTTCGCAGGAACTAGCGATACCACCGACATGCCTGTGTGCGTCGGAACGCAGAATGGAGTCGGAGATGAGCTGGCAGGGGTTGGAAATCTATAAATAATTATTCTATTTGTAGTTCACTTGATATTTGTATGGCATACTCGATATCAAATCGCGTTTCCAACCAGATATTGTTGGAATGTTCGGATCAGCGGTTGGCAGTCATTCCCTCGATTTAATTGGTCGGAATTTTAAGCAACGGTAGTGTCTATTGGTTGTAAATGCTATGAATCGCAGATGACACACTCCTATTGGCCGGAAGCACCATACAAACTTTAAGGTATTTTTCAGGGGTTAGAATCGCAGCGATATGCTACCATACAAAGTCCAAGTCGTATCATTTCTAAGGGGTTTTGGTTAATATAGGATTTTGTATGGACATTAGCTGTCCATAAGTTTTGTCCCCTGGGCAGAACCAGTGATTTGTATGTGAGCTACCTGAAGAAGCGCAAAAGCGCGCGTGTTAGCAGCGTGCAGATTTTTATCAGCGTGTTCTGCAACTCTAGTCCAAACCGCACCTTAAAACGATAAAAAATGACGAAGTTACAGCCACTTTTGGTGGTGTCCATATCTTTTTGTCGTGGAGTGTATATTTGGGGTTTTCAAAGTAGCGATTTTTTGGACAGATCTTTTGCAATGGATTTGGAAAAGATCAGACCAAAAATCAGACAAACGATGAGCCTCCGGAGGCTCATCATTCGTCTGATTTTTTGCCGAGCTTATTTTTTGGTGACGGCCAAAAGTCATCCATAGAGCGACACCAAGACGCCGCTTGAAGCCGACGCAGAGCAGCAGGCCGGGCGCCGCGCACACCAACATGATGCCAAAGACGCCGTGTTGGCGCGCAGTGCCTTGGTCAGCTGCTAGCTGCTGCTCGGTTTACGAGCGGAGGCTTCAAGCTGTTGCTCCGGTTGCGAGCATTGGTCTCCAGCTTGAAGGACCAAGAGCAAATCCTTAGGTCATAGCAAAACCGAACAACAACGTCGCGATACGACGCTGGGATGGTCAAAACATCTGACCCATCCTTTGCAAAAGATCTGTTCAAAAAATCGCTCCTTTGAAACCCCCTATTGGTTATAACCAACCGTATTAATAGCTAGCAAAACGGCATGTCCTCTAATCAGTTCATTAACTACTTTTTCTCGGCGCCATGGTGTCCTCTACAGTAGTTGTCGTCATCTTGTAGTGAAGGCAAATCACTGCAATTTTGTGAGACCGGGGTGCCAACAAACACCTTTTAGGGTGAAAACGAAACGAGATGCGGCGCCAGCAAAATCAAACGGGCTCCAGCAAAGAGAAACCGCGGTTTTGGGGCGCCAGCAAACAGATTTGCGGGCGCCGGCAAAATGGATTTGATTTTGATACAAAGCCAGGGGTCGATCCCTGGACTTTAACCATACAGAAAAGGCGGCCCGTTCACAGGTCCATGATACACTGTAACTATCTCCGAGCCCCAGTGAATTACGGCGATTCCATAATACATATATTGTGCCTTGCACGCTTTCTGTCCAAACAACGACGTAATTCGTTGTTTTAGCAAATCACGGTGATTAGCCCATCATTGAGTTAGGAGGCTAACTCGTCGATTTAAGATAGAATAGCTGCTAAGACAACGAGTTAACGTTGAGTTATGCTCACTTTCGTTGAATGGCTGGAGTAAATCCGACAATACTACGGCCCTGACATTCTAATTCTAACTCGCTCACTTTGTCTGATTGCTTTCTAGTCGATGATTGACATGCGTTGGCGATCTATCGTACTAAACTACGTCTACAATATTGAAGAACATCCCTGTTTTTATATCGAAGAGCTGCAAGCAGCTTTAAAGTCAGCGTTTCCTGCACATCCAAACATTTCTAGTAGAAGTTTTCTACTGCTACTATATGCCGTGCTCTGAAATTCGAGCTTGGTTTAACGCGAGGCCAGCGAAGAAGAAAACGTCCCCGCCGAAATCGGTGCTTACTTTTATGCAAGGAGTTACCACCATTCTATCGGGGACCATATCAGTTTGTTTTCTTGCAGCGACAGCCGATTTATTCTTGCAGTGGCAACCGCTCCGTTCTTGCCCTGCGTTGTGTTTGGTACTGGCGGTTGATTAGCTTAACTTTAACTTAGAGTTAGGCTGCGAGATATGATCACCGGGAAGGATTTGCTCGTTGGTTTAGAGCCCTTAATCGCATGCCAAAGTTCGTGCAAAGCACAATAACACCCGTGTTAATATGAATCAAAGCATACTGTGTTTTACGTGTACATGTACATCGGTGCCTCCAGTAACGAAAAGACTCCACCTGTTGGCACCACGCTCTTGCTTCAGAATCTAGTAGTTCAGGTCGGCATAAATAACTATATCTATTATAAACATTATTGTTGTAGTGGAGCAGGTTCCTCAAAAACCGTTCTGCGGTCTTCTCAGTGTAATCTCACACTCACAAACGCAACGTCACGCTCTTGATGAGTAGACGTCGCGTAATTCCCCGGGACTTCGCTAACGTAATTCCGAGGACGGTCTGCACCGGTTGTAGCCGTAGGTGACGATCATGTCACTGAGGTCTTGTTGTTCGTTGTTGTTGTTGTTGACGGGCGAGGGGATGGGCTTCTCACGCCGCCTCGTTGTCTTCTTATCGCTCCTTCTCCCGGTCTTCGCAGGACCTATCGCTTGTCTCCGCGGTTTCCGTTCTCGGTTCCTCCGTCCCGTTCTTCGCCGTCCGTTCGTTCGGTCCGTTCTTCACGTTCCGTTCGTCCGTTCCCTTGTAGCCTGGATGAAGTCTCTTCTTCTTGTTCACACTTCGGCCCTATCGCTTGCCTCCGTGCTCCCTCCGTTCCGCGCCGGGAAATGCGTCCGCGCGGTCCGTCCTTCGGTCGTACTCCGGTCATTTCACTTGCGTTCGCACGCCTCCTCTCCGTCGGTAACTCGGCCCTTTCGCGTACTCCGCCCCGACGTGACTAATTGAGAGTGCCCTCCTCTTGGACACTTGGTGTTGGGTTGAGTACACGTGGCCTTCTAGTCGTAGCGCCTCGTGCAACGTGGTCTGCACGGCCGGGGTCGGTTCTTCTACGCGTTGAGGTCTTGGACAGGAAAGCGGGCAAGTTGCGGGCAACAAAGGTGTATTCACGCCTTATCGGTCGGCTACTGCTTGTACTTGGACTTGTGGGCTTGGGCGCCAATTGCGGACTAGCAATCTACTGTCTTTTGGCTCCTCCCTACCGTGCTGTCTTATCTGGGTGTCCATGCCCTTCATCGAGGATCTTCTCCATTCATCTCCTTGTTCTGGCAGCGCAGCTGTTGACTTTGCACCTGGACATGCCGTCATACTGGTCTTGACTATACACTGAGGGGCCAGGGGAGCGCTAGAGCCCGAAAACGGTTCAAAAACAAACCGGTATGAAACTGGTTACAACCGGTACTAACCGGTATGGCCTGATCAGCTTGGTGGTGTAGCCGGTTCCAACCGGTAATAAACCGGCATTTCCCCCGAATTCCGATTTTCCCTGTTTTCCACCCCCTTTTTGCCGATATCTTCCACGTGTCCAACGATGACTGCATCAGTTCCGCAAAATCTTCGAGTCGCTCTTCCACATTGTTATAACAACACGATAACTCGCGCCGACATAAAGTGAGTTCACCCAGATTCGTATAAAGTCGGCGCGAGTTAATGTGAAGCCACCCAGATTCGCATTAACTCGCGCCGGCTTAAAGTGAGTCCACCCAGATGTCCGTAGGTGACTTCTGCCAGAAATAGCCGTGGGGTGGAAGGCGTGCTGCAATCAACGTCAAGGTCCTTACAGCGTTATTTTCTCGTTGCGACTAGAAACGTACCTGTAAGCACAAGTAAGTAGAACTACAACTCAACGTATAAAGTGTTTTAATTAGTGTGTTCTAGACTACCGCGTGACGGCCGCGGAGTTGGCTTACAGCTCGCCCGGCAACAGTAGCTATAGCGTGACCTCATAGTTCAAAATCGCGACGAACGCGCCGCGTCCCTCGGAGAATCACAATAGCTTACAAGATTACTTATGATTTCTGTACAACTCACTAACAATTGAGTCAACCTGTAGAATTATTTACAGTTGATGAAACCGCTGGCACGCTCAACCCACCCGCACAAAGCTATTATTACTCGTAGTGTGGACGTATTGGCTCTGGTTATGATGGAGCTGGAGGGCATATCCTTTGTCTACGGACTAAATCATGTATTTACTCACCTTTCGGCTCTATACGATAATATTTTTTAAATGTAACTTAAAAGTAAACAACACGCGTTGGTGCGTGCGCTTTGACGAGCAAGACTGTAGATGCCATGGGTTACCCAATGTATCTATGCGTAGATGTTATCATTGCTACGCGTCAACCGTTATAAGACGTTGCGATGGCAATTGAAATGGCTTCCATCCAAATATTCATAACCATTTCTAACATCCAACATCGCTGCTTCACCTGATCTACTACACTAGCCGACATTGTCTCGAATACATTTTATCAATGTTTCAAGACTAATGTCTAGATTAAGCACATTTCTAAGATTTTAGCTGATACTTTGATATAGTACATCATAGCTCGTTAGTGCGTCACATCAAAGAGTTATTCCACTACGTACCAAATGCCTTATCGCATGCTGGTTCAGCCACGTGACCATGTTTGCCTAGATTAAATCGTATGTGCAGTATGTCCCAACGCGGTGAAGTAGTCACGTAGGCGTTTGTACGTACTTCTAGGGTGGACCGCTCACGGATAGACCTAACCGGGACGAGTTTCCGTGTTCAACAAGTACGTGTGGGCATGTAAAACGTGCTAAAGTTGCCTAGTTCGGTTCTTGTTCAATAAGTTCAGCATTTCGAGGGTCAAGGAACCTCTGGTAATAGCAGGTAGCTCTAGCAACTAGCAGCGGTGCGCAGTATCAAGTGTTGATAGCCGACTAACTCGCAACAAACTCCAATTCAAAGACAAATCTAGCAACTAGACATTGCTACTTTATTTTTGTACTCGTACACTGCAATGCTTTCTTCTAGGGCAACTTGAAGCGAATACATCCGACAGTTCATCGCCACAATTGGGAAATAGTCGACGCCCAGGTAATTACTTCTATGAGTTAAAAGCTCGTCCCCTCCGTAGGCGACAATATAATGCATTAAGTCCCCGTAAAAGAAACTCCTAGCCTTATCGAATTGTGTATCTTGATTCAAGCTACCAAACTCGATATCACGCATTTTCGTTGACGCTATCGCGTGTTTCCAAGAGCAGCACTTACACGCGAGGGTTTGTATATTTGTATCGTCCCTACTTCATATTTTAATGCGATGTTGTCATGACCACAGATTCACATGAGCTTGCGCCGATTAAATATGAATTCCGTCGGATTCACGCTAGCTCGTACTCAGTTACTTAAATATGCGTTTTTCGATACTAATTATTTCATTGCAGCAGCGTCATATGCCTTGATGTCCCGGAATTCAACTTTTAACTCGAGCGGCCGACTTAAAAGTCGACCGCTTGAGTTATTGTGAGTCTGGATTCAAGTTAGCTCGAGCGGATTCAGGTTAACTCGAGTGCTCGAGTTATTGTGAATCTTTTCCTGTGGATTCAACATAACTCGAGCGCTCGAGTTGGTGCGTGAATCTGGTCAAGTTAATATGAATACACTCGAGCTAAATTGAATCCCGGATGCACTCGAAAGTGACTACCAAGCAGTTGATTTAATTTGCGTTCTAAATGCAAGTTTACTTTGCAACCTATGCTGCATTGAATGCGTGTAGATAATTAATACTGGTACTGATGTACATGGGCGTTAGTGTCAGATGCATTACGGGAGGCTGTTGCTGTAAGAGAGGATGCGCCGTCTACGTATTTTGCTCGCGCCCTGTTTTGCGTTTTGCTGGATTTTGTTGGCGCACTTTTCACCAAATTTGTCTACAGCTGCACAGAAAGAAGGCGCGATTTCCCCTCGAGTTGACATTGAAGATACAGTAACACGTTTTATGACGAGCGATTGATTTGACGAGCCTCTCCAGGCCCCGGTGTGGCCCATGTTGGTTGGCCAGACGCGGCATCGATACGGCGCGGGCCCGCAAAGCATTCGTCAAGTCTCACCGAATGCCAGCTGCCACTCTTTCCATTGGCATCGATGAATCTCTCCATAACTTGAAGTAAGGCTATTGTGCCTTTCCCAAACCTTAGTCAATCTGACCTCAAAAACTTACTCAAATCAGCACGATGAATTTCTCCTCAGATAATTCGTATTGTGCTCCTCTATGTGCCAGATATAATATTTTACCCTCCACTCGGAATTAAGCAGCACATGTGCGAATTAAGCAGCACATGTGTGTGCGGGGATCACTGGGTGTGGTCGATCCGATAACAACTTGAACCTAACACGTGAAATACGGCATTTCGCTCTACCTGATGTTTTTCTCTGAGTTGGGCTCCGATATTAAGAAGTAAGGTAGCTTTCATTCATAAATAATGCCTCTAAGTCAGATTTGTGGTTCCACTAGAACCTGGGGCTCATACAGAGAGGGTCATATTATTTTATATACAGGTTTGACTGGATTCGTTTGTAACTCGATGAAGTTAGAATACGAGAGAGCATCATAACATAACTTTGAAATCGATCATCTTAGTACTTTTTCTCGCTATTCGAAGTATTTAATTGGCATTTACCTAGCAGGGTGCAAAGGAAGAATGATGTCGTTGCCTGTGTGAACCAGCGGGAAGGCCAAAATGTCGACCGTCAGCTGGAGCGTTTTAGCTTGGACGAGCACTCGTTGCGACCACAGAACAAAGGCGAGCTGATAAATAGCTGGCACCCCGATACGGCGAGTGATCAGAAAGAGTTGGATGCCCAAGAAGACGATCTCCATCCCACAGAGTAGTAGAAGCCTCGTAACGGAGACCCCAACGGCCTTAAAGAAGGTCATGGCAGCTTGTGTGGCGTAGAATTGGCGGTTCGAGAGCCAGAAGACGGCCACCAAATAAATCGCTGGACAAGACACCATAACAAAAAAATTATTTAGCACTGGGTTAGGAAAAAAAAATAAAACGCGGTGTAGTTCTTACTGTAAAACGACGTCGTCCAGATAATCACGTACGACCTCAGCAGAATGATCTCGCTTTAGATGCATCGACGACGCGACCGAGGTGACAAAGTCCGTTCGATTCACACTGGGACTGATCTCCCGAGCTGCGAACGCCCACGTGTTAGGAGCGCTTTTGGACCGAGCAGCGCTCAGAAGTGAATGGAGGGAGACTGCGCGATGGGACTGTACTGACGCCTGTCGAATTGGTGTTCGCATTTCATGCCAGGGAAATATTCTCGATAGCTTTCACCACAGATCCGACTTAATCCTCTGATCTGAACGAAGAACTTCTTCGTATCGAGCCAAGAAATCACTTTGACGATACCCAGGGTAAGTTGAGAGCAACAAAGAGGGCGTCTTCTTATGCAGGAAGCTCGCGACGCGCGGTTCCTGGGCCATTTTCAGTGCGAGATGGAAATTATCTTCACTGTGTTGTTCAGCATCTTCCAGCTTTTCCTTCGCTTTCTGTATTTTGTAGCAGTCATCCAGGATATAGCGACAGTTTAACAGCGTCCGGAGAACCCCCAAAGCGGCGATAGCGCCCATAGTGCTGAGCGACTTGGAGTTCTGCAGTGCCAACGCGATGAAGAGCACGTGGTACAGCTGCCCCACGCAGCCAGTCATGACATTGATCAGGTCGTAGTCGTCTTTTGTGATCCACCACAAAACCCGACGAATAATATTTTGAAGTAGTGGGAGCAGGAGGGAGACCCAGAACTGCTGGGTCGACGTCAAAGCCATGAACCAGACGGTGAACGCTGGATACACGAACAACGGGATCATCTCAATCGTGACCCACAGATTCACTTTGTTGCTTTGAGCGTGGAATTGTGGGTCTTTCGGCAGACGGCGGTAGAACATGAGTCTTCCCGCTACTGCCATGGGGATAATTGCTGTGAACAGACTCAACGGTACTGGAAAAACACCCGAAGCGAGAGAGATTAGGGCATTCGTGAGCAGGAAAATGGCGGCTTGAGACACAGCAAAGAGCAGCAGCATGAATGGGGAGCTCACGGGGGATTTGGGGACACAGTCGAGTTTGATCAGAGACGGCATCAACGCACTGATCATGCCAGTGAAGAACATCCGCAGTTGGTACAACCCAGAGCCCGCAAGGCCCGTCGCCGGGTCACTTAGAGGGATGCACTCAAGAAGCAAGTTGATGATTAAACAGGGCATCGGGGTGAGGAGAAGGATCGCGGCCACGGATTTCGGAGACGTTTATCGGCGAAAAATTTCAAGCGCGTCCAGTTTGCTCACTGTGCATTGCCCCGGCAGGCGATCGAGAAGTTTGTAGATCCACTGGCCCATAGTCACGAGACACCGGAAGACGGATCGACCGAGTCGCATTACGAGGCCATTTCGGCTTGGGGACGGTGTCACTGCTACCACCTTGAAATTTGACCCGGTACGCTGGACATCGACACGTCTGACACTACGAGCCCAACGCGTGGACACATCTCGAGGCATTGCAGCCACTTCAGTTTTGATAGTGGAGAGGGCTATTTTCGAAATCTGTCCTCGCCAAAACCGATTTTTTTTTGCTGAAATGCGCCAATCCGGGACTAGATGCGTTTAGGCGAACATTTGCAAAGTCGCCTACAGTATTGTAATAATATGTGAATGTTGTTTTGTTGTTCACTTCTGCGTTGCTCTAGCAACCTTATGCTTAGGGGCTCGGCGCGAAAAGCATGAGGACGCTTCTTGTTTTCGTTGACGCGGTCCACACTTATCCGTGTTAGGTCGGGGGGTATAGTGTCATCTCCGCGCATGATAGCTGCAGCTATTATGGGCCTTGTCAATTATAGGTAAATTTGTACTTCTAAAGACTAAAGACAGCAAAGGCATTCTGGTGCTTCACATGGGCGATGACATCTGTATCGCCCACAACTTCGGGCGTCCAGCTCTCTCTTCGTCCTGTCAGCAGGGGTGTTCTGTATTTCAAAGCTATCAGACGATGGCTTCGACGTGTTGCGGGGCGTCTTCCTGGGGGCTACACCATTGCCAAGTTGGACACATTCGATGGATTTCGAGCAGAAGTCACACCATCACGGGTTTTATCTATTTTACTCCTAACTCCGGCCCCGTGTTTCCTGCTCAACATCAGCATCGAAAGCATCCCGTTGGCTGATCCAGCCACAGGATTCCGAGGGTCTCTCAACTTCCAGATCCGAAGCTACCTGTCGTTGATGTTTATGACCGGAATGCCCATGTTCATGAAAATTACTTCTATCCCCGAAATGTCAACGGCCTCCTGGAAGTTCGTCCTTGCCTACGGGATGATTACAGCAGCGGTGGCAATTGTGCACAACTCTGTCGTATCGGTCGTCGCAGGCATTTTCCCCTTGCCATTTGCCCAATTTGCGCCTGCCGGTCCGATCGTAATCGTTGGATTTTTGCTTAGTCGCCTCCTCCCGCACGCCCAAGACCCAGAGATTAAACAGCGCGTTCAAACGATCGATCTGTGGCTGAGCTTCGACATGCTCCCGGTCTTCGTGTACCCCATCTTCACTGCCGTCTTCATGTCGCTCAAGCCGACGCAGCAATTTTGGTTGTCACTGCTGCTCCCAGTGATGAAGCGTTTGCTGCGTCATGCCTTTTGGTTACTGCTACGGCAAGACCCAGATATCTCTGGAGCAATCACGTGCAGTGTCGGCCACCTCTATCACGTCCTCTTCACGGCCATGTGTCTGCAGAATGCCAAGTCGCTGGAAACTCTAGCGGCCGTGGTGGTCGTGAACGTGTTCCACATGCTGCTCAACTGTCGGGATATTCTCAAGGACGCGAATAAAGTGCAAAAGGCTAAGCACGAGCTCCGTGCTTTCGACGTAGCAGTAGCAGATGATATCGTCTCGGCGGCGTTGACTCTAGCTCAACAGGAGCCACTACCGGAGCTGTTGCACCGGAAGTCACCGTCCCGAATGTTTTCAAACTTCCCGGAGTTTCAAGGTGTTGACTTTGTGAAAAGGCATCGCGAAGTATTGCAACGCAAACGATCACTAACCAAAGTTGGTGGCCCGACGGTTCTGAACATCACTATGCTGGGGCGGAGCCTTCATCACGCTTTTTCCAAATCGGCTCCAAGAGGTACCGATCAGCGCACGGGGGGCTGTTCACGGGTGCACTCAATTCGGTCGAAAGGGGATCAGACCCGTCGACGCGCAGTGTACGTTCGCAACGTCACGTACACTTTGCACCAGACCGAGATCATCCTCTTGCGATCGTACATCTCCGTTAATGTGCTGATACTCTACGGTTCGTAGGCTGTGCAGTACGAATCTTCGATGCTCTTTCCGCTTTTGCACTGAGATACTGTTGCTTTTGTAGGTGTCTACCTCCTCATCGTCTTCTGGCTGCCCAACCGCAAATACTTCGCCACAATGACCACAATGACGACGTTCTTCGCAGTCGTGAAAATGATACGCCACTTGCTCCTGCTCGGCATCATGGAAGTAGTTTTCCTGGGTCTGTACCTGCTCTTGATCTCGCGTCGACTTGGAGTGTCGGGCGTGCTTCAACTCGCGTTCGTGCTCTGGTCGCAGCGCAAGCTGCTTCAGTCGAAATTCTTGTGCTTGTCCGTTATTATCCTGGGCTTCCCACTAGAGCACTATGGCAACAGCATCATTTTTAATCTCAGAACTGGTTAGCGTGTAAGGACTTGTGATATCGATGCGTGCACATGTACACCGGCAGATACTCACGTTGGTAGGATCCAAAGAGTTGCCAGCATTTTCCAACAGAAACGGTCGACATTTCCCGAATGTGTGGAGCTTTGGCGGAACTCGCACCCGCAGTTTCACTTGTCATGCATATTTTTGACGGAGATGTATTTCGCAGCAACCAGAATAGCAAGCTGCAGTACTCTCGAATCTGGGTGACCGCGGGAAGCTTGTGGGCTGTTCATCCTTCCCCCCTTCGTGGACAATGAGGGTGCTACCCCTTGCTGTGCTTATGTATCTTGCAAGCGCACAACCCCCAACTGAAGACGACATGATGAGTGACCGAACTCCAGCTGCCACGCCACTCGAGATTGGCATGGGACCACAAGCCGCTGCTCTAATCGACTGCAGCAAAACTCTCGACTGCGAGCTGGTCCCTTACGATCCCGTATGCGGGTCCGATGGCGTCACGTACGCCAACGACTGCGCGTTTGCTGCAGCGTTTTGCTCAGGCGAAAGTCACACGGACACGCTCTTCATCCAGGACGTCGGCGAGTGTCCTCCTGTTACCGACGACGTCGAAGATCAAGAGGGCACGCCGATCATGCCGCTCGCTGAGGTACAGAAGGGGGATGTTGACCACGCTGAAGTCGCGGTCAAGGCGAACACTGAGGCGAACACCGACGTGGACTTGATGACGATATTCTGCTCTCTCACGTGCAAGTTGACGCCTGATGAGGTCTGTGGCACGGACGGAGTCACGTACATCAACGACTGCCACCTGCTGGCGTCAAAATGTGAACACCCCGAGCTGGAAAAGGCCTCCCATGGCGAGTGTCCAACCCTTGAGTTCAACGCCTTGGAGGTGAGTGAGAGCACCATTATCAACGTCGCAACCCAAGCACCGGAGAAATGCAACCCAATGTGCGAGCGCGTGTACGACCCAATTTGCGGCTCGGACGGCGTAACATACGCGAACCCGTGTCTTCTTGAATACGCCGGGTGTCGTAACCCCAGTATACAGCCCTTCGGAGCAGGGAAGTGTCCACCAAACATGCAGGCTGCGCGCAGTGAAAGCCTCCCTGCCAGCACCAACAACGGAGGTGAGTCCTGCATCCCTGGGCCGTGTCCGTACACTTACGCGCCCGTGTGTGGCTCGGACGGCCAAACCCACGACAATCTTTGTCTCTTTGCCAACGCGAGATGCCAACACCCGCACAACGCTCTTGCAGTCGTCCACGACGGCGAGTGTGACGCTGACACGAAGCTCACTTGCGAAACAATGACGTGCCCCACCTTCACCGAGTGTCGTGAACAAATTGAACCCGACGGCGCCATCGTGGCCTATTGTGCAGATGTTTGTTCGCCTGATCGCTGTAGCGAACGCGAGGACTGCGAGCTGGTGGACTCCGACTGCTACACGGCGCCGTGCTCCCCCATCGCCATGTGTATCCCCAAAGTCCTGGACGGGTAACGGAGCTATTAGGTAGATCACTTCGACACAGATTTATTCTTCGGTCAAATCGATCATATCCACGGTGCAGCTGCTCTTTCGGAGTTTCTCGACACCAAGAATATTTTGTGACCTCCTTCCCTCCCATGAGTCACCTTCCTCCGTATCCTCAAAGTGATTCTCGTTTGCATCGTTTGCGTAGTCTAGCTCTCTGTCCTCTTCAAACCAGCCATCCGAATTGTACTCCGCAGCAAGATTATTGTTGGAAGATGCAGCATCAATGCTGACCGCATCCCCTCGATCTTCCCTCTCTCTTTCCTTCGCAGAAACTTCAGGGGCGGCGTTTGACTTTTCAGGACGTGTCGATCGTATCTCGTCGGATTCAGTCGGTGTAGCAGTCGCAACTCGAGCTTTCTTCTTCCCTCGCTTTCTTCTACCAGCACCTTTTCGCTTCCTGCTTGCTTTCTCTGTTCCACGATGCTGCGTCAGGAGAGACCACTCCAAAAGTTGCTGACACGCCGGGCACTCTCCCCTCATGTCGACCGCAGCAGCCTCCTCCTCTTCATTCTCTTGGTCTTTCAGTGACCGGAAATGGTCCATCAAACACGACGAATGGCAGCACATCTCGCATCCACGATGGTAGCAGCCCACCACTTCTCCAAGGCTCTCACCCTCTCCAGTCTCCGATTCCGTCTCCTGATCAGGAGACAATTCGTACTCGCAAATAAAGCACGTGGCTGCAGTCATAGCATTCTCCCGTTCAACGCCTGCAAACGTCTCCAATGCTCTGAACTCGAACTTTGCAGCAGAGCATCTGGGCCCCAGCCCTCGAGCGACCTGGTGCATCTCCTCGCTCGTGAAGGTCACGGTGAGATTCAAATCCTTGAACGGCTCCAGGTTGACCATCTCCAGCATCTCCAGCATCTTCCTCTTGACGGACCGAGGGGCCCCCAGGCCTTTGGACCCGCGCAGAAACTTCAACTGCTCCCTGGTGATTTTGCTCACGAGCGGATGCTGCCACACCCACTCAACTAGGAGGCATCAACCAAGTAACCCAGTTAGAACTATTGGGGTTTCTACCAGTACAGACACTATTTCATTGCACTCACACTGCATAGCTCGAAACTTGCTCGGAAAGCCGTGCACGACGGCGATCATCTCCCTGCACGAAAGAGCACTGATTGTTAGTCACCCATTATAGTACCTTTAGAACTGACATAACCTATTGTAGTACTTTACCAAGGTCGGAATTTCCGCGTCCGCTTGGCTCCATTCGCGAGCTCTCCGTTGTGCTGGCGTATACGCCGTGTTGGGTCCACAGTGAAGCCCACGTACGTGCAGCGGAGGCGCTGCGGGGCCTGCACGGGCGTCAGCAGGTAGCAGGCGAAGAAGCCCATGGCATTGAGCTCTCTCGGTCTTGCGATTCGTCCAAATCCGTCGCTTCGTTTTTGTCGAATCACACGCGAGCTCACTTTTAGCCTCCCCACAAATCCAAGTCACTTCATTTCACTATGGCCACCGTCATCGCCGAGTACGAGCGCGCCGTGAAGGCCAAGGCGGAGATCGAGGCGGAAATCGAGGCCGTGGGCGCCGAATTAACCTCGGGCAACAACCCCGGCCTGCATGGGCCGCTGGTGGACGCCGAGGGCTTCCCGCGCGCGGACATCGACGTGTACCGCGTGCGGCAGCTGCGGCACGCGCTCGCGATCAAGCGGACGGATCACCAGCAAGTTATGAGGAAGATCGAGGAGCTCTTGCCACAGTGAGTCGGCGGTCTTTTGTGTGTTTAACCTTGGAATGAGTGGAGTTAACCTCCGTTTTACCTCACTACCACCAGGGTTTTCGCGGCCCGCAGCGGCCCTAAGGCGGAGGAGACGCCCACGACGCCGCCCAAGGCCAAGCAAGTGGACGCGACGCTGCAGAAGCTCGAGGCCGAGTGGAAGCAAAAGCTGGCGGTCGTGTCGGACGAGGAGAGACGGCTGCAGCCCTTCGCAGTGGTGGAGAGCGTCCAGCCAGAGTCGCCCGCCCAAGCCGCGGGGCTGCAGGCGCAGGACCAGGTGCTGCGCTTCGGCTCGGCGGACGCGAGCAACCACCGGCAGCTGGCGGCCGTGCGGGACATCGTGCAGCGCAACATTGGCAGCGGCATCCGCGTGCTGGTGCGGCGTCAGGCAGAGCAAGAACTTGAGCAGGTGCTGGCGCTGGCGCTCACGCCGCAGACGTGGGCGGGCGCTGGAGTGCTGGGCTGTCTCCTGCAGTTAATGTAACCTGTCAGCAATGGTTGGCGCGACAATGAATACGACTACCAATTCACACAAGACAGGGACAATAACAAAAGCGTTTCCGAGTCAGCAGGCGTGGTTCCATTACAGACATGTGGTTAGTCTATCTAGCCAGCAGTAAGCAGCGGCGCCAGCAGAACTCGGAGCCCGCGGTGGAGACTGCAGCGGGGCGCCGCCTGCACTTCCCAGCCCAGAAGCGGACGCCCCAGCCGTCCACCAGCAAGCGAGCAAGTCTTGAGAACGAGTCCACCATCCGAAGACAGTGCGCCCTGGTCGACTCCGTCTGTCTAAAGACGGCGACCACGGCGACCACCCTTTCGGCGGGTGCTGTCCGTCGGGATGGGGGTGACGTCCTCAATACGTCCGATCTTCAGGCCATTGCGAGCAAGCGCACGAAGGGCCGACTGCGCGCCGGGGCCCGGGGTCTTGGTCCGGTTGCCGCCCGTAGCGCGGATCTTGATGTGCAGAGCGGTGACGCCGACCTCCTTGCACTTGGCGGCCACGTCCTGGGCGGCAAGCATGGCGGCGTAGGGCGAGGCCTCATCACGGTCAGCCTTCACCTTCATTCCGCCCGTCACACGCACGATCGTCTCGCGGCCCGACAGGTCGGTCACGTGCACGAACGTGTCGTTGAACGAGGCGAAGATGTGGGCCACACCGAACACCTGCTCGCCCTCCTTGAGCGTGGGGCCAACGCGCACCACCTCCTCTACTTCCTTCGTCGCGGTTTTCTTCGACTGCATTAGCGAGGCACAAGGTAGAGCAAGAGGTTAGTAACCACGACGGATTGATACATGCACGGATTGCTCGACGCCAGGGCGAGTTCGAGGCGGCTGCAGGCGCGACCGGGGTGACAACAGAGCTCAGACGCTGCGCTATGAGGTCACGCCGCTGGAGCCTGTTCGCCTGCATGCCTGCTCTCGCCCCAGACGCCGAAGAAGAGCGGCAGCGCTACGCACCATGATGGATTCGGACTTGAAACTGGGAATGACTCGGCCGAGCTGCGGGGCGGCAGAGCTCCGCTGGCCGCCAGTCAAAACGGAGGCCGCGCGATTGGCGGATAATATGGTGATGGTGAATTGGTGGATAATCGGGAAAGTAATTAGCCAATTGTGAGACGTGTAGCCATATAGGAATGGATACAGAAAAGGCAACTACATGCAAAGGTCTTGCGTTTGTATTGAGTACACCGACTAGCCGAGCGCCGCCGCTACGCGGCGGTGAATTTTTTGTTAGTTGGCGCTTCGCTCGCAATGCTCGCTGCGCTATTGGAGCAGACTGCCTACGCTTCGCTACGGCAGTGGCGGACCCGTTCCGCTCGCCTCGTCGGCTCGCTGCACTACTCTATGTTAGATTAGTACTACAGAGGCCCCGCAATATCGTATTGGGGGGTCGCCTTCGCTTCGCTCGGCAGCCTAGGTACGATTATGTGGACCACCTTATTATGTTGTCACGGGCTTCACACGGACGGACACACTGGACGGTCTCTCTCGTAGATGGTTAGCAGTCTTCTCATTGCATTGCCTCCGTCTTGCGCTCAGTCCTACCAGCCAGCCCCAGGAACTTGAGATAGTACGGATAGTCGGGTTCAGCTCGGACTTGACTGGGGTGCAGACGTACCAGTTGGGTCTCTGCGCGTCGGCCCACACTTGGGCCTTGGCCAAGCGCTCTGCCCGAGAGCCCTCGAGGTAGATCGGCGGCTGGTCCAACGTGCCTTTAGTGCGCCACATCTCGTCGTTGAACATCTTGGCGTAGCGCATGTACGTCTCGAACGTATCGGAGCTGTGGCCATCGAGTAGCCCCAAGTTTATCCACGCGCGGTATGTGGACGTGTCGTCTTTCAGCCACTTCTTCAGGGTCTTCTCCACGAACTTCTGGTAGTACTTGTAGCTCGAGTGGGCTTCTAGAGTGGCTCCAGATAGCCGCTCCATCCCCAGCGCCGCCTTGACGTTATCGACTGACTCCCCAGCGTTGACCCACTGCTTAATTTGCGCCTTCATGGGGTTCTTAGAGAATAACCCTCTATCTTCTACCGGCGGTTCGGCTGCGTCAGAGTCGATAGCTTTGGCGGTTCGCAACAGCCTTGCGCGGTAAATTGGAGCATCAGGTGACGAGATCTCGGCTGCGGTGGCTAGCAAGCAAGTGAAGAGGATGAATATCGCCACCACACTTAGTTGAAGGTGACGAGTACCCATGACGGAGTGAGTTGAATGCTGTGAAGTGCCCAATAGAACGCAATTTGACCTGTGTTGGGTGGTGAGGAAACCAAGGTTGAAGGGGCTTTGGCGCTAGATTACTGGCCTATTACGCGTGTAGGAGCCCTCAAGATTAGATAACAATTACAGTGTAGATGTGACTCAGGTACAGTGAAATTGACTATGCCAAGTAGGTTATCTAGTTACTAGATTATAGTAGCCGTATCCGCTACTCTCGCCTACGCACGCTGTCGCTAGATCGAGAGTACTAAGTAATTACCGTCACCATGAGCACCAACGTGCTCCCCCTGGCCTTCGTAGCCGCGAGCACCTCGTGCTCCCCCTGAGCTTGAGTCTCCTTCCTCCATCGACCTCCGTCGATCAGTCGTCATCGCACACACCATCACCTCCGTCGCGCATCGGCACTCGGTCGCCCCTTTCGCGGGCGTCCTGACCAACGCCGCGCCAATCCACCGGGAAGACCAGCACCATCTCTCTCATCGACACTCTTGACTTGTACACCACGCCCTCGCATCCGGGCGGGCTCTCCGTCGTCGTTGCGAGTCAGCACCAGCACTTGCCCTCGATCGTGCGCCTCTCGTCGATCGCGCCGAGCCGTTTGGGCTCATAACCTGTAGGAAGTACTGGTAATTTGCAAGCGGGGTAGCAAAATTGGGAGGTGGAAGCAGTCGAAAAATGTTAAGCATGCTATTGAAGCAGTAAACTTTGCGCATGGCACACTAGTAGATTGCCTGCTATTACGTAGTAGTTGTTGGCGATCACTTTGCCTGTGGGGCAATTAGTCTCTATATTTTTGCCGGTATGTTTACCACATACTTCATTACTTAATACTCTCCAGATGACGAACTGACGTGCCGATTCTCTTAGACCAGTCGCTTAGATGAGGCTGTATGCTACACCGAACGCTGTAGGTACATGCAATGATACCAACATCGTTTCCTTTTTTTCTACCGTAATTCCAGTTCGTCTTAATGATTTTATTTTTGTTTGAAAGCCCACGCAACACTACCCCACGAGCAGGTAGTTCTTCTTCATGTTAGTTCGAGCGAGCGCAACTCACGTACTTGGCTAAGTAATAATGTATGAAACAGAATACATATACCTACAGTAGGTATTGTGTTTCAGACATTTCCCCGTTCAAGCGCCAGCTACTTCGTGTTCGTGTTCAGAGGTCCTCTATTTACGTTTGTTTTAGCAAACGTAGTTTAACAACTACCAGTATACTGTAGAGTCCTCCAGCTACAAACAAACTTTTGTCAGCTCCCTCCCTCAGTGTAAAGTGAGGCTATCGCTACTTAAATTGTGTATTGTGAACGTTAGTGCGCCTTACGCTCAGGGAATAAGTGATCTACACTCTCCCGCTACTTTAAGTACACGGGAAATGCGTACTCTCAGAGGTGTCAGCGCCGCCGACTCGGCGGTACGAATGCCAAACTCCAGAACAATCAATACATGTAGCACCATATGAAACGATTGAGCCAGTTTACACAGCTTTACTCCTATCTGATGATCGGGTTTCGTGAGACAGTATAGGATATGGTACAACCCTTTATCGGCAAAAGGTTCAAGATTAAACGCACTCGCTATGCAATCTAACAGCGCGCAGTGCATCTTCATCGTGAATCGTTCATGGACGACGGCCATCCGCATCTCCACCAGTTCGCAGTCCGCTTCATTTCACCCAAGTGCCCGGGAACTATTAGATATCGGTACAGTATGCTGTCTTCTCGGTGGCTAACAACGCTTCTCATGCTGATGGCGGTCTCCGTCCTCATTACCTCCGGCGTTAATGCAACGGAGTTGAGCCAAGACCAAGTTCCACTGCCGGTGTCTGGAAGCCGCAGGATGCTGCTACGTGGCGCTACAGAGGCCGACGCTGACAACGAAGACCGAGGGGGTTTCTCGTGGCTGAGGCAGCAGTACTGGCTTGAGACCGAGAAATCCAAGAGCTACGTCAAGCAGGCCTTGGGTTTGGACGGGCTGGAGGGAGCCGCGCTGAAGGCTGCCCCGAATTTCGTTCACTACGACGATTTCGTGTACGCGCGTCAAGGGAATATTTTGAAGAACTGGTTGGACGAGGGTCTCACCACACCGCAACTCGCGAAGCACTACAAGCTAAATGACATCCCAGCGATCGAACTGAAAAAAGACACCAACAAGTACAAAAAACTCGTGCGATTCGCCAAGATGGAGGACGAGAAGATATTTAACTTGAGGAACAGCGACGTGGACGTCAAGATGGTGAATGGAGGCAGCCCAGCGGAGATGGAAGCAAAACTGGAGGCCTGGGTGTCGGCAAGGCGCCCCAGATACTACGTGAGAAAGATGCTCAATCTGGACAATAGGTCTCGGAAGACTCTCCTGGGGAGTAAATACTACTCGTACTACGGTAGATTTTTGGGGCTGACCGGACAAAAACCAACGCTTCCGCAAAAGCCCGCGGTAGAGGCTTAGCAAGCGACGAGAATTTCATTTTGATGAGGGGTTGCCTTCCGAGAAATTGATAAGTACTGACGTTGCCAAGCACTATGTACTTGGCAACGTCAGTAGTGTATTTTCGCCCCTTTCTGATCAGAACGGTCGCATCATTTCTGGTTCCATTCCATTTCGCGAGTTGATATCTGCGTTCAGGTGAAGTTTCGAGTTCACTCATTTTTCGCGCTTGTTTCTTCACGCTCGCTGAGCGGAGCTCACCTTGGTTAAGTATTTTACCCAACTAGCCAGCGACAGAACCAAACTTGAGTGAAAATCCTTAGGGTCTGGTGAGCTCTTAAGCGGCGTTGCCAACTCATTTGAAGAAGAGGGAGGGGCCGAGACAGAACGATGAATCAGCGGGGCATTTTGAATTCAAGCCTACTGTATCGGACACATGTAACAACTGCAGTGCTGTAATTACACAGTGGCTCGAAGACAAAGCTAAGTTGTAGGCGCAGCTTATCGAAGATATTAACGGAAATTACCGAATAATACCCCGGGCACTATTTATTAGCACCCTCCCATTTTCAAAACAAATATGCTAAATTATGGATATTACACAGTATAAACATGATTTCGACAATAAATCCATAAATATATACTTGATCTTTGTATGGAAGTAACATTGTAACCCTGGGATACACATTGGGTTACGTTTTAGAGGGTACTATACGGGTAAGGGGTATTATTCGGGAATTTACGTTATCTCACGCCATGTAAAGCAAATCTACAGTATACTTTCACGCCATCAAGCAGCGAGGTACTATGAACAGTTCGAAATGGCAGATGCCCTGTACATCTCATCCGCTTCATGTATGACGATATTATATTGTGCTTTGCAGACTTTTTGGCACTTCGGACTGTAACTCGTACGACTTATCAGCACGACTTAGTGATAAATCGTACTCGAGTACGAATTGCTGTAAGTCGTGGATGGTCAATCAGCACTATGTAGTGCGCATACCATCTCCTGCATGATTTAGCACATTCAGTACGGATTAGCATCCTTTTGGCACTTTTAGAATGTGCCATTCCTGAGCCATATCGGTTTCGAAACAAGATTCGAGCAGCTCGCATTCAAGGCCACTATGATTTACCGCTAAGTTCGAACACTAAGTAGTGCACTAAATAGGAGGGCAAACTGGATGCAAAGCACAATACATGCATGGCAACTGGAGGAAGAAAGTATCACAATCACCAAGTGCACACAACTCGCGCTATTCGACATCAGTTCTCATTTTGCTCACAAGATCTCAAGCCCCCCCCCCCCCCTGTCGACGCACTCAGCTATGCATTGGTACTGCGTCTGGCTCGTGGCGATGCTCGTTGCTTGCGATTTACTCGTCACGGGTGCTCAAGCAGAATTCCCTTCGGTGGCTTCGCTCGATCATGCTCCTCTGGCGCGCAAGCGTGTCAGCGTCGACGGCGGGAGACAGCTGAGATCTGTCCCCGACTCGAGCGAGACGGAAGAGAACGGTGTGTGGTCGTGGATCGTGAAACACTACCAAATGAAGGCGTGGGTCGCCAACGGAACGCCCCCCAAGCAGGTCATGAAGGAGCTGGGACTATTAGGATTGCGAGGAAACGCCCTCACAACCCATCCGAACTACGAGCGCTATCTCCAGTTTGAGCGCAAGGTGATGAAGGATGCGATTTATGAAGGCGTTGATACGATAACGCTCTGGACGAAGTGGAATTTGGGGCAGATGTCGGAGGCTGAACGACAGACATTCGCACTCTACAAGGAGTACGCGACGCTGTACGACAAGCTCTATTACGCGAATAGAAACTCCTTTGTGGACGAGCTCCCGATCTTAACCAGATCAACCCCAGGCGAGATGGAGGTGAAGTTGGACATTTGGGCCGAGTTGATTAGATCCAACAAGTACGTGCACGAAATGTTGGGATTGACAGGCAAGCCAGAAAAGGTCGTGATGGCCAACCCGTACTACAAACGCTTTTTTGAGCTGACCAGCAGCAAACAGTAGCTCATGGACACTGGACACGTGAATAATTGAGCCTGTAGTGACGTATCACAAGCGAATAACATTGCTATTCACCGTTTAAATTCGAGACGTGTATTCACCGTTTGAAGACGATATATATACAGTAGTTTTTTGCTGTGGTAGATATAGTAAAGCAGCTTAAGATATTACGCGCAGAACGATTGAATCTCACTCGTGCCGGTAGATGACGGTAAAAGAGTTCAATGTGCCTGAGTAGTAGCGTCCTCCAATTCAGTAATATGTTGACTTGATAAACTATTCACATTATGGTGATGTCCATCAGACATAAAATATTGGTAAAAACATTTTAGATTTTAGCGCGCCTCGGGCGTAGTCGCCATAACCGCAACAAATACAAATACAAATTAGATTTCATGGATCTGACTGTGTTTTTGTATGCCTTGAGTCAATAACATAACCGATATGGCTCTGGCCACAAATACATATTGAATTGACTTGAGAAAACGTAAGTCCCTGCCACCGACGCTTTAATGGATCGCTCTGATTGGTTAAAATGACATGACTAGCCCTTGGCAGTCCGAATGAGGGGCACGTCGGGTACACTGCACTTGCGGGTCACTTATTAAGTCCCTCGGAAATGCGGTGTATATCTACTAGACATACTATCTAGGTGAAGCATTTAGTAGCATACGCATTACAGATAAAGTAGGTGGTTGGGCCGTGACAACCGAAACAACATGGAAGCTGAGGGGCCCGTGCCCTGTACGTGCCGAACCTCGTGGGTGGCGATATCGATCACCTGTCCTCTCTGATGTCGCGCTTTGGATTTTCATCGGACTCTCCGCAATCGGAGAGCCACAGCGTTTCTAGCACGAGTGGGCCCAGGTTGCTTTGTCGTAAGTTGTTGGTAGACAGGAGTAGTAAGCAACTAGTAACTAAGTGACAGTACAGTCTCCAAGAAAAGAAAAGAAAAACATGAAAGCTGAAGCCGTACTACTACTACGAAGCTTGGCGCATCCGGAAAAGGGTGGCGTTATGATTTGAGTTAACACGAACGTAGTTCGAACAAACAGCGCCGGCCATCGCGTGCTGCTTGACCACTATCGCGCAGCGCGCTTCGTTTCAGTGGCGCGCGCACCGTTCGCTGTGTACTCCTGCCGATGAGACTCCACCAAGTAGTGGAGCCCCTTCACTCAGGGACTGCATAGGTTTGGCCGTGAGTGCCACCCACTCTAAGCCGACGTCTGCTGGCGTCGCCTCGGCCGAGACGATGGAGACGGTGACGGGCAAGGAGGTGATCGCGGCGAACGACAAGGGCTGCGCGGCGACATCCGGCTGGACGAGCGGCGCGGACACAACCCAGGAGTCTACGGAGGCCACCGAAAAACGGAGACAACTTGTTGTAGAACATACTTACGCAAACTCTTAATCCTGCGACACTGTATTTAAAATTCTGCTGGTTTTAGTGGACACATAGCAGGAGGCATAGATTTGTGCTCGAGGTCTCCGGAAAGTAGTTGTTTAACTACACTGGAACCTGGAGGCGAATCAGGACTGTGCACTTAGGTAGAAATATTTTGACCAATAGGAGTCTCCGCTAATCGTCGGCTACCGCCGCTTACGCTTTCCCGGAAGGATGCGATCCTAATGTCCAATAGTGGACCTCAGTCAATGTGTCGTACTCCAAGGTGGGAATACACCAATTCCGGAAATTATAAGCCAATCCGCCTACGTTTTGGCGGAAAATCCCATATGTAACTTACGTAAATATGAGAATGTCAATTCCGTTGAAATTTTCCAAATCGGGCCGATTGCGAGATTCGCCCAACACAAACTCATAATGGAGGTCCTATAGCCAATCCAAATGACCGGGGCGATTGGCGGGCGATTTGGCTCGGGCGATTGCAATCGGCCGGATCGCAAATTTCGTCTAGAACACCAAACATCTCTTCATGTTTACTGACAATATTCATATTGACGTTTTATTCGTACCGTTCTGCCTGGTCAGAATTCGCTCATACGCACAACAAACACACGGAATGAATTTTGGAGATAGATCCGTTGATCAAATGACTTGATTTCGACTCCAGATTTATTAATACAAGTAGTCTTATAAAACTACTCGGCGAAAAGCGGTCAGTCGTTCATGCGGTCATCCAATCCACAAAGCCGTCGCATGACAACAGCGGCCTGCTGGGCGAGGGTTCTCCCCCATGTAACGATGATATCCTTACGCTGGTTACGGTGTGGTGTGTTCGTGGAATATGAGCTCTACAAGCGGTAACAGCTCACTTGAGTAGCCCCTAAACCGATAGAGCAGCAAACGTACAAAAGCGTTTGCATTTGCACAGAGTTGATGTTTTGTGAAAATCACCAACATGTTTGTGGAGTAGACTAGATGGAGCGCTATCGAGAAAAGCACTTCTGTACTCGGTCACACAACCGGCGTTGCCTTTTTATAAGCAAAGACTAGCGAGAAAACACATTCGCGCTTGAGCTGCGAGGTTCTAGCCGTCGCGTCCTCCGTCCAACGTGCAGTCCTTCCGAGCCACAGTATCTTTGAGCTGTGTAGATGTCGGCAAGCATACCGCTTAACGCCCTACCATCTTTCACCACCACCGTGGAGAGTGCTTCGCGCACAATACTTCGGGTGCAGAAGCAGCAACTACAGTACTTCTTCAACAACTGTGGTGCCGGGAAAGTTGAGTGAAGCTCACGGCAAGGCCCGCGGCGTTCGGCGTCAACTCAACTGGCGGATCGAGGCACATCGCCATTTGTTCGATGGTGTTCGACGTCCGCTGATTGGCCAGTCTGGACAGATGACGATGATTCGTCGACACTCAAGCTCAAGCCGTGGTGTGTCTACACAACACCGGGACTTCAAGGACGACCCGAACCTACGGCGAACTTTGGCCTGAGTTCCGCACCTAAGGCGACTCTTCGAGTCATCGGGAGGCCGTCCGAGCCTTCAAGAGAGCTCGGAAGAGTCGGGTGGTTACCTGGAAGATCCAAAACGGACACGTCTAGACTAGATATTTGTATTGAACCATAGGAAAGAGAAGATAGAGCAGATAAGTCATTTGAGCAACAATAACAGAACAGCTTTTCCTCCCAACCACTCAAGGAAGACGTCCGGGCTATCGGTGAGTTCCCGTAGCAATTGGATAAACCTGTTGGTAGGATTATGACTGTCGGTGGACGCGCCTGCTAGTATCGTAGCGTGCGTTTACCCGTGGTCAGGCCAAGAGAAGAGAAGAGGTGGCCGTGTATACGAAGGGCGAGTCATCGCCGTGTAGTGGAGGAGCGAGAGCGCACTCCATTTATCCTTCCCGTCGGAGTATAGCTCCGGCACCCTCGTATCAAGCCGTGACTGGCTGGGATCCTTCCTTCCTGAGGGCCTGCGAGGTTTATATTGTGTGTGAGAGCATGCCAGCCTTCGCTCGTGGCTGGTGACGCTGGTTTTCCGTCAGTTGACTAAGCGGAAACACGGTGCACAGAGGAAACATCAACCCGGCGCAAGGGAAAGTTCCTGGGCCTTCAGGTTCTAACCCTAACAAGCCCATTGAGGCATCGGGACTTGGTGGGTGTTGTTGGTGGCTAAAGTGTGCTATTATATGATGTAGTGCGTGTTCCTACACGACACAACCCTCTCTCGTCGCGATAAGAAAAAAATCGCTGTGCCCTCGATATCATCATTCATGTTTTTTTAATCGTAAGCACTTTTCTGCTAAAGGGGTTAAGAAAGAAGTTCTAAAATGGAGTTCCAGAATCTAGGATAGAGCTCTAGATCTGAGTTCCAGCTCCACGCACGAAGGGTTGGGTGATGCCGGATGCGGATGCCGGAGTAAACTCACCAACGCAGCGCGTGGCACGCGCTCACCGAAGCAGTCATGCTTGCCTAACTGCCACTGCCGGCTCCATCCCACTGTACAGGCGCGTGACGAAGAGCGTTTCCTACGACGGAAACGCCGCCGACGATGGTCGCTTTCTCGGCATGTTTCAATGATAAATGATAAATAAATATCCCTACAGACTGAGACTGAGCGACAGGAGTCGCCAGTCGTGGGGCTTCCTCGGCTGTCCTTTGCTACGTATCTTCTCAAAGCTGCGGAACAGCGTCGCGAGTGGGAGCAGGTTCATTTGGAGCTGCTGCTCGACCGTGTCCAGCTGGGCGAGCGACACCCGCTGCAGCCTCGCCGGGTTCATGAGCAGCAGCGAGCGCAGCTTCTCCAGCGTCCGCACGGTGCGCATGAGCTTGTGCTCGATCGACGGGTCCGCGGGTGGCTCGGGGCAGAAGGAGAACGCGGTCTGCAGCCCCTGGATGACCATGTCGATGACCTCGAGGTACTTGCGCCGCAGCTCCGCCAGCTTGCGCGCGTTGTTGACGCCGGCGCCGGCTTGACCGCCGGCTTGTCCTGCACTGCCGTTGTCTTCTCCAGGGCCACTGCGTCAAGTTCTTCTTCAGCAAAACCCATTGCCGTCCTAACTCTGAGGTATCGGAGTATGGCTTGCTCTCTTATCTCTCGCCTGATCCGAAGCTCATTGTTCTGCCTTCGGGCTTCTGCAACGCGTAACGTTTCGTCCAAGAGGACTCGTTGGGGAGGGGAGACGCCATGCAGTCTCGCATCGACGGCGTCTTGCACATCTTGTTGTAGCTGGACCACCTCATCTTGTACATCCTAGAAGCGATAGATTGGCGACCAAGGTTTGAGCTTGTCCAGATCTCGTTCTAGGTTAGCCGCTGTCGTCTGTAGAGCTTGGAAGGGTCCAGTGGGGCTTCGGGGGGTTGGCTCTGTGTCGGTCCAGGCATTGAGGAGGCCGTGGGCGTCCAGATCCCGTATGGGAGGCCGCTCTGCCGCTAGAACAACTGCGTTCTGACCGCAGAGCATAGCGAGCTCGCGTTCCTGCTCGCACTGAACAAGTAACGAGCCATCCGTCTGTAGTTAGAGCAGCCGTCGACCCACTCCTGCAGTCCCAGCTTCCCAGCCTCCCCCTCGACGAACTTGAGCTCCTTGTCCGACACGACGATGGTGACGTCTCCAGCTTCACTGCCGACCGGATTTCGGGCGACCAAATTGACCAAGTCGTCCAATGTTGCAGTGATGCCTCTCGACCACAGCCAGTACAACAACTTATATGCCTCGTACCCTATAAATGTGAAAATCACAACAAGTTAGTTGCGATATCGAAATTGCTACAAACAAAAACGAAAACTTACCACAAGGTCCCTCCGTGCTGACCAAAAGCTCGTCGTTGTGGAGTCACGCTGCGATTGTCAGGTTAGTCGATCCAGGCCAAGTAATTACTGCAGTCTTTGTAATGATTGCCGTGAGCTTGTAGTGTAGCATGCACAGCCGGTGCCTGCAAGAATAAACCGCTTCACACACCGGACGGCAGCCTTACAGGTAAGGGTTCACATCTTGTCAAACAGCACGTAAACCTTCACGCCCTTCCCGACGAGCCACACAAGGACATCTACGAACCCACAGTCGGTGACAGCGTAATACGCCATCCACACCTCTGTCACGTCGTCACGACAAAGCTGCTGCAACATCTCAATCCGCACGCTCCGGTTGGCAGCCTTGAAATGGACCGTAGTCGCCTCTGCGAGCTCCTGCTCGATGGAAACGCGCAGTCGTGCCAGTGTGCTTGGTGCCACGCTCGTGTACCTTGCCTTTTGCCTCCCGCTCAAGTTCGGCGGCAGCGAGCGCAAGCACTGCGCCAGGACGGCAGGGTCGTGAATGGGCACGCGACCGCTGCCGATCCTTGGCTTCCGATCGATAATCTTTCGGATAGTAGCGGGGCAGCGATCGTAGAGGTCTGCAATGTAGGTGACGTCGACCTGGCCGGCCTTCTTCTTGTCGTCAGGAGGATACACGAAGACCTGGGCGGCGACCAGCACACCTTGGACCTCCTCGTCGGTCATGTGGGGCCGGAGCACCACCCCACTGGCCTTCTCCTCCTGCTCCTGCTCTTCCTCCACCTCCTTGGTCGTCGCTGTGCTCGCGCGCGCTTTTCCTTTAGACGGCATCTTGTTTTGTGGCGCGCCTCCAGCAATGCAGTTGTCGATACCAGGGGGGGCGAAGTTGAAGTGCTCCGTTCCAAATTGTTATGTGCAATCCAAAGCTGCCTATCGAAATTATCGTGCTAGCGTTTTCGAGTGGTAGCATAACCATTTTCGAGAGGGTTTCTTCACAGTATACTTAACTCAATATGATTTCTAAACCCTTCCAAAAGTGGTTATGTCACCTCGCAAATTTGCTATTGTGAATTCCGGCCAAATTTGCCGAATCGGGTCGATTTTGGGGCCCCTGTCCAACCGATACAAACATCAAGTCATTTGCCGAATCGCCAGCCAACAAACATACGCATGTCAAGCCCAATCCGTACTTAGTTGGGAATCAAGGGGGGCATAGCCGGGCGACCATAGTCAACCCAAGTGCATTGGCGATTCGCCGGCGGTTTGCCACGGTCGATTCAATCCGCCCCGATCGGAAAATTAGAGTAGAACTCACAATAACACTACAACAGAAAATGGCTCGATAAAAAATTCAGGCGGGTCGGATGATGGGTTTCAACACTATTTCCGGGACGGATAGTGGGTGCCACTCTGATCATATCATATTATTAAAACAAGTCATAGTCATATGCTATGACGCTTCATAAGTCGTATGATGCAGCTCTCACCACCTGCGAGCATTTACAACACGGTGGCGGGCTGGAATTCCAAATGTGTTCCTACATTTGGACGCAAAGCCGGCGGCGGTGCTGGTGCTCGCAGGCAGTGTGTCGCCCATGGGAGTCGCCAGTACGCCGACGGCTGGATCACGAACCAAGGGCAAGCGACGGAAGATATGCATGGCTGAAGGCTGCCAGAACTTGTCGCGCTCGCGAGGACTGTGCAAGGCTCACGGTGGAGGTGTTCGCTGCCGTGTGGAGGGATGCTCCAAGAGCTCGCAGGGCGACGGCTTCTGCCGCTCGCACGGCGGTGGTCGTCGCTGTGGCCACCCCAGTGGCTGCTCCAAGTGGGCGCAGCGCAGCGGCATGTGCATGGCGCACAGCGAAGGTAAGTACGGCAACAGCTACCGTGGTCGGCAGCACCGGATGGAGCAGCAGGAAGCCGTGGTCCAGCAGACCCGAGTGTGAGCGCGAGGGCAAAGCGCACACTGTTTACCACGATCGAGGAGCCAGGAGGTTTTTGTCAGCGAATCGACTGGGGCGCATGAGCCAGCAGTACCAAACGAGGAGTCTCCCCTCGCACTATTGAGGGAGCAAGCATCAAGCCCACGAATGAAGTGGGCGGTCTGCTTGATTAACTGGGCGAATGACCGACGACGCATTGTTCACTTGTCCTACTGGTAGTGCTTCGGTTACGAAGTATGGACAGCCCAACCAGGATTAATTCGATGCACCTGATATGTGGCGCACATGAAGTAAAAGTATACTGAAATCAAGTAAAGTCAGTTAATAATTTCAGATATCGCATGAAATTCACGGAAAAGTAGAGGTTTTTTCGGTGGAGTGCCCAACTAGTTGAGTAGGATATTCGTTTCCAGAGATTAAGGGTAAACGTTAAGTACGCCGGTGCCAGCTCTGGGATGAAGGAGGACTCCTCCGAGAGGGTCTTTGCCGATAGCAGAATGCTCGGTGTTCTAGTTGGTATGCAAGTGGCTTGTGCAGCGATATTTGATCTATCTACTAAAGCGCGGAGCGTGTTCGGCGCGCTGCTACCAAGATAGAATTATGCTAAAGTCTAATACAAATTCAGCACTGTGCGCCTACGATAGCATGAGCGATGGCGAGATGATGAAGCGAGGCTCGGTAGGTAGCGCGGCGATGTGCAGGTGGTGATAGTTCCGATGCGGTGCGAGTCCAGCTAGTTCGGCGCCACAGCAGCGGAGTTTTTTACCGTGAGCACGGGGGGGGGGGGCTGCTGCGGCGACCGAAAAAGCTGAACTGAGGACGAACTCAGCTCTTTTAGATTGTGGTCGTTTTGCTTCTTTGTCTTCAAGGAAGGATCCGTTGTCTAGATCAATCACAGAAATTTTCTGCGGATCATCGTACCTAGTCCAAATCACTCAGTGCGAAGGAAAGGTCCGTAGTCTTAATCGCTCACCATTTCCCGAAAATGTTTTGGAACCATCTATTGTAGTCAAAATCACTCGATATGAACTGACACAAAGTAAGTTTTCGGACTGTATGAGGAAATATATCGATTTTTTTATCTGAAAGGTTATGCCGCTTCGTCCAAGTCAACTGAATCAACAACCCGTTCGCCTGTTCAAGTACACGGCAAGTTTGACAGCTCGGTGGAGACCAACGACGGCGGTCTGGTGGTGAACAGGGAGGTGATCCACGTGTTCGCGGCGCGCAGCCCGTCGCCCGTGGGACAACGTCGGCGCCATGTATGTGTGCGAGTCGACGGGCGCGTTCGCGACGACGGACAAGGCCCACGCCCACTTCGAGGGCGGCTGCTAGAAGGCGGTGAACTCGGAGCCGCCCAAGAACTCCACGCCTATGTACATGATGGGCGTGAACCACAAGGAGTACGATGGATCGGCGCCCGTGGTGTGGAACGCGTCGTGTACGAGGTGATCAACGACCAGTTAGGCTCGAAGCGGATGCTTCTCGTGGTGCTGTTGGTGCTGGTGCCACCGTTGGTGCTGGGGGCTTCGGAGGTGGCGCTGGCGGTCTTGGCCGAGCGGGCGGTCTCAGTGGTGTCGACTTTCGAAGCCGGCCAGTCAAGAGTGCCAGCATCGTGAAAAACCACTGCGCCAGCCGCGCTTCTCGAAAGCGTCCCTGTGGTGCGCATCATGAACATGACGATCAGCATGGCTGGTGGTCGCTGCTGCCAGTCGCAGATGCTGCGTATAGTATCGATAGTGTGTCTATAATGCGTAGTCGGCGTTTTGTATTCTCAGTTTATTTAATTCACAAGTGACTTAGTGCGCTGCATTGCAAAGTGCCAGTCACTACGGCAAGCTCTCAACCACGTTGAACGCGGATGCGTGCAAGTATACTCCAAATAATACTTTCAAATACTTTCAGCACTTTGAGTCGTCGTTGTGAGCGTGCCGACCTCTATTGAAGTGCATTCGCGGGCTTGAAATATGCACTACCAGCCCAAACCTCTAGTGTGCTAGGGCTTCGCGGGGGCTGAGATAGCGAAAATAAAACAGAACAGATATACGCACAACTACCAGATAAGCAGCTTCTGAGTGCAATAACCCACTTGCGATAATATCAATTTACTTTCTTACATCCGCGCTGTTAATAATCAAATACAAGCAAGCTATTAGCTGCAACAACGCCCTGCCAAGCACTTACCTTCGTGCTGTAACTTCGTCCTGGTGTTGCGTCTTCGGGTCGGGCGTGAGAATGCGAAATGGTTCGAATGAAACTTGATGATGCGATTGATGCTTCCTCACCAATAGAGACCGACTAGATAATTATTTAGATGACCTATTAAGTTTACTTTCATAACATTTCAATATACTTAAACAGGTGCGATACACGCACGGCTTCATGCGACATCGATTTAATCCTGTGCCGGCTGCGTAGCAGCATACCATATCGCTGACTACGCGCTGCTATAGCTAACTATGCGCTGCTATGGCTTACAATGTGCTTATGTTTAACCAAGTTCGCAGAATTAAAATTATACTATGTAGTAGGGCAAGCCCAGCTATCGCTGCCACTATGCACTACTCGCAGTGCTATTATATGTTTAAGCGGACTCTGCTATCGCTGCTACTATGCGGTGGGCCCATTTTAATTAATAGCAGGTGTTCCGAAAAGTATTATATTAGGCCAAGCGTCACGGCGGGGGTGACGTAACCGCCCCCGTTCCGCTCGCCTCGTCGGCTCGCTGCACTACTCACCGTGTTATTAGTACATAGTTGTAGCCCTGCGGCCCACTAGAACGCACGCGGTGCCGCCTTCGCTGCAGCAAATCGGAATTAGTGGGGTGGCGTTTTAGCCAATAGAAATTCACGTGATCTACGGACAACGACACTCGGATTGATTCTTAGGATACGTCGGCAGGTATGTCGGCGGCTCATACCCCTACCCCTAACGTTGATGATTGGATAAAATACCATCTATCGCCCTTCTCATTCGATAATAATCGGTCATCGCCATTTGATTGGACCATGGCCACCATACAGTGGCTAAGTATAAAATCATATGTGTCGGCACCGTCACGATATTTATCCTTACGGTACACATGCTAACGTTATCTCAGTATTATTATGCAGTTACTCATTATTATGTAGTTACTCCACGCGCGACATTCGCGCGACACACAATTTTGAATGGAGCTCCTGGCCCAAGGCGCGCGTGCGGTAACTGCCTTCATCACTTCAGATTTAGCCCTCTAGCGCGCACTCCGCTCTTCCAGGCTGAGCCCCTTTCATTGTCTCTTGTATCTGTACACGTACCCCGGTGGTCCACGTGAAGATTATCAAACAACACCATCTTTCGACCGAGGGCTCCAACCCTGTGGCGACAATTCCTCTCACCAGATCTGATGGACCCCACCACCTCCAATGCATTCCTTCATACGTATAAGTGTAGCTGAGAAGCCGCAGCTCAAGGCAGATAGAGAGAGCGCCATGTGTATGTGTTGACGGGCGGCACCCGCCAGATGCCCCCGACCAGAACACCCCACACCCCACTCACCTCTACATGCGGTGTCGATCACGTGGGGACCGGGTCGCTTGGTCTCGCACTTGCCTCTCTGGTTATAGCTACCGGGACTGTGAATGCCCATGGCCGACGCCGCCGCGCCGCTGCCGAGGCGTACGCTGAGCCGCGAGTCTGCAGCCGTGCTGGCCCGCAGGACGAGCGCGCGCGAGACCGCCAGCTCCTTCGCGGACTTCCTCTCCGACGGCAGCAGCGACGATGAAGCGGACGTGGAGGACGCGGACGACGCCGACTCGCGCGCGCTCCTGCGCATGCAGCAGCAGGCCGACGACGGCGCCTACAGCGACGCGCCCTTCAAGCTGGCGGAGAGCGCGAGCAGCTTCCGGCTCACGCTGCAGAACCCGCGGGACTTGCCGGACGCGCAGGACGCCGGGCCCCGGAAGCTCGTGGCTCCCCAGCCGGAGCGTGAGACCGCAGGGGTCGAGGTCGCGGCCGCGTCCGTGGACGACGTCCTGGACCTCGTGTCCAAGGTGGAGCATCACCTGAGCCTGGGCGCCAGCGCTGAAGCGACCATGAACGCCCCCGCCCCCGTCTCCCGGGCCAGCTCGGCCAAGTCGCTCCGGCGCAAGACGAGCGTGCGCGAGTCCGAGAGCGCGTTCGCCGACTTCCTCTCGGACGGCAGCAACAGCAGCGACGAGGAGGCCGAGGACGACGCGCACACGCGCGCGCTGCTGAGGATGCAGCAGCAGGCGGACGACCGCGCGTACCTCGACACGTCGCTCAAGATGGACCGGCCTCCGGTTGATCTACCGGACAGCGGCATGAGCGAGGGCGAGACAAGCAACCGCAGCTTCCGCCTGACGCTGGCCAAGCCCGGCGTCTTCGCCACGCGCGAGGACGACGGACTGCTGAGCGGCCCGAGGAAGCTCGTGGCGGCACCCATGACGCGCGAGTCCGTCGTGACCGGCTCCGAGTACAACAAGAGCGACGACGAGAGCGACGGCCGCCCGAGCATCACCGACGAGAACAGCTTCGCAGAGCCCGAGGCTGCAGCTGATGCTGATGTGGCCATGCGCGCTAACGACCTCCACGAGAGTCTGGCGTCCAGGCCGCCGAGCTTTGACGAGGAGGACTACGGCGACAGCTTCTTCGACGAAGGCAGGCCCAGCTTCTCGGACGAACCGAGCTTCTCTGGTGGTGGCGACAGCAGCTTCACGGCGGCAGACAACAGCTTCGTGTACAGACCCAGTCTGCCAGACGACGAAGATAAAGCAGCTCCGAGTCAAGCGCCACCTCCCGTTAACGCGACGAGCAACAACAGCTTCGTAGATACCAGCTTCGTGTACCGACCGAGTGTGCCGACCACCGATAACAAGGCTGTAGAGCCCCAGACGCAGCCGACGAGTACGAGCAGCTTTGTGGACAACAGCTTCGTGTACCGACCGACGCTGCCGGAACGCGAGAAACCCATTGAGACTGCGAAGAGCAGTATCCCCGCGACCGAAGACACCAGCTTCGTGTACAGACCGACGCTGCCGGACAACGACAACGGAGACAAGAGCTTCGTGTATCGACCGACTCTGCCGGATGACAGCACTCAGGCAGTGAGTGCGGAGACAGAAGACCGAAGGTTCGTGTACCGACCAACTCTAACGCTGCCAGGTGCAGGTGAAGGAGACCGAACTGTAGGCCACAATATCGCTATGAACAGCAGCAGAGATGCGATAGTGGAGAACGGGGGCAAGGCGTTGAGTGGCCACGGCCTTGACTACGAGGAGGAGGAGGAAGACCAGCCTTCGTTCTTGGGGCAGAGCACCTCCAACTTCATCAGGTCCAGTGATGCAGTCGACTTCGGCTTTGGTGGCATCGACTCGTCCTTCAGGCTGCACGACGCAGACGCTGCGACAATCGCTGCGAAGTATGCAAGCCTCGACAGCGAACTGACAGACATTGCGATGCCTCCAAAGGCACGCAATAACGAGTGTGAAGTTGTCGCGATGCCGTCAGTGGTGAAGTCAACCCTTCTGGCCATGGACAACACAGTCCCCGCGTCGCCAAAAGCAGCAGCCAGTCTCGCAAGTGAAGGCATCGTAAAAGACCTCGATCACGACCACGACTCGAAGCCCAGCGCCTACCCTAGCATCCCCATTCAGCCGTCTTTGTCTCGACATTCCAGTGTCTCGTCGACGGTGTCGGGTCATGACGTCTACATGCGGCAGCGTCGGATGACCAGCGGCGGGTCCTGGCGAGTCGACTTCCGAGAGAGCAAGCACGCCTTCGACGAAGAGCTCGCGCCGTTGGCCACTCAGGTGCTGTCGCCTCAAGCTGCTGCTCTGAAACCTGAGCAGCCAAGCCATCGCCTGAGTACGTTCGAGGAGCGCTCCTCGGCGGCGTCTTCGTCCTTCTCACAGGCCGATTTCTTCGTCGATGACGTCCAGCAGACCTTCTCGAACGAGAGCTCGCTGTCGCTGGACTCGCGGTCTTCGGGCGACGACTCGTTCACGAACGTCGCCATCCTCGGGGAGAACGTCGGTGATCAGAACGAGCGACGCAGCAGCGACCTCATCCCGCAGACTAGCAACGAACCCCAGTCAAGAGCCACCACCAAGGCCCCAGACGCGTTCGCCCACAGCTACAGCAAGCTCTTGGCCGTCAACGTGGGCGTGGACCAGAGCTTCAGCGCGTTGGTGGACCGCGACGGACTCAAGCCTGACGGAGACTATGGCAGCGTGAGTGCAAGTGCCGCTGGGACGAGCTTGGGGAGTTCCTTGGCGTCGTCGGCAATCTCCCGGTCCTCGACTGCAAGTGACGACCTCCCGTTCGTCTCTTTCAGTGCGGCCAGGGCCGTCTTCGAGGGCCAAATACCTCCCAAACAAAAGAAGCAGCGCACGTTGGTCGCAGCGGCGGCGGCAACAGCAACCAGTCGAGAGGAGCCGAACCTCAGTAATGTGTCGGCATCCGAGGCTGCGGTGCTTCCTCCTCCTCCTGCCAGTGACGCCAAAGAGCCGAAGCCAACCAGTTCCCCCTCTGTGGCGCCTCGAACGCTCGGTGCCAAAAAATTTTCGTCGGCCGCGCTTCTGGCCGCTATCAAGACGCGCGATACACGCGCAGACACTCGCTCAGAGGAGACGGAGGCGGGCGACGTGGCCCCCGGTGCGTTGCCTCCTCTAGCTCCTCCGCTCAAGATCAACCTTGGGCCTCGTGGTCGAGGCTCTCTCTCGTCCTCTCTGTTATCCTCAAAGAGCGGCTCTCAGTCTTCCTCGGTCTCAGGTTCGCCCTTGAACATGTCGTTCATTGCTCGTTCCTCCGTTGCCTCGTCGACCAGTTCTGCAGATGATATCGGCACTGCAGATCGACTCGACTTCACGGGCGTGTACCGTGGCTCGGTGAACAGCCTCGACGCCTCGCGGAAGAATGGCGTTCCTTCCAAGTCCGCTCAGGCCCGAGCGGAGCTGAAGCAGTTGAACCAAGGACCTCGTGACGAAGACAAGAAAGCGACGAGCAAGGCCGCGCTCTTGGCCGTGAAGCTGGAGCGATCCAAGAGCGACAGTCGCGCGATGCACCTCGCAGCTCAGCGCAAGGTGGAGGACTTCTTCCGGCGGACGGGCGAGGACGACATCGACGAGCGCGAGGTGCACCGCTTGACCACTCGGAAGACTCGGGCGCGCACGACCGTGATGGAGTGTAGGGATGATGCCAAGGCGGCCAAGATCATCGACCTCAAGAATCTGCGGAATGGCGGCAAGCGGCCTGGCTGGCACCTGGAGAATGATGCTTCGACAACGCGCCAACAAGAGGAAGAGGCTTCAAGACAGGGTACTATGGGGATGACGAGTAGAACGACAAGTACAGGCACGACAGCGACGCGGTCGATCCCGTCCGAGCCGCACAACTACGTGCTGAGTCCGGAGGCAGTTGGCAACCAGGCACAACTGGAAGAAAAGGCAAGGGCGCGTGCACCGAAGGCTAAAGCTTCTACTGGAAGGCGCGCGGACAACCTGTCACTGACGCCGACACTCGCGAGGCTCTCGGCGAACGAGTCCCCCAGTCTCTCTGCGTCGCCGTTCGTGTTTTCTCACGCGTATGGAGCTGCTGGCAGGTCGCCAGGGAAGTCTCCGGTGGGCTATGGAGCTGCCAGCGGCTTCCTCTGGAAGACGGGAAGCGGATTTAAAGGTATGGAGCGGTCGGTCGCTGAGGATTCGCTGGATGCTTCCCACGTGACGTTCTCCCAGCGACCGACACTAACTGAGCGCGTTCAGAGTTTGTCGGCTTCGTTGGCCAGCACGCTGCGCCGCTTCTTACCGAATAGGAATGCCCGGCAGTACAGTGGAGAGATCACCTCGCCTCAGTCGCAGTGTACAGCACCCGCAGTGCTGCCGCGCGCGTATGACAACGACGGGTTCTACGAGACGCCGTTCAAGGTGCCAGGCCTGAATAAACCGTTGCTGCGGCGACGGAAGAAGACGGTGGTGGTGGAGAGCAATGGCGCCTGGGCTCGCCAGTGGCTGATTCTAGCGGTCTGTGCGGTGTTGGGGCTGACGCTGGGCGCGATCCTCGTGAGCGTCGTGGCGTTCGACTCGAGCGTCTTCAACTTGTCCGCTGACGATGTACGCGGACTCCGAGACAGCAACGGGGAGCTGGTGCTCGCTGCTGCGGTGCGCTGGATGTTATTACCTGGACAGTTATTCGTGCGCGTGTGGAGCGCGGTGACCACTCCGTTGTTGATGTGCTACATGGTCACGGCCATGGCGGATCTCGTGGGCTGCGCCGATAAAACGACGCTGGTGCTGAGCTTCCGCTCGATTGGGTATGCACTGCTGCTGGCGGTGATGGCTGCTGCTGAAGGAGTCGTGGCCATGTGGATGACACACAAGTTCGGGTGGTTCCGAGGCAGCAGCAGCACTGCCATCCCTGAGGCGTTGACGCTTTCTGCCGCTCTTGGTGTGACTCCACTGCCTCGAGGAGCCGTCGGACTGCTATGTGTCAATGATGGCGAGTATCTGCAGCGCGCTGGCGGTGGCGTGTTCACGTGTTCGAACTCTTCGTTGACGTTGCCATTGTACGGAGAGGTCAGCACCAACTCCACGGGCGTCGCCGGCAGTGGTCCAGCCGTGTTCGCGCTGCAAGAAGTGTCCGACGTGTTTGCCACTTCGCAGTCAGCACCATACTACCCGGCATCAATGGGTTCAGGGGGCAACATGACCACGTCACTGTTGTCGGCGCTGACGCCCGACAACTTGGCGTCACACTTCACGTATGTAGCGGATGATGAGATGGCGTCCATGTGTGGACTGGTCGTGTTCTCCATGCTACTGGGCTACGTCTGTGGGAAGCGGATCCTGCGACTGCGACGCGATGGTCAAGCCGCGATGTTCGAGTCGGCGAGAAGAGCAGAGGATCCACACCAGGCTCGTCACTACATCATGAGCATTGCGATGGAGCTGCAGTTCGCGTTGGAAGGACTGGTGCGCGTCATGGAACGGTACTTGGCCCCACTTGGCTTCTTCTCGCTGATGTTAGGGAATGTTGTGCTGCATCATCGCGAGTGGCGCGCGCTCACGTCCCCCATGACGTCGCTGATTATCGGCGCGCTGATTGTGCTCGTCCTGCATGGCGTGCTCGTCCTCCCCGTGGTGCTTCGACTATTCTCCAGCCGCCAAGTTCCTGCACTAACGACGGCGAGGGCGTTCGTACCAACCTTCCTGTTCGCGTTTACGACGAACAACTTGCCGCTGTCTGCGCCGGTCTCGATGCAATGCTACGCGCGCGTGCTGACGGTGACTCGCTCCGCTGCGCAGTTGGTCACAACTGCGGCTGCGACGCTCACACAGAACGCGCGTGCATTGTACCTGCCGATGCTGCTCCTGTGGCTGCTGGAGACATCGACGCCTCTGGAGATTCACTTGACTGGGTCAGACTATTTCTCGGTGGGGCTGATGGCACTGCTCAGCAGCTTCTTTGGCGGCAGCACTCGCGTGACGCTGGCGATGGGACGTACGCTGTGGGCTCTCGCTGTGAGTAAGCAGATGCCTAGCGCTGCGGGCTTGCTGCCTCCGACGATGCCGTTGCTAGTCATCTGTGACGTGGTGCTCTCGAGAGCGGCCAGCATGGTGACTGTGGCCGACCACCTCGTGCTCACGCACCTGGCAGCGCAGCATTGGGCGGAAACCGTGGTGGATGGGCCCAGTACTAGCAGCAGCGACGCAATCGGCAGCAGTGATGGCAGATACCACGAGGAGTTCATCCCCCCAAGCCCGAGCGCGTTAGACGACAGCCAAGCGCCTCGCCCTTCGTCCAGTGCCATGCTGTCCTCTGTTCATCTGTAGTAGTGCGTGTCCTTGTTCTCGAAGTCCATTTACTAAGTCAATTCAGTGATCATTTGCCAGAGGACGGAATTTTGATCTTAGCGGGCATTGAAGTCAAAGCGTTCTGCACTTTGAGCCAGTTTTCGCCACTTAAAACTGCAAATACCGTACGAATGGAAACTCCAGGAGCGACCAAAGTGATATCCACCGCTGTTTCCTCGAGCCCGACATCACGAAACGCGTTGTGGCCTCCTGGCTTCATATCGTATGGCTCCACTGACTTGCTGCCCCAAAGCTCCTCAAAACCTTTGCGACTTACTTCGACGATTTTCGACACAGCCCCAGGAGCGTCCAGGACGTCATGTGCTTCTTCCACGTCGAAGTGCTCATGGCGGTAGCTCTCCTCACGATCACAACAGCTGCGGATTCCACTCCAGCGAAGACCTCAACGGGGGTAGCCCTACGTGACGACAGAACTAACAGCGGAAGAATACTACGCACTGTCGATCGCAACTCGGAAGAACGGGGCATCGCCTCGTCAGTCGCGATGTGGGCCAAAGTGAAGTACTGGGCCCACGCCGGCAAGTCGGACGAGTATGTCAAGCAAAGGGTCGGGATGGCTGGACTAACGGGGAAAGCGCTGGAGTTTGACCCCAACTACAAGTACCTGGAGAGGTTCTGGCACAGGCTTGAAGGCCGCACATTGGACAAGTGGGTGAGGAACGGGTTACGCCACACGGAGCCTGGGTGGGCTTGAGGCTCGATGGCGTCTCGGAGACGAATTCCGACGCGCTGAGGCTCTACAAGCGCTATGCCAAACGGTGGGACGACAGGACCTTCGACCACTACAACAGCGTGTTCCAGCCTCGTGTTGAGTATGGAGGCTCCAAAGCGGAGGTTAACGCGAAAGTGGAGATTTGGGCTGCGGCTATGAGGCCAAGGTGATACGTTAAGGACATGCTGAACCTGCACGGGTCTGACCAACAACTCTTAGACAATCCCTACTACACAAGGTTTCTGGAGCTGAGGAGATCGAACAAATGAAGAAAACGGCTCGATTACGACAAAAAATCTCTTCTTGATTCACTTTGATTTCTTCGAGAAGAGAGTAACGACTTACGCCGAGATTTTCTTGTGCTTGTGAGTTCCTCATGGCGTGAAGCTCTTATTTTATTTTATTTTTCGCGGTTAACGCCGATGGCACTGAGGGTGAGCTCTTGGCCTTGAAAAATGGGGGGGGCATGCCCCCCCCATTTTGACTGAAGATCCGCCCCTAGCTCTGCTTTAACCCCGCATACCGTGTATCTCAGTCATCCATAGAGTGAAGGTAGCTTAACTATTTCGAAGTATTGAAGAGTTAATATCGATAGAGGCCTGGGCATGCTTGGATTACGAAAGTAAAAAATACTTGGATGGAGACTGCCTCGCTGCACCGAAAAAAAAATGATTTCTTTGTCACTTCAAATTGTTGGCACGTGAAAGCGCCCAACAAGGGCGCATTCGGTATCGATGAGCATAGCTAACCGACACTAGTTCGAATTAGTGGTCCTTGAAGGTACATACTTTCCAGAAAAAAATGACCCAAGCTTTTAGAAACTTGCGCCTTACCAAATAAGTGAATAAGAGTTGAGTTCATCTCGACTTCTTTCTTAAAAAGTGAATGTAGCCACTCCAGTTGTCAAGCTGGAGTTTGCCGCCTCAGCACCTCAACTGGAGGGGAAAACCTGCAGATGGGGACGGCGTTCAAGAAGAGTCCCAAGTACGATCAAAAATACTTGTGCAAGGCGCAGGGGTGGAGCTCAAAGGCTGGTTTTGTCGCAACAATCAAAGCTAGATGAAATGATGCCCGCTCGGCGACGCGTTCCGGGCCTACGAGTGGTACGCGCTCAAGTTCGGCAACAGCGTCTCATGTTCAAGCGCCCGATCTCCGTTGGCGAAGACGACGCTGAGATGACGGTGACGATCTAGCTCTAGGTCTAGAAAAAGACCTCTCCAAACACCAGCATCGTCATTTTATGCGTTTGCTCTGCCGTGTATACATGCACTCACTCAAATCAAGTCCGGCGTGGACGCGTCAGCAAAGCGCACGCCTGCGAGGATTACCATCGATTGGACTCGTGAGCCTGGGGCAGATTGCATCACCAAGAAGGCTGCTACGTGTAATGTTACAGTATAACCAGACCGCTCTACATGTTCTCGGAGCTTCCCAACGCTCTTCAGATAGTGAGTGATCTTTAGCGAATGAGCTGCTGTGCGCTCCTATGGATTGGGGTTGGGCTTTTCACTGGTTGGAGTAAGCATACCCCTGCAAGACTGGGTTACAATCTACATCGCGCTGTTCAATGGGCCAACGTTTCGAACCGTCTTGGGGCGAATGCACAGGAGCATCGCTGTTGCAATATTGCTCACGCTAGTTGCTTACGGTCTGGAGTCGATTTAAGCCAGAGCTACTGTACTTTGTTGAAGTCTACGTATTTTATAACCTTTTTTTTTTCGGATTACTTTCGAGTAAATCAACACACATTAGCTTCTCGAGTGCTCTATCACTTTATGAATTAGTCTCCCCCCCTCTTCCTCACTACAGTACACCCTGCTGTAAGAAGTTCTCACGTCGTGCTAGTGGCGGTCTCCCTCCTACTCAGTCTACTCGATACTTCCGCAGCCATCGCCACGTTGACCCAGACCAAGAGCTCATCCTTGCGTTTGTCCAACATTGAGCACGAGGACACCAACGGGGAAAGATTGCTGCGAGCCGTCAGAGCTGCTGATGGCAATACGCTTGTCTCCGAGCGTATTGCCATCAGCAGCTCCTCGAAAGGGGCGTCTTGTCGCCGGTCAAACCTCTCGCGTCGAACGTCAAAACTTCGGTGAAAAGTTCGCTTTGGGCCAACGCCGGGAAGACCGACGACCAAGTGAGGGAGAAGCTCGGACTGGTGGGACTCACGGGCCAAGCGCTCAAGGAGAGCCCCCAAGTACAAAGCCTATCAAAAGTATTTGTACAAGGCGGAGGGAGCGAAGCTTGACGACTGGCTGAGCTACAACACTCAGTCGGAAAGACGTGTGGAAGTATCCAAAACTAGGCAAGGCCCCCAGCTCAACGCGAAAATTGTGACGCGCTCCGAATTTACAAAAGGTATGAGCTCAGGTTCGACAACAAAGTGTTCCACAACATGGACAGTCTGTGGACTATTGCAGCTAGTTCCCTTTAACAAAAATTCCGACGACGAGTAAGCGGTGAATGATTTTTTCAGGTCTTTTCGATAAAGTACTTCCACTATCCAAGTACAAGCACTGCGTAGTGTTTCTCGGTAACGTCAGATTCTACTGTAGTATCAGCTCAAATGCTAACGGTAGGTTTCCCTGAACTTGGCCGTGTAGGTTTCGAGAAGTTTCGCCCTGGTAACCTTCGCCACTCCTCCTGCAGTTAGAACCTCGGAGACAACCGGCTGAGCAGCGCCGTCTCCAGATCCGTGGCCATCTTGTCGCCGAAGCTATTTCTCAAGACTTGGATCATCGACGCTTGTTCCTTTACTGGCTTGTTGGCATTGAATGCTTGCAAGTAGGTGGCCCACGTGTTCAGTACCGGGTTGGTGAGAACGGTATCCACGTCGTCCAGAAAGAGCACGTCCTTAAAGAGCTTCTCAGGCGTCATGTCCTTGTTTTTCAGCCAGTACTTGATCTGTTCGGCCTGCATCGTGGTGGCGATTTTCTCCGTGCTCGGGACCTTCTTCGCCGCGATGAGAGTCGCTGCCAGGGCCTCGTCACCCATTCCAACCGACATCGCCGAGACCACCATAGCGTCTTTCTCGCGCATCCCTTCAGTGACACGAGCCATGAACTTGGTAAAGTAGGCGAACAGCGGGGCCTCGAACACCTTTTCCCCTGCTTCGTCAAGCTTTAGGCCCCGGAAAGCATCACTTGGCGAACCCGTTAACATCCAGCCCCTGAACAGCTTATCTTCCGTCCACTGGGCGATCTTTTGCGTGCTTGGGTTCTTCTCTGCGGCCAGAATCATCTTGACCAAAGCGTCCTCGCTGTAGTAATAGCGCATCGTCTTGAAGACAACGGAGAGCTTGTCGCTGTTCTTGAACAAGTCGTCCGTGTACTTGATCCAAGTGCTGAAGTATGGGCTCACCAATAGCTTGTCGTCCAACTTGTCAAGCTTGAACGCCTTGAACACATCTGTTGGCGACTTCTTGATGCTTAGCCAGTACTGGAGCTGCTCGCTCTGCAGCCTCGTGGCGATTGCTTCTGAGCCCGGCGCCTTCTTAGCGGCCGCCAGCAGACCAACCACACCTTTGTCGCTGTAGTGCGTCGTCATCGTCGCGATCAAGCTCACCTTCTTGTCCGGGTTCGCCTCGTTAAAGGCAGCCGCGTACTTGCCCCAGGCGTTCAACTGCAGGCTGTCGAACATGTTCTCGGCCGCCTTGTCGAGCTTCAGCGCCGTGAACACGTCATCTGGCTCCATCTTCATCCAGCGCTGCAGCTGCACGGACTCGAGTCTCTTGGCGTCTCTGGATGTACCCCGGACCTTCTTGGCGGCTTCGAGCATGTTGACCACGACGTCGTCGCCGAAGGTCTTGGCCATGGTTGCGACCAACGTCGTCTGCTCCGTAGGGTTCTGCTTGTTGAAGACGTTAAGGTAGGATTTCCACGTGGTCAACTCCGGATTGGAGAGGAGTTTGTCCCCAGCCTTGTTGAGCTCGTACAGCTTGAAGACGTCGTCCGGAGACTTGCCGATCGAGGCCCAGTACTGGAACTGCTGCGTCTGGAGCTTGGTGGCCATGTCCTTTGTCTTTGCGACCGTCTTGGCCGCGTCGATCATCTTGATCAGCGCTTCGTCGCCGTACTTTACAGTGAGGGATGTCATGAGAGACAACGCCATGCGGGACCGTCTCGGGTCCTCCACGAACTGGAGCCAAGTGACGAAGTGCGGGTTCTCGAACAGGTTCTCGCCGGGCTTGATTTTGGTTAAAATGTTGCGCACGTCTCCGGACTTGAGCATCGCTGCGGCTCCATCGTCGCCGTAGTGCGCCGCCAGTGTGGCGGCCAGAGACGCTCGGTTGTTGGGGTTCTTCTGCTTCTGGTTGAAGGCGTTCATGTACTTTGTCCACGTAACCAGCAACGGGTTGCTAAACAACGTGTCCCCAGCCTTGTCGAGCTTCAACAGCGTAAAAACGGCGTCTGTGGACTCGCGATTCGCCAGCCAAAGCTGCACCAGCTCCGTGTCGAGCTTCTGCGCGGTGGGTGCAGTCTCCGGCACTTTCATCGCCGCTTGGAGGATCTTGGCCACCTTGTCGTCGCCGTAGCTCTTGACCAGAGTCGCGATCATCGTCGTCTCCTTGTCTGCGTTCTTACTGTTGAAGACCTTAAGGTACTTGGTCAACGTGGTGAACTGCGGAGTAGAGAGGAAGTCGTCCCCGGCCTTGCTGAGCTTGAACAGCGCGAACGCCTCGTCCGGAGTTTTCCCCTTGGTCGCCCAAGCGTAGAGTTGCTCCAGTTCCAGCTTGGAGGCCAACTTCTTCACGTCGGCATTCTCCGATACCTTGGCTGCAGCGATCATCCGAGCGAGGGCTTCGTCGCCGTACTGAGCCGTGAGCGTCGGGATCATCGTCGGCGCCTTGGCGGGCGCTTTTTTGCCCAAGTCGTCCACGTATCTGGCCCAGGAAAATAACTGCGGAGTCTGGAACAGCTTTGCGCCCGCTACCTTCTTCAGGCCCATGCGCACGAAGACCTCGTCGACAGACTTCCCCTTGTTGAGCCACTTGGTGAGTTTCTTAGCCGAGGCGGAAGGCAGCAACGCCGCTTTCGCCTTCTCGATAATGGAGACGGAGACTCCCGCTCGCTCTTCATCGTCGTTAATCCTCCGAAATCTGGTGGAGTGGACGTCGGAGTTGAGTGAAACCTTCTTCGAGTCGGTGACGAAGTATGCTTCGGCGCTGGCGAGGAGTGCAGCAACCGCCAGCAGCACAACCCAGCGGACTCGAGTCATTGTCCGCCACGCACTAAAAATGCGAAATGAGCGTATCTGCAGGCAGTTATACCAAGTAAGTACATGGATAGAACGCCGCATGGTTGGGGGAGAGAAAGAGAGAAGCGGCTCTTCTCTCTTCTGAAGAGCTGCGCCAACCGTACACAAGTTCAGTACATACCAATGTTGATTATCAGGCATCAATAAACTAGGATATTGTGTCTAATGCCCATTTGGACTTGAAATCGGCACTTTGGAAATCTTGAATTAGGCACCATACAAAGATCTATATATTAGTATGGCAAGTGAAGCATATGATTTAGAGACAAGTCGCTATCAACAGTGTTGTGTTCCTGGCAAGAGATATATTCATGGGGCCGAGTGTGAATCGTTCTCACACCAGGACTAATTCACGGGTAGTCCCGACACTGCGTCGATCAAGAATTTCAGTCTGTGTGGTGGTGATGCCAGGTCCACCAAGCTAGAGAACTGTTGTTACCCATAATATTTGATAAATTCCATGATGCGCAACAGAGCGCAGGTACAGTGTAGCTGCTCCTTGCTCGTTCTGTGGTATCCACAAGCCAATGTAATGTACCGAAGATTTGATAATAAGTCGATTGCCAGGTTACATGTAGTTAGTTTATTATTTAAAATACTTACTTTGGTATATTGGTCTGTTACGATTGCCTGGTCAATTTGGCAGGTACGGCTGCCGCGGAATGCGCTGTCATGTATGAAAGCTTCATTGGCGTGCCAAATGCACAGAGCAGAGGGAGGTCGAGCTAGCACGAATTATATTGGCGCGAAGCTTGAAGGCATAGTGACGAAAGTAACGGGAGGAGGGTGCACCATAATCAATGATTATGGTGTCACCTGTAATAGGCACCGCACCGGATATAATTCAGTAGCAGCTACTGTTTAGATTCTAAACCCAATGCTCAGATGACTTTACCTACAATATCGTGTAAAGTACAGTTTATTGACTGACACCTCGAAAGCACATCAGCTTTTGCATCATTTTCGTCTTGTTGTTGTTGCTCCTTGTATCCGTACGGGATGCAATAGAGGATGTTAGCAACTTCGTAAATAACGACTCAAATATACGGTCAACATTTTTATGTGTTTAGTTAAAACGAAATCGTCGACAGTGTTAGCATTCTCGTATCCGTCCATTTACGAAATCCAACTGACTCCTAGCGATAGAGGCCGCTCTGCTGACACGAGATCCCTGCATCCGATGCCATGCTGCTTCGCGCTCTGAGCGCCCCGAGTGACTGATCATCCCAGGCGTTCGAGGCTCAACGAACACAGCGATGCGTACTGCAAGAGGTACTTCCGCTTCACCGAGGATGCAATATTCGCCTCACCCCCAGACAATAACCGCCTCACCCGTACCACTATTTTGGTACACTAATTCAATTGGAGCTACGAATTTCTATCTCGACTAGCCGAGCGCCGCCGCTACGCGGCGGTAAGTTTAGGTTAGTCGTAGTAGTGGGGGCCACCCACCCCCACTTCGCTCCGGTGGGCTGTTTTCCAGTCAAATGTCAATCTCCAATTATAGTATCGCCAGTATAGACAAATTAAAGCCCCCGTAACCTGGACATCTTACGTTTTCAATCAACAAATTTTGATCTCTCCAATTTCCAGCCAGCAATGGCTGTAGCCTCCGTCAAGAGATTTGAACACGAATGCGTATCGCGTGCTCGTTACACCTATTTACCCACTCTGATTGGTTTAAAATGCGTCTGTCATTGGCCTCCTCCTTCACTGGCCCTCACAATTTGACTCCCTCAACCGCAGCTGACGATGACAAGCAACCTGTGCCTCCCTGCTACTGCTGGACCTGTATTACAGACTCCGTCCCGTGGTCGCCTCGATGGAGACCAAGTTCGAAGTGCCTGCACTGCCTTTTGAGCAGCACATGAAGACGCGACCGGCGCTGAACCATCTCCCGGATCTACTGCTGGACGGATTTGCTAAGCTACTGGACGCGAAATGCGTGAGTCGCTCGACGATCCGTGTACTGCTAGAGGAGGCTGGACTATGGCAGGCGCAGCAGCGCATTCAGCAAGAGGCAGCCCAATCAAGTTCAACCAGCATCGTTTATCACTGGCAATCAGATGGGCGCTTTCATCGGATGCCGCAGAATTTTGCTTTTCCACAGCTAGATGCGCTAAGTGTGTGGCGTATTTGGTGGCTTGGCCACCCTGCTGCCGGATACCCGCCTTTTCGGGCGCTGCAGCCATCTGACTTCACGAAGACCAACCGCAAGATGTTTTCGGAATGGACGGTGCTGGTCCGACATATCGTCGCTGGTGTGGAGGCAAGTACAGGGGCGAGAATGCAGCGACCAACTTCACAACGTGTAGCCGACGATCTCTACCAACTCGGCATAGCTCATGTGCCGATGAAGCCACCTACACATGCGGCGAAGCAACGGCCCGAGCGAGCAGTAACCACACTGCGACGAATCCGGCAGGCAATCCACGAGTCGAATCCGGAGGCGAGGCGTGTGCTGTTTCGTCACAGGAAGCGCACTAGAAGCACCAAATAGAGGTTAACAGCATTAACAAGGCGTTAGTCGTGATGACGCAGCACATTAGCTCGTTCGATAGATGCTTGTTCGTCTTACCTCGCCACCGTTCCCGTCGAAGATGCACGACAATGGGATCTGGCGCCCCGCAGAGTGAGTACTGCCCTTTAGTGATGAGAATATTAGCTAATCAGACGACGTTCGTTATGCGTGTCACGACCCGGTTACGGGATCTCGACACAAGTCATTAATTTGGATTGTATGCACGTAATAAGGTGTTTGTATGTTGGGAGTACTCTTAGTATGGTTAAAAGTGGCTGGTATCAGCTTCATCACGTCAGTGTTACTATAAGTAGATGCACTTGCAAGATAATATATTTTCTATCGCACGGTACTGTGTTGTAAACCATGTCCAAATCGTCGCAGGTATTCAACCCCAACTACAAAGTATCTGCATTTAGAACAGCTCGTGTTTAGTGTTCTCTCATAAGTCTGTATACGTGTTATTTTACCAAGTGTATCACTCTGGCATGGTTTCTGTTAGGTGGTCCAAGAGTATAGCCTTTACATTCTGTATCAAGGCTATAAGCCTAAATAACAATTCACGCTTCGCAATACCTCTCCTTAGCATATCGTTAGTGCTTCGTTCTTATTAAAACATCGTGAACATATTCATATCGGGATCGTTTCGGCATTTATATGATCCATAAATGTATTCAACTTCGGGCTGCGATAATGTGGCCTCATCAAAACTTATTTTTATTTAAGTATTAGTCTAAGCGGAGTACATAAGCACATTAGCGCACCACCTGCACCACAGCCGCTAAGACATTGAAAGTAACAACTTTGCATTTCGTATCTATGAAGTACACGTTGCACTATGCAAGTTCCGTTTCCAGCGTTTAGCATACAGGTAGAGCGCGTCTATCATAGAACTCCAGCTCATTGAATGTCAGCGTCTACTATTCAGATCTCATTATACTACATACCGACACATAACATAAGCTATCGATGCATGAACCACTTTTAGCCTTTAGCCTGTATCCCGATCTCCAATGCTATACAGAGAACGGAAGGGAGTTCAGGTTCAGCATGGCGCGGTAGGAATAATAAATACCAGCGTAGTGTAAGTAACCTAAATACACCTTATTCACACACATATGAACCCCTTTTTAGCAATAGCAGATACTTCGAAGGATGTTTATCGCGTTGAGAGCCAAGTACGCGGTAGTTGTAGTTAATTTGTCCCTGTAGTTTTACTATAGTGAAATAAGCTCGGCTTCTTGTTAATACTTATCCACCTTCAGCTCACCTGGCGCTACATGTACTCGCACTGCTACCACTTACAACGTTGCTGCTATCACTTACTACGTGCTCCTATCACTTTCTGCGTGCTGCTATCGCTAACTATACGTACATGCCGCTCACTACGTGCTGCTAGCGCTTAACTATGCGCTCCTATCGCTGACTACGTGCTGCTATGGCTAATGTGGTATAGCAGTACACACAAAATCGTCAGTTGTGGTAACTTGGCTACAAACACAACAATAGCCGAGCTGGTCGGCTTTGTTGGCCTGCGCCGGGTTGCCCCCGAGCGGTTCGGCCCAACCGGGACAGCGGGTGTCTCGCCTTTCGTCTAGACCTGCCAACCAAGATCACCCCTCCGGAGAACCGCCGAGTTCGACGGTCTCCGTTCACTCAACCCTGTGCCCTCCACCAAAGGATGGACGACGGCGCACGGAGCGCTTTTACAGGTCGCCGAGAGCAAAGGCTTCTCGACTCAGCAATCAGTGCCCGGGACGTACGGGAGCACCTGCTCGCAGCGGTGGCGAGACTTTTCCTTCGCGCTTGGCGAGTCACGCGCCCAACCCGGGCCGACCTTAATCTCTTGGCGCTGCCAACCGAGTACCCTACGAGCTATGCCTCTCGGGTACCGGCAGCAGACATAATCCGGCCCCGTGCAGGGACTTACTGGAAGCGCGTGCACGTGTTGTGGACCTAGAAAATTCTGCTCTGTTGTTTGTTATCACTGTCGGGCGCCCTGAAGGGGCGCCTCCACTATTCCTAAGCTCCTATACAAATACCAAATGAAAGTGGGCGGTTTTGGATCTCGGCCGACTCTTCGCTGAGCTCGGCGTCGCTTGAACTCGGCTGGTCCGGATAAGCTATCCGGATAATTCTTCGAACTCGGCTGAGCCGGATAAGGTGTCCGGATAAGCTGGTGAACTCGGCTGAGCTCGACTACCGCTACAGTGTACCACTCCAGCCGAGTTGGTCGCGCGAAATCTTGTGTTTCCTACACCACAACTGTCCCGGTCATGTTCCGAGCCGAGTTGGTGAGGGACCTGACCATCACTCCTTGAGTCGAGTCCAATCTCGGCCAAAACTCCAACGGCAGCGAACAAGTCTCCGCGCCATGTCGTCGTCCGGCGCTCCTGCCGCTCCTCCGGTACGTTCTTCGCCTCCGACGGCTCCATCCATT